TGCCCTGCCCTGCAGCTCTCTGTCACGTCAGTGGAGCTCAACTGGGCAGCCCCTGCCCTCCCATCCATTGACTGAGGGACACCAGGTTTTTGTCCTTCACTATCACCAACTATCTAGCAACTAAATACTGTCAAATAACTCTTGATAAGGACAAGCCAGCCGGGGGCCAACTGTTGCAAGCCCTTGTATGAACAGAGGGCCAAGGCTTGCAGCTGGAGGCAGCCCTATGGTTTGACTCTTCTGCAAGAGGAGAAAATCCACCGGACACTGCGCTGGGTTCTGACATAACTCGGGAGGAACCTGGAGGTCCCAGAAGGCTAGCTAGCAGAGCGGGAGCATGGGGAGAGCCTGCAGGACTTCCTCCTGTAGCCTAAGAAAGATGGAATTGTAGAATCATTAAGAGTGGAAAAGATCTCTGAGGTCATCAAGTCCAACTATCAAAGAATCATAGAGTCGTAGAATCACAGAATCATAGAATCATAGAATCATACAATCACAGAAACGTAGAATAGTAGAATCATAGAATCGCAGAATTGCAGAATCACAGAATCATGGAAATGGCCTGGGTTGAAAGGGACCATAATGATCACCAACTTTCAATCCCCCTGCTATGTGCAGGGTCGCCAACCACTAGACCAGGCTGTCCAGAGCCACATCCAGCCCGGCCCTGAATGTCTCCAGGGATGGGGCAGCCATAACTTCCTTGGGCAACCTGTTCTACTGTGTCACCAGCCTATGTGTGAAAACATGAACTTTTATTGAATACAAGTTCTCCTTCTTGCAGTACATGCCTGGGGCTGCGTGCCATGGCCAGAGAGACCTGATGGGGCCCGTGGGAAGATGTGGCCAAGGCCCCAGTGATTGGTGTGAAACACTGACGCCAAGCACACGAGGTGTGCATGGGGAATGGAGTGGGCAGTGGCACTGGGAAAAGCCCAGAAACTTGTGAAACTTGTGCCGGCGCTGGAGCACGAGCTGCAGGTGAGGACGGCACATTGTGATGAGCCGGCGATGCACTGTGGCATCACTGTGGGATGGGCAGCGATGTCCCCAAGTGAAGGTGGAGTGAAGGTGACACCCAGCGGCTTGGCCAAGCCATGCTTTGAGACGTCTCCAGGCAACGGATTGTGACTCCATAGTCCACGGATGCTTTAACGTGGGTGCAGCGGCTCAGCCCAGCAGTTCGTGCCTGGCCTCCGACCGAGCGAGCGTGCGTGCGTGCGAGGACCGGAGTGTGGACAGGGCGAGCTTTGGTGCTGGAACGTGCTCTGGGTGCTGCTAGCGCAGCTCTCAGCGGCCGTCTCAGAGCCACTTGTTCTTTACCCCGACCCTGCTGGGAGCAGGTAGACGGGACATCCCAGAGAGGCGCGTGCAGCGGCACAGGTAGGCGGCACGGGGACTGGCGGCGCAGGGCAGGGGGGCACCTTGAGGGAGCCTTCCCAGCGCTTCCCAGGTGTGTGACTAACGTCTCTTGTCCTCTTGTCCTCTTCCAGCGTGACACCTGCTGCTGCAGCGCCAGAGCCGGGGAGCGCGTTGCCATCTCCCGCTCCCCCGAGCCCACTGCAAGTGGCGGAAGCATGGAGGCAGCATTAGACACCCGCTGCCCCGTGTGCCTGGACAACTGGGACAGCGCGGCGTACGCCATGCCGTGCTGCCACCAGTTCTGCTTTCCCTGCATCCAGCGGTGGACGAGCACCAGGCCCCAGTGTCCGCTTTGCAAACAGGGTGTGCAGTCCATCATCCACACCACGCCAGCGGACAGCAAGTACGAGGAGCTGGTCCTCAGACCGGCTACAGTGGCATCCGTTGCCACCCGACGCCCCGCAGGCCCCCGGGCAGCCTGGCCATGGCCTGCAGTGCCCAGGCGTTCTGCGGGCGGCCTCTCCCGTGACACCTGGGCTTCCATCTTCCGGGAGAACCCGGCCCTGCTGCGGCCCCTGCGCTCCTGGCTGCAACGGAAGCTGCGCCGCATCCTGGGCACCGAGGAGCCACAGGCAGAAGCGCTGGTCAACAGCGTCATCTCGGCCCTGCTCCTCGTCGGCTTGGAGCAGGACATCCTGATGGAGAGGCTGGACCTCCACCTGCACGGCCACACAGGCAACTTTGTAAGGCAGTTCATCGCCTTCTCCGTGCAGAAGTACGGCAGGGAGGCTCAGCGCTTGCTGGGCCTCAACGTCACCCCTGCTGCTGGGGCACAGGAGGCCAACCCAACATGAGAGCCCACAGCTGCCCCACAACAGGAGGCTCCTGTCCCTGGCCCAGCACTCTCCAGCAGCCCTGCCAGCTCCACCAGGGACGAAATCCCAGGCAGGACAGGAGGAGACATCGCTGGGCATCCCAGCTGCCTGCATAACAACCCTGCGGAGGTCACCGTGGAGCAGGCAGTGCCCCATGAGGAGCCAGGGCAGCCTGTGGCAGGGCCCTCTGGCCACAGCCTTCCTCAGCAGTCCCGGCGAGCCCCGAAGAGGAAGGCCAGCGACTGCCAGGCCTTGGCATCACCAAAGAAGAGGCCACCCAGCCGGCAGCAATAGAACAGCGGCCGAGCTGATGAGACTGGGGCCGGGCAACAGCTGGGACACACGCCGGCCCCAATGGACCCTTGCCATCAGTGTCCAATTCCACCATACAAATAAACTAGAAAGACAAACCGCAAAAATACGTTTTGGCATTGCTAACGGCACAGCCGTTGTTGCTTCCTCATCCTCGATGCTTTCTCCCCTTTCTCCTGCTGCCAAGCCACTGCTGGCTCTGTTGCATCCCGGACAGGGACCCCATGACAGGGGAAGGGCAAATTTCTGCATCTGGGGGGAACATCCCTGTATCGTATGACAGCTGGGGTTAGCCAGGTGGAGCGGACCTAGGAGTCCTGCTGGACACCTGGCTGAAGCAGCAAGAGCCCAGGCTGCCTTGGTGAATGGCGTCCTGGGCTGCGTGAGGCCCGGTGCTGCCAGTAGATGAAGGGCTGAAATAGCAACAATCCACAGAACAGCACTACTAGCTACTTAACTCCCAGTGTACTATGTGATATTATTGTGCGGAATACTGATAACAAGGCTCACAAAAACATGACAAGACCTAATCATTAAATAAAATCCTACAATAATTCCAAATCCATATATTTTCCTCATACGGCATTTGGTAAAGATTATGAAGCTTCTTTTTAAAACCATTGTGGAAGAAGTGAATCTGTGAATGAGAAACTGACACCTGATTTGCCTTGCAAGTTTCAACTGTCTTTAACTTACATAGATACAGAGTGGCTGGATCAATATGTTTAGAAGTAGGTTTCAACACGAAGACATTAGTAAGGAGATTGTTGTTTTTTTGTGAATCAAGAATTCCTCACGCTGTTCAAGAAAAGCCACTTCCAGGACTTGATTCAGCCTTTTCCTTATCAGGTAGGAAGATCTGACCTCTGGAGGTGTTTACCTCCACTGCTATTTGGGGGTGAGGTAGGGTCAGATGGCCTGCTTTAAATACACACTGTTCCTCCTACACAGATTATTAAGAGTAAAAGTGATAAAGTGCCACACTCTGTATCTTCGGCCACGTAAAATCATTTTTAAAATCGCATTTTCATTCTTAAGCTGATCTGGATCACTGAAAAAAGATACCGTGTTAGAAACCTTGTTCTAGCTTTACTGCAGTATCTGAAATGAATATTAAAGGAGTTTCTACTGTCCCAGATGATTTTAAAGTAACGAATAATTACAATTAATGAGTATTTTTCATATTAATGCAGTGAAAGCAAAAGTACTGCCGAATGTTCATACAGTTTACTAAATGGAGAGTAGCTGCACTTCGTGAGCTCAAAGGTGTATGTTCTTCCTTGGAGTGGTTTTAATTAAAGTTACCTTGCAGAGTCAAAGGTTGAGAGTTGAACGAAAGAACATTTAGAGGTCATAATGATTGAAAGTTGATCTTCTCTTCAAAAAAAAAAAAAAAAAAAAATTGATTTCAAGAAACTTGGCATTTTTACTTGCATTTCAATGCATTGTTTTACTGAAGTCTCATCTCACCTCAAATTTCCTTTCATCACAATTGCTTTAACATGATCTGAGGATGATCCAGCATTTCATTACCTAAAAATGTTCTAGTAGTATCAAGCTAGTAGACATCTATTTATCATCATTCCAGGCCCAGCTTCACTGCAATGCTAGAAGATGTGATCACTAGATACATCTTGTAAATGATCATGTTAAAGGAATTGTGATGAAAGGGAATTTGAGATGATATTAACTATAAGCAACTACTGAAAATGCCTGTGGCCTGTCGTAGAAATTAATTTCTCCATACCTTCAGATGCATGTCTTTACATTGAGGAGAAACAACCTCATAGTTAATGTGTGCTAACAAAATAAAACATAACTGCTTGGACGCGGGGATCATGTAGTGACTTTTCAATTACATGAGAACTACAGAGGGCTTCCCAGTAAGACCTCAATGCTATGTAAATAACGTTCCATGCATCCTTATCAGCATGGAACCAGTTTATGTATGATTTCAGTTTATTTCAGTTTCAAAGCTTAAAAAACAGGCTGGCAAAATGGTACAATGATGATGCAATTAATAATCTATGTGCCAGTTATCATGTTTGACATTAGATTTGTAACTAGTGTGTCCCCACTAGCTCTAGCAGAGCCATGCCTCCTGACAACAGAAGTGTCTGTATGCCATGGTCATTACTTGATGCCCTGATCCTGTGTTGACGTACAGGGCCAGCAGTGAAGTGGTAAAGGAATCTACCTTTATCAACAATAAAAAGACTTTAATATACAGTTGGGTGGAAGGTGGTAAAAGGTTTTCCTATAACTATTGAAAAATGGATATTAATGAAGTAATTGTCCAAAGGACAATTCATTCATCCTTTCAGCTAAGATGGTACAGTGGATCTTAAATTTTGGATGAGACATACAATATTACCTAAACAAGACAGGAACTTCACAAATGATTTCTTTGGCTGAAGTTTTAATCAGTTTGAAATTCAAAATGTTGCAATGAATATATACGTCAACTTTTTGGCATTTAAGTGGAGATTATAACACTGTTTACACAGATCATGGTTTCAGGGTAGATGGAATACAAATGTTAAAGAAATTTCAAATATTTCACCAGTTTGATAGATTATCCATCAGGTAGCCAGGATGATCACTGTTTTCTTCTTCCACTGCAAGACAAGACACAATGGGGAAAAATAAATTGTAGATAAGGAAAAGTTCAATCACTTCAAGTTTCCAGGATATAGATATACCTCAGGGACAGCCCTAGTGTAATGTGGCTGATTAGCTAAGACATGAAAATAGAAATAATAATGCCTTCTGTCATTTTAAAGGCAGCAATTTTTGATTATTATATCTTTGATTATTTTGTTAGGCTACTACTGCAATTTCAGTGTTATTCTATGGAGTTCTGTCCAAACAAGCTGCTAGTTTTGCTTAGATCTCTCAGATGTCTTTTTTTTTTTTTTTTAAAGGGGCTGTTTCCATCCCCTTTCTCTTGGAACAGAAACAGCAGGTTGGAAAATATCACTAAAATTTATGAATTGTGAACTTCAGAGAATTTTCTCTTTTTCTTGGTGCACACACAAAGGACACTTCCACTGTTTTATCTTCGGAAATGCTCATATACTTCATCCAAACCCCCATGTTCTCTGTTAATTCTACCTCTTAATTCAGAATAGGCATTCCTTTGAGTTTAGACCAATAAAAATCTGAAAAGCAGATGAAAAGCTGAATATATAAAAGTTTGCATACTGTTGTTTCTCCTATTCTTGTTCTTGACTCTGTAAATGTACAACTTGATATAATTCACTCTGTTGGAATCATATTTCATTTAAAGACAAGTTTTTATATTAAAGTGTTATGTACATACTAAAGCATATTTATAAGTACATTTACTAAAAAGCACATTTAAAGTACTTATAACTCCCCTTTAAAAGCTCAGTTTAATACAAAACATGTGTTTACCTTCTTGAGCTTTCCATAATGAACTAAGGAACAATGCTGCAGCTTCAGAAAGAGATAAAGGATTTGTGTTTTGGCTGCGTGTTTCTAGAATTTAAAAAAAAATAAATAAATCAGAGACATTCAGTTTGTTGTGTTTGTTGGGACTTCTTTTCTTTTTTGTATTTACAACTAGAGACCCAAGAAGATATATTGTGTTCTCCTTTACAACATTATGTGCTCAAAGGCTGATAAATGAGTAACACATAAGAGCTCATCAATTTCTTCCTAAAGGAGGTTATTTTAACATTCTTCAGAAAGTTAAAAAAATGTTCTCTTTTTTCATGCATTCTTCATTTTGCTATAGTCATTTCCTTTGTCTGACGTGGAACAATGTTCTCTACTTTTGTCATTTTTTCTGTTCAGCATAATTAATAATTGGATTTATTTTTCTTTCCACTGAAAAAAGAAAATCAAAGGGACTGATTCTTATCCCTCTCTACACCCAATCTGTGTGGAACATCACCACTTATGGAAGTGAAGTCACATAGGTATACAAGAGAGGAGAACCAGGCACAGAACAGTCTTGTGTTTCACATGGTTTTTGGAGTGAAAGGTATATATGATGAGAGGAATTTATATAAGTGCTTCCTTGACCAAGATTCCAGAAAAGCAAAATTATTTCTCCTGTTCTCAAAGATTTCTCCCCTAAACTGAGCAAAGATTGGTGTTATATACACCTGTGCACATGTACTTACCAAGCTGCATTCTGCCATACAGGTCCTTCCGCTGGCTCTCATCTGAGATGAATCTACGTCCCTCTAAAAGAACAGTGTGGAAAGAGTGAAAACAACTTCCCAAATCTGATGTAATTGGTACCTTATAACCACTAAAGTAGTCTTTTCAAAACACAAAATTGCAGCAGTAATTCTACAAGCATAAAATTGGATGTGTTTATTCCTCCTGAGGTCTTTTGAAACAAGCAATAGCCCATCCTGAACCAGAACACTCCAGAACGTCTTTTATTCTATGAAAGTGTTGTTCCAAAAGTTTCCATGCTTGTATTATCCTGCTTAAGGAGATACAGTCTGGAAGAGTTTTCTTCAGTCATTCCTCAGCTGCTAGCCAAGAACCTTCAGTCTCTTTGCTGGCCTATGAGGTATTGCTTTTAAAAGAATTTTTCTACATGAACTCAAAAAGAATTAGAAGAAGACTGGTATGCAAGCAATACAATCCATTACTCAGTTTGGAAAAAAAAAATAAATAAATAAGGGGCTGAATTATTTGCTTTCATGAACAGAAATTGTCAGCAGAATTTATTTCACATGGTGTTACCTCACTGTTCTTTGTAGTTTATATATCTATATGTATCGTGGTTGTAATTGGAAGGAACCTTGCTCCCTTAACATATGCTTTGCCTGGTACATTTTGAACTTTCAATTCCATTTGGAATTGAATTTTTAAAACTAGAAATGTTTTTGTTAAATGCTCTGGGTCTGAATCAGAGACCAAGGTCTCTCAGACTCAGAACATTATTTTGAATGCTGCTTTAACTCTGTCCTAACAACAGAAACTCGGAAGTTAATTTGCACAACCTTAATACCACAATATTGATAAGCCTGACATCCAGTTTCTCCTTAGAAAAGGTCACTTGTGGTCTGAATACTGACTATAATGCAAGATGCTTGTAGTAGGAATGTGTTATCCTATTGCTTGGGAAGATGTTTTAATTAAAGCCTGAATAATGATGAGGAATGATATGTATCAAGTGTGTATTAAATCTCCTTTGAGATTATTTCAGTTAAGGAAGTTGCCTTTCCAATAGGTTTCACAATCAAGCTTCCAACTGTGTATATCTTTGGTAGTTTCTGGTTTGCTTTTATTCTTTCAATAGTTGCCTTCTTCAGTTGGATCCCTTTAAAAATTAATAATAGTACTGGCAATGCCACTGTTTCAAAGACAAGAAGAGATAACGATAAATGCATCTTGGCAGGCTTCAGAACTTCTACCTCCACAGCATCGTCAGGAATTTACTGCTTGTGTACAGCCAAACAGATCAGGAATAATCCAATGGTATAGAAAGTTATCTCCTCAAAATTTAAAGAGCTTAGGACTTACGTGCACCCTTCAAATAGAGCATAGCCTGAGGAGTCCAGTTTCTCCTTTGGAAATGAGCCTTTATGACAAAAAACAAGTAAAGAGACATGTCAGCACTGTATGACATTCCTAGCAATTACAAGTATTAAACAGCACCGACCTGTGAGATAGAAGCTGTGCATTCAGCCCAAGTCAGCTGTTTACCTGAGGAGCACTCCAGGAAAAAGATAGGAAGGACACTGTAAGGAACAGTGCCAATGCAGATGTTGTCAATTTACGCAGTCCCTGTGCACAGCAAAGAACCACAAGATACAGGAAAAGCTTTTCAGATTTGTAAATCTTCTCAACTTCAAATCTAAATGTGAGGGTATTTCCTCTTCCTTCTTTCTCCCTGTCTTGCTGCCCAACCTCACCATGATCTCTAGCTATCTCATCTTCAATACTCAGCGATCTAATGGGAGGATGAATGTTAAATCAAACACACTTATTCTTTTTGCTCTATTCTTCTTAAAGGTGCATGAAGGTGAGAACTGCCATTGAGTCAAGCACCTTTTGTGCTTCTGTTTGCAAGGACTCTAGATCCTGCAGAAATAGGAATAATGTACAAACTAGCAGGGAAATATGTTATAAAGTACATCTTGATTTTACCAAGTCTGAAGATACAAATCAGACAATAAGCAAATGTAGGGGCTGGCCACTACAAACAAAAGCAGGGAAAGCACATCACTACTTCCTCAGGAAACAAAAGTTTTTAAACTCAGCAGCCTATTTCCTTCAATCAAAATTACATACACTTCAAGAGGATTGCTTGCTGGATCCTTTTAATTTGTTTGCTGATGCAGCACATGCAAATGAAAGCACCAAGCATGAATCCTCTGTGAACAAACTGCATGTCCGCTTGTTTTGCGGAGCATCGATAACAGGGACGGGCATCAGAGAGCATCTAGCTCTGTGATTCACAGTGTTTTATTCCATCCTGTCTTTTAGAGCATGTTTTTAATGCAGTGATTTCAAACACACTAAACACAACTATGTGTATATGCCTTCGCTGTTATTTCAAAGTTAAAATTACTAACTGCAGTCCCTGAAATATTATATTCACATGAAAAATCTTAAATTGCAAACTAAATGTTACCCACATACCAAAAGAGTTTCACTCACCTTCATACCTATTGAAGTAGCAAATCTGCAGTCTTCGTTTCTTGGAATAATGTGTCACAAGACCTCCTAAAGGTTTGGGGGCACCTTTTTAAATCTTCAGAGTGAATGTCCCCTCCCCTTCTCTGGTGGGCTGGAGAAGTCTAAAGGGATCTCTTTGTCAGCTCTGTAGATGGAGAAGTAGAAGGTCTAATGACTCCTGAGGGAAACCTGTAGTCTTGCAGGAAGTGAGGGAAATGATGGAAAGACAGATGCACTTGGAGATGCACCCCATTAGCCAGGTGAATACTTTCTGAATGCATCAGCATCAGCTGCGTGCATTTGCAATACAACGTCACCTTCTTGCCAGATGATCAATAACTATGGCCAGAGGCAGGTATTAATATGAATAATGAGTATTTACCCAGGATAATATAACATACTATATAACAGGTTGTTATCCATTTTGGTAGCTGGAAAAGGTAGTAAATTACTCCCCAGTGATAATATGCTAACACTGAGAAAAAGGTGGCATATCCCATGCTACTAGCTTGAGGTTATTCCTACTTTACACTCAGAGAATGCAGCTTCTTGTTCACTTCTCTAACAATCTCTTGCATATGGTTTTCTTACACACAAATGAAAATACAAAGCTGAGTAACCAAAAAATGATAATTTTGAAAAACCACCAACCCTTTGCTGTCTCATGGATTTGTTGGAGCTTGCTTTGTTAGGCTTCCTTGCCTAAACACAATCCAGGACACCTAGGACACCACATAGGACCTGCAGGAGACCCAAGACCTTGTGAGGAAGAAGCTGGAGGGTAGGTAGGATTCCTAACGTACCTAAAATGTCACTATTTCCTTGTGACTAGGAGCTGAAGTACTTCTGCAGTCTGCCTTTCAGTGGAGAGAAACAGGACCTTGAAACACACCTCCTGGCCACAGAGCTTACGACATTAGGAGAGAATACCCATCTGAAGATGTCCATTTCTCTTTGTTGGCTTCAGACAGAGCCTAGACAGATGGCTTTTTACACAAACCTGATCAATTGAAATGAACCCAATTCGCAGTTAAATTTCCTTACTGGTATAACATTAGGACCTTCATAATCTTAAACCCAACAAGTGTGGAAATCAGCAGAGGCTAAAGAAAAAAGATTTTCTATTTCCTTAAATTCTTTGTGCCTTTGTGACTTTTGAGCTTTGAATCTATTTAGTTTTAGTATGAGCAAGTATTCTAAGTTGCCTAGGTATTATAACAAATGTATCTCAAAACCATTTCCCTGGAAAGAAATAAGAAATCTGTGTGCAGAACAAGGAACTCCAGATTTGTCAATTCTACCTTAGTGATTAAAAATTTAAAGACACTTTTCCCTTTAGAGCTTTCTTGCTGTGAGTCTGTGAGAAGATGGGCATCTCACTCTTCTCAGAAATCTAGCTACTTCTGGGATGGCAGGTGAGACATGATTTATTTGCAAACTGCAACAGAAGACAGTACTTTCAGAAGGAAATGCAGAGTACTTGCATTCACCAGAAACCCCCCCCCCAAACCCCCCCCCTGGGTGGGGGTGCGTAGGCATGTATAAACTTATACTGTTGAAAAATGAAGTAGTCTATAATTGGGTTACGGATCATAACACACTAAATTCTACAGGACTTCAGGGTGATGAGCTGTGCATGAAACACTCATTGTCAATCCTGCCATTTCTCAGCTGATTCACATAAATGAGGAAGTGGCTCTGGCATGTAATCAATACTCTAAGTGAGGGAAGTAGAGTGAAGCTCACTGTAGCAGCATGATCCCTTATTAGAAAGAACATAACCTATGCTTATTCTTAAAGATGATCTAAAGGGCAGAGGCTGCTTATCCTGGCCCTGTAAATGATAAAAAGCCAATTTCTGGGATTGGCAGTCAGTGCTGACGTGTGTGAAAGTTATTGCGTGGTGGAGATTTACCTTTTGGAGCCAAATATATATCGGTGACTTTTGTCACGACCATGTGTTTTCCCTGATGATGATCTGTTTTTTGCTCTTGAGTGAAAGGTGTAGCTGTTGTATGTAGGTGGCCAGTAGATACATCAGCAAGTATGGTATTCTTATAGTATCAAGGTACAAATGTACCGTTACCATGACTCTTTTCTCTTACCCTCATTTCTTCTGTGCATTCCTCCTAGTATGTTAACTCTTTGGCAATTTCATCTCACTGCAGTCTGGTATGTGAACAGCATCTACCACAGCATTGCTATAGCTGATACATACTACCCATTACATCTTAAAAGATTGAACTACTTGAGGCAGAGTCTGCTAAGTAGGAAATGGCAAACAACTAAGATTTTCGTTTAACACACAGCAAGGGAATTTAAGCTTGTTGATAAGGCGTTTCCAGTGGTAGCACAGTGAAATATAGATTGCCTTAAAAGGCTATGGATCTATAATCATTGAGAAGCTTAGAGAATAGATTAGCCAAGCCAGTTTTAGAATTAGTTGGTAAACTGATCTTGCCCTGGGACAGAGAGATGAACTTTATGGTTTCTGAACATCTTTATCTGGCTCTGTTTTTTATAATTCTGTGATGTTTCAAAGCTCACTCTGGATTTTAGCACCATACGTCCAGAATGGGGTAAACTTTATGTCCAAGTTCTATGTTCACCTTGTAAAACCTGTTCTCTGAGTAAAATTATCTGTCATCAGTTGACATAGAAGAAGCCTAAAATGTCATGTGAACATGCTCTTCAGCACTGTTTTTCAGAATGGACCCAAATTGTCTGAGCACTTGTATTTTCATGGTGCAGTTCTGAAGGGAAGAGAAGCAAGGCATACAATTACAGAGATCATGAGTAGCTGGAGTAAAACTTAACTACTCTGTTGCCCGTTCAACACAATAATGTCTGCATAATTCCTGTGCTACTGCATCATTTCTGAAGCTGCTTTTCTTCTTTTCTCTAGACTTTACAAGAAGAACTGTACTAAAAACTGCTTCAGTTACAGTGCAAGATGTAGAAAAGTTTGTCTGCTAGGGACTGTGTAAATTGCCTCACACAGAGCCTTTGTTGAGATCTACAATGTGACCAATGCTGTGTCCAGGTACTACTGTTTGCAGAAGAGTTTGAAAAGAAGGAAGAAATTTCAAAAGGTAAAGTAAATGAATGAATTAATTAATCAATAAGTTAAATTGAAGATATTAGATGAGGCTAGGGATATTTGTAAGTATCAGGAAAGAAGAGAAATAAACAAATATTTGAAAGGTGCAAACATCACAAAAAGAAGTATTAGTTGTGAAGTTTGATGACCCATAGAATAGTACAACATTTTTTTCATGGTTGGAAATGTCTGGGGCAAACACCAGGAAGAAGAGTCCAGCTGAAAAAGATTTCTTCAGTTTGCAAGCTGGAAAAGAGATCTGACCACCTAAGTAAATGCATTTACCATGTAAGTTAGCAGAAGCATATACTATCAAACACATCACACAGAGCATGCCTTTCTGTAGTGACAGAAGCACCAGAGGCCAAGGAGTCCTCTGACCTTTACTTCCATCCCCATGAACTTGGCAAAAAGGATTCTTGTCTTTGTCAAGAAGTTACCTAGAGGGCTACCAACTATAGTAAGCGTTACGCATGTAGTCATGTGCTCTTGGCAGAGCAGTATGTTTGTCACACAGTCTCACCCATGGAGCTGGGCAAGAAACATAAACACTATTACTGAGAAGCTGGATGCCAACATTTTGCTGGGTGGAACTGTGGAGGTTACACAGAGAACCTGAGTGATAAATGGGCAGTCAGGAGTCAGACATGGAAGCAGTCTGCTCCGCATTCTTGACATAGTGCCCAAACTGTACAAGCGCCATCTGTAAAATGTGCTCTTTCCTTACCCATGGATACCAGGAGGGGTGGAGAAGGGTTTTATATATTTGTATACATGTATTTATATACAAAGTATATAACTTGCGTAGAGAAAAATGTTAAATGCTGAATCAGGGAGTGCTTTCAAGAGAAGCCAAGTATCTTAGGATCTCTGCTATATTAGCACTTGTAAAACTTCTAAAATGTTGGTCCTCAATACTTTCTCACACCTCTAGAATACATGGCACACTAACTTTTGTATAGTATGTTGATGTGACTATTAGGAGAGTACGTATTAGGGTCTAATTAAACCTCAGACCCTATTAGTGAAGCACTTTTATCTGTCGCCCTGTTTTTGACTACATCTTTCTCAGTATAGATTACGTGGTCAGTAGGCAAGGACTGTTTGCCCTGTGATTGCTCAGTGCCTGCTCTGCTAGCTACACACTGCATGGGTATCATCATCACCTGGAGAAGCCTCTTGAGAACAGGCCACTTGTTCCTGTCAAGGTAGGAAGGTATGAGTGCTGTTTTAATGTGGGAGGCCTCCTCTTCAAATTGGGAAGTTAAATAGCTTCCTGTACACATAATGAATTGCTCAAAGATAAAAGAAATAAGAGATGAGGCCCTCAGCTGGACTGGCTTGCTCTTGGAGATAATACCTCTGTATTAGAATCAGCTTTACTCCTGGAAAAAAGTGTCTACTCACAGTGCTCACTCACCTGCTATTTAAGCCAGAACCTATTGCACCAACACCTGGTATCTGGCAACACTACTGAATGGCAGTGTCTACTTCTTGTTTTAGTTAACATTTTTCCACAAAACAGAAATGTCAGTGCATTTCCACATTTGGAGTTTAATCACAAAGTGACATCAATTCTAGTTTTCTGCAGGCGTGCCGAAGCAGCCTGTGGTAGACAGGGAGGTGCCATTTCTCCAAGAACATGGAGCCTAGTGGGGTGCATGGTTAGAATTTATGTGACAAGCAGTAATGTTCTCTCAAAAGCATTGTATTAACTGATTCTATTTCTTGTTATTTGTAAAACATATACCTAATGATCCACAGTGTTGAAAAACAAATCTTAATTGAGAATATAATGTTGAAAAGAGAAGTGTACTAGCAGTCTTTATAGCAAAACTTGTTTTCTCATAGAACCAAGTTTCAGATCAGATGGCAACACAGAGACTCTATAACCTGCAAATTTCACCTTCTGAATTCCTTTAAAAACTGATAAGAGCTACGAGTTTTCATACGATTTTTACATTCTCTGTTCAGTTTCTGTACAGGAAAAACTAGGTGAGATCTACTGCCTAAAAGCTTACAGCACTGGGGAAAAATAAGAAAACCGTTAATTGAAGTGAGGAACATCTTGGGTACCTCAGATCTGAGCAAAGCAATAAACTGTATTGTTATTTTCCCTTTAGAAATTGGAGTACTAGGGCAGTGAAACTAAGTGCATTGTAAATCAGGGTAGCACACCTAGCAGGCGCAAAAGACAACAAATAAGGTGGCAAGAAAATTGCAAGCTGACATTTTATTTGCACCTCATTGCAACTTGTTGCCCCATTGGCCCTACAGCTGAGTGGCAGGCAGCAGCAGGTGTACCTTGTTAAGGTGATTTTCCAGAAGGTGAACCCTCTCTGCCTGTATCACTACCAAGGTTCCTTTATTTAAGTCCTAGTCAGAGGAACAGCTAAAATAGGTTTAGTTGGTGTGTGCTGTTCTTGTCTGAGAGAAAGTGAAGGTATTTTTCTGTGTTTTATTCTGCTGTTGTGAGTGTAAGTCTTATGCTAATTTTTAATCAGGGGAATGCAGGTAATACTTAAAAAACATTATTGTTAAGTGATCAGTGTTCTTTTATGATCTGTTGCTTGTATCTGGAGGCATTTGTACGCTTAAAGAATGTAATTAAGCCTAACTGCAACGTGTTTGTGTTTTTTCATTTAAGGTATGTTGTCTATTATTAATATAGAAAACTGCGTTACTTCCTAGCATTTGTTTTTAGGACTAAATTCTGCAAACAAACCACAGTGATAATTAAAAATGAACTTCTTTTTTTTTTCTTTAAAAAGCATGCTGAGTATCTTACTATTGTTATTAATCATAAAGTATTGCTCAGACCAAGGATGTGGTCCATATGTAAATGTTGCTGCTTAAAGAATTAATAGTAGGAAATATATATATATATATGACTGAAGCAGTGAAGATCTCCATCTGTAAAACCAAGCAGTTAGTATGCACATAGCTTACAATAAATAAAATAACTGAGTATTTTCTGGCACTCTGGATTCATAAATACTTGCTTGTGACTTTCCTCTTTTCCTCTTTACGCTACAGGATTGTACATGCAGTATATCTTACATTAAATGTTAATGAAGCATGTTGCTATATTAGAAGAAAATAAATATTTGATAAAAGAAATAGCAAGGAATTGTTTAAACCATTTTTTATGTATCTAAAGGGAAAATGGGGAGTTAAGTTCCTAGGGAAACTGCTATTAATTTGTTTTGTTTTGTGATCCTCAGTCTGAGTAAAAAGATGCAATAGAATGAAACTAAAATCTACAGGTACCTGAAGCTGTAGGAGGTATCTTGAGAAAATAGCTGTTGCTGGTTGCTGTTAAACAGAAGTTTTGATCCTATGGGATCAGGAGGAAGCATATGCTACAAATATAGTCAGAAGTAATAACTAGGGAAGTTATGTGGATTTCTGTTTTTTTTTTTTTTTTTTTTTTTTTTTTTTTTTTTAATATATATATAATGTCCTATGTTAAATATATAATTTCAAATAAACTGGGATGAGGGGTAAAGGTGCTTACTGCTCCCTTTAAGAAGATAGGTAACTATTAGGCTGGAGGGGGGGATTTCAGTTTAACTCCTTTATTCCTTACCCTCCCCCTACCCCTTGGCATGGTTACAGATTATAGAATGGTTTGGGTTGGAAGGGATATTTAAGATCATCTAGTTCCAACCCCCTTGTTATAGGGAGGGACACCTCTGTCTAGACCAGGTTGCTCACAACCCTATCCATCTTATCTTGGATGTTGCATTTAAGAATGAGTAGGAAGATTTCAAAATGTATTTCCCACCCCTTCCAAATCTGCAGCACTTCTAGTTCCCTGGAGAACCAAATGTTGAAGGCTGCTGTTGTGGCTGGTGTGAGGACCAAGGATTTTCACATCCCTTGATAGCCAAGCTTTGAGCTCTCTGCTCAGTGAACGAGATGGCACGAAGGATGTGTGCCCATTGTTTTGACTATTACATCTTGTCCTTGTTCTTTTCAGACACTTTGCAAGAGTGGGGAATTGATAATGTCTTCAGAACGTGGTGCTAGCAAACGGCATCACAACCCAGTGGACAGTATATGCAGGAAGATCAAATCAATCCAAATGATGGATCAAGTCTCTAACCCTGCTTTGCAAATACCAAAATTTCAGTCTCGCAACTTTGACAGTCCACAGTGCAATATCAAAAAAAATCTAGAAGAAATACTGAAGAAAAGAACTTTCAGAAGTCGTAATAGTGCCAGTCCCCCCTTCTTCAGTCCCAGCAGTGACAGCGTTTTCTCTGCAGACTTGCAGTTGCTGTCACCTTGTTCCAGACGTATCTCAGACTGCAGTTCTGCAGATGCTACATACTCTGTCATTGAAAGGGAAGAGAGGTCCAGCAACACATGGTTGCCAGTATGTTCCATGGACAGCTGTTCTCCACCTTACTTCACATCCAGAGAGGAGAATGCCCAAAACCAGCGGTATGCTTTAGCAAGCATTGAATCTGAAGATGTGCACTGCGAACAGAAGTACGTGACATCCAGTCCGCATTTACTGTTGTTTGCATCTGATAAAAAGTTGGAAAGTCCTGCGATCCAGCCCCCTGTGCCAAAGAGACTATCTCTGAGTGAAAGAGGTAAAAGTTCTGGAAACAAAAGCTTCTGAGTATATAAACTTAAACAGATTAACTTCTTTACTCTTTAAATGGGTAACAATACGTTTTAGGATAAGCCTGACTTGATAAGTCTGTTAAAAAGCTGAACAAAATCTCATTTTTTCCCTGAGAAATGTGAATCTCAATGTAAAACATGAATAAAAAATACTTCAGACTTGTTGAGGAAAGGGGGCTTTAGCTATCTGTGTAGTCCACCTTTAATATAAAAAGATCAAAGTATACACATGGACTTTTTAATTAATTCTTATTATTGAAGCTTTGGGCTTGTTTTCTCAACCTGACCAAGATATGGGAAGATTGGAAGGGAAGAAGTAGATACCTGGCTTCATAACGTGTTCTATTTACGTAATATTTGCCTCAAGCAAAGGAAAAGCTAGAGTTCCCAAACATGCATGTATAGAAGTAGACATGTAGGCTGGTTCCCAAATTCAAGTCCTCAGCTATTATCAGTTTTCCTGCTGTTATTTCTTGTGTTTGTGTTTTTTTTTTTTTTTTTTTTTTTGTCACCTGAAAAAATGCAGTGTCCAAGCTGTGGTATGCTGTGCAGCCTTATGCTATTGCAGAAACAATACTGCAGTTAGAAGGTATCGTGCATGGAAATTACTATGAGAAAATGAAGATGAATAATGACAAATTGCTTCTTCACAGGACAGAAGCAGTCACGGGGCTGCAAAACTGATGACATGTATGATGTGAGCTTGATCTGTGAAGAAGACTTACTGACCACCATATTTCACGCGTGTGACATACAACGTACAGGTTTGGTGCTTTTTGTTGCTGTTTTTCCAGCTTTCAGTCAATACGTTTTCAAAACTAAGATCATGTTACAGCTTGGGGCATGGTGATCTGTGGTATGTTTAGAAAGAATAGCTGCCTTAGCTAGGTGGCTGTACATGTGGCACATCGTATGATCATGTCTCTTTTTTATGATGCATCCCTTTCCTTCTCCCCTCGTTTCTCCTCCACCCCAGATAACTTTTGCTGTACAGAAGTGCAGAGCAAGTAGAGTAGCAAGCAGTTCTGACGATCAGCCATATTGGAGATGATCTCTTATTTCTTAGAGTTTTTCCCGTTAGGAACGAACTCTGTGAAGCTTCAGAGCAGGAGGTTATTCTTCCAAGTTCCATCTCAAACATGACTAACATTGTTAGGCAGAAAAGTCCAGCAGAATAAGATGTCACATGTTTTTCTCAATTTGATGAGTGGCCTGAATGCAGTAACACAGTAAATAAGGCATGTTTGTTGTTCTTAAACTGATTTCCACAAATTTAGTAACTTTCATGCTTCTGCATTAGGGGAAGAAAGAAAGAAAAGCCACCACCACCACCAACAGAAAAAGCGTTTCATTTGAGCTGTAGTGATTGATTGCTTGTCTACAGCTCTAGAGGACAATTTTGTGTTCACTATGGCAGATCAGTAATTGCAGCTTTTTTTCATTAGCCTACGAGTCTTCACAATCTGGTACATGGTCCCATGTATCTATTTCAGGAAAAGTAGCAGTTTCCAAGATAGTTGATTATTTGAGACACACAACAAGTCGAGGACTAGAAGACAGTGGTCTTGAAGAGCTGTGCAACATGCTTGACCCAGATCAGAAAGATGTCTCTGTGGACCTTGAAACCTATCATGCCATCATGAAAGAATGGATTGAAGACTGTAAGAGGAAGTGGTAAGGGCTTCTTATCAATTTATCTCAAATATTTTGTGAAAAGTTTTCCTGTGGTTTGTACTTCCTGTACTTTGGAACATGCTCATGATGTCCAGTCATGACCATGAGGTGGTGTTTGGCTGAAAACTTTTAAGTATTACAATTTGGTAAGCAAGATCAACAAGTGCCTCTTTTGTACTCTTGGATGTGACTCTTGATGCTTCTGTATTTCAGGGATGGTAGTGCTACTGAGGAACCAACAGCAAGCATAGAAGACAAGGAGTTTAAAGTACATAGAAACACCTTTGAAGGTGCAGACCACTTTATTCTGATATTACTCAGTAAAGTACTGTGTCTCTTCCATAACCAAAAACAAATCTTTTTCAGTAAAAAAGACACCGCTTTGGATGAATGTTACGTCAGGAAGCTTGGAGGCATTTGGGGGTGATGTGTCCAAAGGAGACATGTAAGTCTGTTAAAGCAATTCTTTTGCAGAATTTGGTACTCTTATCTTTTGGGTTACTTAAGAGCAATTCCTAGAACCACTGAAGCTGATGGTTTCGGAAAACTATTTTGGTGGAAATCCTGATGCTCTTGATAGTGCCGCATTCTTCCTCACAGCTTCTACTCAAAGTGAAAAACAGTAGTAATTTTCCCCACTGGTATCTTAGTCCTTTTGTATCTGTCTGCCTTGTTAATTTCCTGTGGTCAAAGTTTTTCTGAGAGGGGAAAATTATGGTTTTTGTTTTTCTTCTTAATCTCTCCCTTCCTCTTTCCTAATTATTATTTTTTTTCCAAGTTCTTAGGTACATGATAATAGAATAGTGTTATCTCCTGGAAAATCTGATCATTAGTTTTGCTTAGGTTATTTCTTTATTAATAATCATGACTCAGATTTGGATTAAGTTGATACTGAAGTACTTAACACTGGAATTTTTAAAGATCACTTTTTGCACTTTGTGTAGTCACAGATCTTCAGATCTACTTTCTGACACTTCTCTCATTTTTAGGACCTCAGAAAAGTGGTCCTTGTTCAAGTTTCAGTTGAAAGTGTAGTTGCAGGGTGGTTTTGGGGAAGTGGAAGGACTCATTACTCAAGGAGTTGGAAGTATCAGCTAGAGCCTAAGAGTGGGTAAAAGTAAAGGCTGAAGTAAAGTAAAAGATAAAAAATAAAGGCTGAAGGTGCTGTCTTGCAGGCATAGGGATGTGACACTCACCTGGTGGCATACTTTCATCGTAGGGAGTAAAAAACACTTCTTGAAGACAAAATATTTGCCTAGTGCTAGTGTATGTGGAGTTTTAGAACTTACCTATGATTTGATATTTTGGATTTTGACTGCAAATGGCTGTTCACTGCAAGCATTGATAGTCCTTTACAAGCCGTCATCTTGCCCCTCTAATTGCTACCACTCAGCTTCAGGATTAAAAAAAAAAAAAGTCTAAGTTAGTCAGTCACTTTCCTTGACTTTGGTTGTTTTTTGTTTTTTCTCTGGTTTTGGTACTGAAACAGGGAGACATCTGACTTGATAACCTGTGTCGCAGACCTGCAGTACAACAACCTGAAGCTCCAGGAAGAGAACAACAAGCTGAAGCTTACCCTGGAAGCTGTGGATGAGACCAACAACAAATTACTGGCAGATAACGAGAATTTATGCCAACAAATAAAAAGGTGGGAGACCCTGGCACCATCTGTTCTACTGTGTAGTGTAATGTGGGTGGATCTATATTTCTACCAAGTAGTCCAGCCTTGCTTTGTGCTTGCGGCCTCACTAGTGCTTCTTGCCAGCAACTTTCTTGGCTTCGTATTGTGTTTGTGAGGCTTAATCCTCTTGCCTGATTGTTCTGCTCTGTACCTCCTGGTTCTTATTACAGCAGTTACTCATTTTTTTAGCCTGGTTCTTGCAAGCTGACTTGCATCTAGGCAAAATTTTAGAGTAAATATAAATAAACTTGAAGGGAAAATTAAAAACTGAGGTGATGGGGTGAAAGTCTTAATATTACCAAGAGAAGAGTTATGCCCTGTAAAGTTTCCAGTTCTGTGCTCCATTTTGGGGGGAACTATTCATTTTGCTTAGTGCCAAGCAGGGAGGAAATAACTGCGTAAGAGCTATTCTGCTAGTTTCCTGAGGAACTAAAGTATGTTGTCCCACTAGCAAGCATTGCTGCAGCCAGGGGAACCATCAATGCCATGAGTATAGGGCTTTTTTTTACAGTGAGTTCATAATGTTCATCTTAGCCAATTAATTCAAATGTGATGTAGTTATGTCAACTGCCAGAACATTCCCAGCATCTTCTGGGGATATTAGGGCAACAGGCCTGCAGCAGTGCTGGTGTGGGATGTGTGCCCTCATGTCAGACTGTGTGCTTTGTGATGCTGCACAGGCCCAGAGCGAGGCAGAAAAAGGGCCTTGCCACACTGACTAAATGTATATAGGTTAGGGTATCAGGCTGAGAAAATAACGTGATACAAAGCTTATCCTTGAAAACTGAATTGAAATGGCTTTCTTAACTGCTATTGATGAAGTGTTGAAGATTAATTTTCTTGCTTAGGTTAATCTGGTAAGATTAATCTAGAGTAAGCTAGATTGGTAGGTGGATGCAAACAAAAGCATACTGTCTTTAGTGCTATGCCTGCTTGGGCTCTCATCCCTTATTGCAAGTGTGGAAGAGATATGATAAAGTGGGTAATGAATCTGTGAGCCTTTGCTTAAAGCAAAGCCCGTAACTTTTGTTAAGTATCTGTGCCAAAGAATAAGTCCCAAGCAGCTTCTAAAAATACAATGTTCTTAGTATGTCAGCCCTATCTAATGACCACGTGTAACTTGCTGAAGTTTTCTTGGATTTATTTCCCTTCAAACAGCATCCAACATTCTGTGCTGAAAGCCAAATCACTGGAAGAAGAACTAGAAGAAGCAAAGAACAACCTGAACCTTTTGGAAGCGAAGGGGCAGAAAATGCTTTGTCAGAATAAACAGCTGGTAGGTGCTTTTACTTCTCAGGTTGTGTTGCACAATTTCTCATGCCATCTGTAGCACTGCCATGACCATTCAGAGCATAAAAACTTAGTAATATGGCTTTCCCTATGTCAGTAGGTACTGAGGCATTCAAATATGTTCAAAATGTAGTTTCTCAGTATTAGGGAAAACACTGAAGTTATTTTATGGAACTAACATAAACTGCAGTAAAGATTTAAAAGGGTCAGCCTACCATGGAAGTTGACATTAAGAGCTGTTTTTAATGATAACCACACCGCCATCATTAAGCTCCATCTAATTTAATGTTGGCAGTGTTCTGCCAGAAGTTTAGGTGTTGTGCATTACTACTTTTTTAAAGAACCATTGGGGCAGGAGGCTCTGTTCAGATGCACGCACAAAGGAGCTGTTTTTCCAAAGTCATCAGTGGGCTCTTGGAATTATCAATGTGAGCTGGTAGCAATAGCAAGGGCCCAGTGGATATCTGTCTATTCTGATTCTGACAGCCAGGAGCCAGACAGCATCCCTCATACAGCACAAGAAGCCCACATGAAGGCATCTGAATTGCACACTAGATGTCTGAGTGGCAAAGCCCACGTGATTGTAAGATATGTAAAGCAGCACAGTAGAGATGTTGATGCTGCAGCAGTTTTAGCAGGTGTTGCTAGATGCCAGAGCAGTCTAGCTGAAGACCATATTTCTGTGTTGCTGCCATGCTCAATGTTCAGTGACATCTGTCTTGCTGCATGGGGGTTGCTGTAAAATTCCACAGCTGTGTGCTGCTGATGGGGCACAGTATTCAGATGGGCATTTACATGAAAGCAAAAAAAGCTCTTCCATACAGAGCAGCTATTCTGCTCCACTGTGCATGTGGTTTTTTTGTTTGTTTGTTTTCTGGTTTGATTTATACAGTCTTTTCCCTTGTGAAAAGGAGATAAAATGGGAGGGAGAAATATGAGAAGTTCTGTAGTTCTGCTTACAAGATGCTTAGTTATTGTCTCCTGAGCTGTGGAGACACTGAGTAGGACACTACTATTCTTCTTCCTCTGAAATGGAGGGCAGTGATGGAGAAATATAATGTGACGCACAAGGTTTTCAGACTTGTCTGAAACATGAGCATAACTACCCTTGCTCTCTCTGACCTTGAATCCCTTCCTCCTGTCATCTAATGGTCTAAGTTTTATTCTGATTCGAACTGTTGGAGTCACACTCTGAGTTTAGCTAGTGTAGAAGCTGCATAGGTTTCAGCACTCTCTGTTCTTCTCTCTGAGACAAAGGAATGCAAAGTAACAGCTTTGTACTGGGCCTCGTGTTTGTGCTCCAACGCTTTTGCTTAGTTTGGCTTTGCATTTTGAACTTTATGTACTAAAAATGACTGTTCTGTTTCTGTGTTTTTTTTTTTCCTTCTATTAATCAGGAAAAAGAAAATCAATCTCTTCTCATCAAAATAGCTTCTCTTCAAGAAGAGGTAAAATAAATAATGACCTTGCAAGTACATGTTCTTGTCTAGCTAAATGCTTGTTAGTAATAAATTGTTTGTGGGACTTTGAAGCCTGACATGCTAATTGGATTGTCAAGATATCTCATGTTTAACAACAATGACTTGCTGTAATGCTCCTTATCTTGAAATTGTACTATGCTTCAGACTTTCCACTGGCTGGACAAGCAAGAGTATGAGGTGGGAAGCATGAAGGGATGGGATCAAAGCAGCTTTTGAATTTATTTTTCAAATTCAAAGCTTTAGAAACAAACTTCAACTAAGCTTAGTTTGTACAGCTGTGAATACACTAACTCTATATCAAAACAACCTCCAATTAACACTTCTTGATTGATATTCACTTCTGTAACTCTTCTGTAAGATCCAAAGGAGGAGTTCTTCATGGAGCTGTAGTTCTAAAGAAATATGGTGGCTGGGAATTCCACTCCCAGATCTGTCCTTGGCCCATAATGGATCTGCAGGAGGCTAATGGAGCTCTCTATAGGCTGTTTATTTGTTGAGCTTTTTTTGTGTGTGCTCCTTTTCAGAGGGGAGTTATTAATTCTTAAGTAAATATTCTATACAGAAGTCTTCATCAGATGATAAAATTTTAATACTCGCTTACAGACTGTACTTGTATGGTATTTAAAGTGAGATTACGGAAACAGATCATAAAAAATAATCTAAAAATGTGGTTTTGGGGAATCTATCATTATGCCAAAATATAGAATCATAGAATCACCAAGGTTGGAAAAGACCCACAGGATCACCCAGTCCAACCGTCCACTGATTACCGATAGTTCTCACTAAGTATATAGTGTGTGTAGTGTACTATCTACTGTACTTATTTACTATATACTTATATACTATATAGTAGTTGTTGTTCACTGCATGCTTGCTGTGTTGAGATTAGTCTTTCTCAAATACTAGTATGTCTCAATAGCCATTAATTAACAGCATGTTTCTGTTCTTACACTCATGGTGGGCCTGAAAAGCTGATGTTTTCTGGCATTTTGTCCTTCAGTTCAAACAGGGGTTTGGGGGAACTGGAAAATAGAAACTATTCCAGTAGGGCGAGCTTAGCTCATGTAGATGAGAAATAAACTGCTTTGAACTGAATTGGAGATGCTGGTGTCATCAAGTTAACTTCGCCCTTACAATGTTGCTTTCTGACTAAAAGCTTGTCTACAGTGAATATATGCCTTAAGATAGAGGTTGTTACCCTAAACATTCATATTTTTTTGCCTTTAACTTATAGGACTTGCTGAAGGGGGGGAAAAAAAAAAAAAAAAAAAACACAAAAACACAAGTAAGCAAAAAACTACAGTGCAATTCCTATTGTCCAACATGTTTGCAGCCTCAGACCCTTATTTTGATAGGTGTAGAAGCATGAGAGAAAGTAGGAGAATAAAGTTTGTATGTGCATAAATGCTGTTACTGCTTTAGAGTAGGCAGTATCTTGGGGGTGGATGTGTTATTATTCCTAGTTTCTTCAAAGAGAAGCTGTCAATCTGTTCAGCTGTGCCTAAACATTCTCTATTTTGTTCAGAACATTAGGAATAGCATGGACACTGATGGACTTCAAAAGAAGATTTTGGATCTCTCCAAAAACGCGGCAGAGCTTCAAGTAAGAGTTTCAGGAGACATGAGAAGTTAGACGATGGTTTAGTCAGGTCTAGCTTTGTTCTCTGAAAGGTAGACAACCCTGAACTTGTGTATATTAAAGAAATGCAGCGTGATCCTTATTTGGCCAGTTTGACAGCTTTGACAAAGGAAATTGCTGTCTGGAGGCTAAAAACCGGGCAATATAGGCAAACCACATTTTTATTTCATCCCTCAAAGTTAGACTTTCAGAAAACCCTTTCTTCACTGTTTGAGGAGATGCATTAGGAAGTTGCACTTTGGTTAATGTTGCTGACACTGCTGGCCCACACAGGCAAGAAAAGAGAAGGGTTGATTGAGACCTGAGAACACTTCTAATTGGGTGCGAGATTTGAATTTTGAGATATATCGTACCAGGTAAGAGTAGAATTGTTATAGTTCATGCTGGTGACTTTGTTCTCTCTACTCTTCAGATGCAGGTACATATCTATGAGAGCACTGTGGTGAATAAAGAGGCAAGCTTAATCCAGGTTAGTTGCTTTTGTTGATGCCTTGAAAATACTGAGATGGGATGCTTTATGAAAAGGCAAGGCTGTGGTCTTTGCTGTAGTGCTTTGATTTCTAGTGTTCTCACATGACAGAACCTGATCCTATAAATGTCTTCAAAGTAGGCGAGATCTGCTTTAGAACCTGGTAATGAGTCAGCATAACTAAAGGTTGCTGGAATTTGCTGTTCCTTATTAAAATATATATATATATCAGAATCTTTTAAAACAAACTTCCAAACTTCAGAAAAAGTGCGAAGACTTCTGAAAGCTACTTCCTTCACTAGACAGTAAAAGAATGTACCTGCAAATGATCTTTCTCCATCATCTGATTAGCTTTAAATGACTTAATTTTGTGTCAAAATAGCGATCCAGAACTCAGTGGAAAAGAAAATCTGTTTTCTCCATATTGAGATCTGTATGCTGCAGGAAAGCCTAGTTAACTACTTCTGTGATGATTTTTGTACTTGCGCACTTGTGATGTATTTTGTACTTAAATACAAAAACGTAAGACCACATGCAGGTTTTGGCATAGTGGATTGTGCGAAGTGCTTTCTGGGCTAATGAAGTTTCCATTTAGCTGAAGATGCTCTAAATCAGCTGATGAAATGCTTGACTATCAGTTCACTACAAAAAATGTGTGGTTTGAATTCAAATAGTGACAAGACAGAATCAGACTGTGATCTAGCTGGTAACTTTATAGCTGACAAGGTGTTCTTCTCACCCTCACTTCTGCTCCCAGAAGCAGCTTAATAGCTTGTACTTTCCCCTATTTGAACAATTTTAAACTTCCATGGTCCATGTATTCTTCTTTTCAGTGTTTATTTAGTCTGTTGTCAAGAAGGGAATATTAAATGCTGAATACTAGAGTGTGTACTTCTGTAGGTCAGGGTGATTGGTTTGCATCTACTTGAGGAAATTAGTGTAGAAAATTTGAAACCAGCAAATAGCTGGCTTTAGGATCAGTGGGACAAGGGTTTACCTCAAAGGTATTTTTATTAAAAAGCAAAACAACAGCAAAAAAAGCATAGCTCTGTGTCCAAAGAGAAATAGTTTCATCAGTTTGATTAAATAGTTTCAGCTCACTGAAAACAAGTGAGAAGAGAAGATAGAAGTCATTAAAGGGATGAGAGGAGACAGCTCTTTACTTCAAGTTCTTATTTTCTCCAGGAAACGTTTCAGTTGTATGTGTAGCACATAATGCAACTGAAGCCCAGTGCATAACCCTAAGAAAGCTTCTAGTTCTACCAAGTCAGTAGTGTTGTGAGGGTTGATGTGTTCTCTGTCAGACCTTTCACTAGACACTGTTTAATTTACAAAGCCCCCCATGCTCTATCCCTGTAATCATGAAAGCTAACGAGAATAAACGTCTTGGAGAACACAAGTAAATTTAAGGATCAGTTGGCATAAAAAAAAAACAACAACAACAACAAAAAAAAAACTTATGCTATGCACGATATGGTCCAGATTTTCAACTAGAAGTAGAATGCTGATACAGCAACTAGATAACTGATAAGTTAAAACATAGCACCTAGAAAGCATTTTCCTATGCCCTTAATTCTAGGACTTCTGGAAGAGGTCTACCAAGTGCTTCCTACTGGCCAGTAAGCCAGGCATTCTTCTGCAGCTTGCATCTGTGGTGTAATATTGAGTATGCTTTGTAACTAAAATAATACTACAAAATAGATAGCTACAACTATAGCTCAGTGTGCTAATTATCAGGTTGTATGCTTTAAAGCTTTTCTCCACATTCTTTGCAGAAGGAGCATGACATCAAAGAACTGAAATTAACCATTGTGGAGTGTACCTCGATTATAGAGGTATGGGAATAAGCTTAGTTACTGTCTAACTGGGGGAAAATGTGCATATCCTGTGCTGCCTCTGCATGCCAGACTAACTCTCTAACTAGCTCTGATAAATATATTTTAGACTTTGCGGGCAGAGAAGAGTAAACTACTGGAGGACATGCGGCACGTGCAGCAAGAGTTGATTGCGTGAGTACTGAGAGAGAGTCCCAGGAAAAATAGTTCATGAAAAATCAAAAAGGACTGATTCTTATTTTTATTTTCTCCATTTTTCTTTTAGAAATGGTTTGAGCTTCCCGTTGATGAGTAAAGTTAATGGCAGTATTCCTGAAGAGATGAATTCACTGGACTGTGAACTGGAGCTTGCTCAGTCTTCTGAGGTGTGAATCAGATCCTATTGAATCTTATCCCAGTTGTCTTGCATCAGTAAATTAAAAAAAAAAAAAAAGCTCATTCTCTGCAGATTGTTAGATAATTCCAGAGTTAGGATTCATTAGTCCTTGCACATAAGCATAGAATGTGAGGGTTAGAGTGTTGTTTTAAGTATGTCAGAGAAAGCCCAGATAAAAGCAGAGCAAACACTTGCTGATGTATATCTGAAAGAGCTTTGGTCACTTATTTATCTGGCAGAAGAAGAGACTGACAGGAGATGAGTCATCAAACATTTAACAGGCTAATGAAGAAAGTAAATACTGCCTACACTGGACACAAACAATGAGTTTTGCATTGCGGGAGGACAGATGTTTCTTGAAATTTAGTGTAGAGAAGAAGACTAAGCACCAAAGTAAACAGCTGAGAAGGTTGTAGTCTTCATTTAATTTATTCTTTAGAAACTGATGAGCATCTATTTGCAGGTAGCGTTCCTTTGCCTCTCAATAGGAAAGATGTTCCTCACATCTGGAAGTCCTGTCCAGCTGTTTTTTTCTGAAGTCTTTTGATAGGAACTTGGAAGAGAGTGTGAGAAGCATTCTTCTGATAAGTGAGGCACAAGCTGGTGGATCTTAGTGGTGCAGCTGTGCCTGTTGGGTTGGAGGTTTAGTGTTGCCTATGTCCTCTGCAGTTAATTTCTATGAGCAGCACTTTGGTCATGCACATTGGAAGTTTAATCTCTGATTCTCATAGCTTTTCAGTACTCTGGTGGAGAACTGGTGCACCAGCAGTCTACTTTTATGTTGTGGTTTTGGTTTCAGCTATTCTGTGCGCACTTCCCTAAAAGCACTTCATGGAGTCCTATCCTTCCTTGCAGTGTTGTTTTCTCTTCAGATGCAAGTTATTCAGTAGTGCTGATAACGAATGCCTTATTGCAGTGCTTTTATTTTTTAATTATTTCCCTGCAAGTCTTCACTATAACCTTGCTACTTGTTTTTGTGGTTGCTGCATTTTTCAAGAGGTAGGTAGCATTTGAGGGAAAAGATCCTGTGAAGGACTGAAAATGCAGGTCCAGGAGTGAGAGGTATATTTGGTATACCTTGGATTCAAAAGTAATGTCCTGCTACCTATTGCAACTCTACACAGCAGCAGCAAGTTGCTGTGTTTACCTCTCAAGTACTGAATGAGATACAACTCCACCTAATGACCTGTAAAGGAAGTAGGAGTTCTTGCTTTTACTTCACTTGGTAAAACCTACTCTGAATAAGAGGAAAACAAGTATTGACTTCTTGCCTACTTCTGACTTGAAACTTATATTGGATCATTCAAGAGCTTGGCTTGCTTGCTTTTTTTCTTTTACTAAATCTCCAGGACATAATGTGTTTGAAAAGCTTTTGCAGGCTTCAAGTTTCAGTAGCTCTGACCTTCTGGTAAATACAATGCTAGGATACTTCAGAGAAATCTAAATGTCACTGATGCTGGTTTGTAATAAGGATGTCAAAATAAGCTAGCTGGCTCTTCTGTGTCTTCAAAGATTACCAAGACTGAATGGATGTCCCTGGATGAAACACTGGACCGTGAAGTATTGTTCTTACTTCAGGGACCTGAATATGCAGGAGAAAAGTTTAAGGCTGTCATGCAAAACCTGGTCAGTGATCTATCTTATGTGAGTAAGGTTGTGGTCTGTTGTCAGTCTTTTAATTACAACCCGTTCAAACATTATTAATCAGCTCATATTCACTCTCTTTACAAAAAGTAAATGCAAGCAACTTACTTGGATGTAGAGGTGGGGCACTTCTAACAATTTTATTTGGTATATACTATTCCACTGCTTATTAATTGGGTAATGATGAGTAGCATTAGACTAGCAGTTGGATTTTTTTTTTTTTAAATCTTTATTTTCAGCAAGAAGAAGTTTCTGCAGCAGAAGAGCTTGTCAAGACTTCTTTAGAATGGGTAGAAGACCCTGATGTGAATGTGCAGCAGGCCTGGGAGAGAAAACTTGCGGTAATGTTTTTTTAATGCTATTTTCTGTCAGACTTGCCTAAAGTTTTCTGTACGGCCCCAGTATATCTTACTGTTGCATCCTATATGTGTTATTAGAGGTATGGCAGTCCATTTATAGGTCAGATATGGTATATAGGGAAAAGTATATTTTGTTCTAACTCTTAGGGGGGAAGGGGAAGGAACAACTTTTTTCTCTTAAGACCTTAACAACTAATTTTCTCTTAAGACTTGAGGGTATAGAATCAAAGTAACTGTGGCAAGAACTTCTCCCTTTGTTAGCAACAGTCTGCAGATACTGCTCAACCCTCTTGCTCTTGTCCTCTCCCTGACTTCTCCCCTGGTTTTCCACATAACAGTGGTTTCTCAGATGGCCATCATACTGGATGTAGGTTTTTTTTCCTCTAATCTGTTAAGAACTCTTTTACATGCTAATCCATTGTACTGCATATTAATGCTATATATAATCTTTTTATTTCTTAAGTAGATGCAAAACCTCTATTCAGCCTACTTTAGTAATAACAGGTAACACCACAAAACATACTGCTTTAAGCTGTTAGCTTTTAAGCAAAAAGATACTACTTTTTCTTTCCTCCAGTGTTGCAAAATATTATAGCTGTCCCCTCCATCCTTTCTTGGGCAGGAGGAAACAATTGTTAGAGTCACCCAGCCTTCCTGCACTGCTATAGGATTTTGGTCTTGAAAAACTTCCTCCTGCAATATTTCTTAGCTGAAAGATGCATGTTGATTTACCTTTCATGACATCATTGTATTCCCATTAAGCATGTAGAGCTGAGAACTTTTTAAGTGTTGATCTGTTCTGGCTCACCGAGTTTTATACAATTAGAAACTAGAGTAGCAGAGGTTCAAGAAATAGCAGGATGCTTTAAAAATAGGTCTCCCATCCTCAGGGTTCTGGAAGCATGGAATGACTTCATGTCAAGCATATTGTCTTCACTTAGAATGCAGTGGATGTGTGTGAAATATGGTACAGGGAGCTGAACAATAGAAGATGCAAGGAAAAAAGCACTCTTTTTAGTCTTACAGGCAGCTTTTGTGGAAAGTTGGTGAGGTCTTTGGAAACTGGGACCAGCCACTGTCACTTTAAGCTTAAACACTTTTTTTACCCCCTATCTTCTGTAAAATACATTATGTGCATGCTTTGCTGGAATGCTTTAAATTGTTATAAACAAGTAAATTTCAAATGTATCTGTGTGTGTATGTGTGTTTAAGCATATATACATGATGACAGTAAACACTTTTTGCCTCATTCCTGCTGGAAGATAGGGCATGTGTACAGCATAACAGTCTTGATATAAGTCTCTGCCACTTATGTGTCAAGTTATGGTATTTCTAACAGCAAGTGCTGCCTGCTTTGGCTGAGGAACTTATCTTCAGGATGTGGGCATTTGCTCGTGGCCATGTCCCATGTCACTCCAGTAAACCGATCTAATGAAAATGCTCAGGCTTTTTTAGTTCTGTAGTGTGGTACGTTATGCGCTGCTTTTCTTTTGTTTGAAGCTTGTGAACAATGTGAACTCTAATGTGGCCCACATCTGTGGGATCAGTGTTTGTTCCCTTTGAACCAATGTAAGCAGATATGGCTTCCATGTTAAGCATTCTTTAAAGTCAGAGGCCTCCATTTTTTTGCGGTAACGGATGAACAGTGTCAGAGAAAGAGGACTGAGTTCTTCTTTCTTGATATTTTATCCTGCATCACCTAATTCAGGGTTCTAGTTTACCCTGTGTATCTGCTCTTCCTCTAAACATGTGGCAACTCAATCTCAAAATTCCACAGGTTCTCAAGCAGGAGTTAGGAGAGAAAAAACACCTTTGGATCCAAAAACTCAATCTCTTGGAAAAACACAAAGAATCTCTAGATAAGGATTTTATTCGAATGGCAAGCAACCTGAGGAGAACCAAAACAGAGCAACTTCACCTAAGGAAAGAGCTCTCTGCCAGGTACCCCTTAAAAAATAATGTATTTCATTTGTATTAAGTGTATTAAAGTTTACTGAATTCTGAAAGCATTTTTATTTTCCCCATGGATTTTTGGAGAATGGATCTGGTTTTAGTGTAACATTACAGCATGTGAGAGTTTAGGTTTGTGTATGAAATAACTTAACAATCTTGAATTCTTACTTGAAAATATGAGGGAAGACCACAAGCTGAGAAGTTAGAAGGGGATAAGTGGGGGAGAGCACTGCCTACCTCGCAGGTGCAACCATTAAATAAACTGCTGATTGCATGTGAAGCAAGACCTGTGAAATACATATCTATGGCTGTTACTGTTTTTGGTATAACTGAAGCTGTACTCCTGAGAAAACAGGACAGTGAGGTACCTCACTAAATATGAAAATATAGCTTTAAATCTGAGGTTTTAGCCTGTAGTTCCTGCTGGGAGATTTAATATAACAAATACGACAGCAAGTGATAATAAACCTGAAATCTTTCTTTCTTCCCTCTCACCTCTTCTCAGACACTTAAGAAGTGAGCTAGCCAAGTTGGGATTTTTCTTTCTAATTTTCTTTCCAGAAAAATTGATCTCAGTTCTTTGTCCTAAACTTATTTATAGTGTCAGTCTTCCACCATCCTATGCTAAACTGTAAATTTTTACATGCTTGCCATTCCCTAGGTTCAGGATGCAAGCAGCTTACTAGCAAGGCTTTGCATTCCTGTGAGCTAATGCAGAGCAGTCACACTGCGCTCTCACTTCACTCAAATACAACTCACATTGTTAATGTAGACCTCCCACCTGCTCTTCCTTCACTGAAGAAGGAGCTGGCAAAAAATACCAATTTCTTAAAAAAATACTGCTTTCATAGAGCTGCCTCTACATCACCATTCTTTGTGGTGGCTGCAACAAGAAAAAGAAATAATCGTATAAATGAGACAAAAAATAAGCAAGTAAAATGTTTGTGCAGAGTAAAAGAGGCTTTTTGAAAGTGGTCAACTTTAGCACCTGTTCTGTGGTACGGAATCTGCTCACTGCCAAGTGAAATATCTTCTGGAGTACTGGGAGATCAACCAGAGGAAGCTATTACCTGCAGGCACAGCTCCAGGGTGTTTTTGCTAAAATGATTGTCTCAATATTGATAATTTTATTAACTTAGACCAAGCTTTCACAATTTGATCAAATAAGGTTTTTAATTTTGAGATGTCTCTGAATAGTCTATAAGCTTTCACTATGACGCCCAGTTGGCAGAGGCTGGCACAGCTCTTTTTCTGCTTAGTTAGAAACCAGGGAAAAATCTTAATTCTCTTCCTACTTCCAGAGCTACTATAGGGGAGGAGGAAAAAAAAAAACAAAACTGTTTGCCTACTAGGTTAAATTGTTCTCCCTAAGCTGAAAGCCTCTGTTGCTCAGTCCTAGAGATGTAATGGCTGAATATGGTTCTTAATGCGTGTCTCAATGACTAGCATGTGTCATCTCCCAGGCATGCCTGCTCTAAAATGTCAGTAACGGATTGTGGTTTGTGCTCTTGCACCCTGCAGGCAACGTGAGATGGAAACTGTCAAACAGTTGCAAGAAGAAGCTGCTGGCCGGGCAGAAGCTTTTGGTTTGGAGCTGCAAAAAGCTACAAAGCAGCTTGAGGATGCCAACAAACAGGTAAGGGACAGACTAGTTTCCTCTTTGCCGAAAAGATGCAGGCAGATGCAAAACACTGCATACAGTGCATTGCTGCTCTTGGGAAAGGAAGTCCTGCATTCAGAATGGAGAGCCTTATTGCGAAAGTGGAACCAGCGAAGGAAGTAAAATGTGAGGGGGTGGTGACAACAGTTTGCTGATGAAAGAGGCAGCATCGCATATTTGTGGTGGCTTTAAAAAAAAAAAAAGCCAAAAATAGCTTCCATACACAGTCCACCCCAACTGTAAAAATGCAGAAGTTCAGAGAGAGCTTTATCACTTCCTGAGAGAAAACAGATGCAGTTCGGTTTTATCTACATGAACTGTAGAGGCTCCTTGTATTAGGCAGGCTGTTTTTCTTATTTTCCCCTTTTTTTTTTTTTTTTTTTTGTTAAATATTGTTTTGTGCTTAGAGAGAGGACCAAGCTGAATCCTTTCGCTCTGCCTGTGAGGAAGCTGCATCCCTGAAGTGCAAGTTAAAGGAAGCCATTTCTGAGCAGCAAAAGCTCAAGGATGTGAATGCAGCTCTAACAAGCACTTGCCAGTTGCTTCAGGAAAAGATGGAAGAGCAGAAAAGTGAGTAACTATTGGCAATGTGACAGCATTCATCTTTCCGTGGGCAAATACTTTATGGATAAGTTATGGCAAAAGGGAATAATACTGACCTGCAGGTCACCTGTGGTAAAATGCTCTGTGGAAGTGAGTTGGGTGGGATTCCCATGCGTGGTGGCTGGGCTGGACTGGAGCTGTGGACTCCTAACACTACCTATGAGGAAGGTTTAATAATTCCATGGGAGCCTCGCCTTTACTGAAGGTGCTGTTCGTATACCTGCATAGCCTTAACAGTCATCTCTGTGTCTTAAGCTTCCTGTATCAAGGAGACTTGGGTTTTATGCTCTGTGTTCTGCTTGATGTTTAGATTTGCTCTGTGTACACAAATAACTGCGTGGTATCTTTGTTAGAAAGCGATCATGTCACTTCATTGTACATGTGCGACTTCTGCTATGGAACTATGAAAACTTATTTCAACATCTTGCTTGCTAATGTCCCCACTTAACAGAGTTGGTTGAGTAAGTTGTTGGTTTAATTCCAGTGTACATGGCTTTTCCTGTCCAAATCCAAAGTAGCTTTTGCTGCCAGGTAAAGCTAACTTATGCCCACTAAATATCTGGCCTCAGGCATGCATTTCAAAGTGCAGTGTACAGTGTGATTTGTGTTGGCAATAAGCTCAAGGCACGTGAGTGTGAAATTACAGTTTTTCTTGTAGAAAAATTACGCTGTGCTCTATGCCTTAGCCTTAAGGTACAGCTCTTACACACCCCTAGCTGTGCTGACTTATGGACAATGCCAAAGCATCAGTCACATGTGCATGCTTTCATGTTTACTGCTTTCTTCAAGCTATATGGTGTTTTGTAACCAAAGGGCATAACAGTGGAAATAGAACTGAAAGATAGCACTAAATAGATGAAGTGTTTCTGCAAGTCAAGCTAGCATGAATCAAGAGTGAGAACTCCAGATACTACAAAGGAGGCTGATGCCACTGATCTAAAATAAATAAACAAGACCTGAAGTTTCCTGCCTTGAAAATGGCCAAGACTTAGGCTATAAATGACTCCAGGTAGTTTGTAGGGGTCTTTCTAAGATAAACAGAAATAAATTGGTAGTTCTGTCGGAAAGTTGGAATTTGTTATAAAGAACAGGGCAAACAGGGTTGGGGTCAGGACAAGGACAGTGCTTTATATTGGCTCCTGCAAAAAGGTTGGTGGGCTACTGCCTCTTCTGACAAAAGGCCTGGATTACTTGTTTGTTTGTTTGTTTGTTTTCTCCCTGACTCTCACTCCATTTCCCCACTTCCTCATCCTACGTGATGAGGTAACAGATCAGAAAACCTGATAGATGAGGAAGATTGCTGCTAAACCCATGTCAGCCTGGCACAACTCCTTGTGTGTTTCAAATGTGGAGTGATGACTTGAAGCTAACTGCTAATGCCATCATTCAGTGAAAAAGCTGAATGACCTGCTTTCAGTTTTTACTTGGGCACTGAGATGACACTGCTTATAAAAATCTTTCTTCCTTCTCCTTACTTGCACAGTATTAGATTTAGTTTTTATATCACAAGTGTCTTGTATCAAAGTAAAAACCACCGGGGCAGGCCCCAGCGTAACCAAACTTGAACAAAGAATGTTTTTAAGTATGAAGTGAAGCCTATCCCTGGAAGTGTTCAAAGCTGGTTTGGATAGGGCTGTGGGCAACCTTATTTCATGCAACCTTATCCCAGCAATGGTGGAAGTGCAGAACTCTATGGGCTTTAAGGTCCTTTCCAACCCAAGCCGTTCTGTGTAAACTCTTTGTACAAAGCCTTCTCTTCCAAAAATCTGTAATAATCATTCGTTTCCATAGGGAACTGTAACACTGACAGTGTGGGGAAGAATCCCCCCTTCACAGAAGAACAAAGGAGGCATAATCGCAAGTTAAAAGGTTCCCAATTTTGTCTGCCTGATGGAACTTTTGAAACAAAGTATGCTTTTAAAACTATTTCCTGTGAAAACTATTGTAAGTATAACAACACCAAAGCAAAACGTGATAAGTTTGTGACAGGCAGCATTGAGTTTACAGGCACTTTAATACTGGACTGCTCCTTATCAAATTGTGAGGGGCACTCTAAAACTGACAAATGTCTCTTCATAGCCACTGTTATTGCGCTGAGAGGGGAGCTGCTTACAGAGCGACTCTGTGAAAGGCTGTATCAGGTATGAAGCTTGTCTGGTTGGGGAAGAAAAGGTAGGCTTGCACAAGAGGTGCTTTGGTGAAAGGGCATCTATAGCTGAGCTATGCTGCCAAATCACTTGTGGTTCCATTACTTTTTTTGGCTGTGGAATCCAAATGAGATCTATTTGCCAAGCTGCATGACGTTCTTCTCTCCCAGTAAAGATGGACTAGAACTCACTGGTGTGCTGTTGGTCTCAATGTAAGCAGTTCTACATGATGATATTGAATGTAGATTCAGGGAGCTTTCCCTTATGCATGATATGATTTATTACTTTTTTTCCCCAACTGTCCCCTTTCCCAGTCATCTCCTTCTTCTGCAGAGAGGCTCCTTAAAAAATGCTTCCAGCATAAAGGGATTAGGATAAAAGATATAAAATGATTTTTACCTCATGCTCCTCTGTGGAGATATGTTGGAAATTATATAACTTCAGAATAATTTGCTTTGAATAAAAATACTTTCTTCATCTTTAGGAGGAGGTGGAGGGGGAGACGTAGTGGGAAGACTTTCTCAACTGGCTCTAGTAAAAAAATGTTATAGCTTATGGTCTGAGCAGTCTGAATTTAAAAGAGAATAGGAAGGTATTTATAAAGACAAACATAAGATCCTAAAATGTATCTTAGACTGTAACGAGAGCATCAGAGGAGCAGAATCAAAACTCTGGACCAGCTGCATGTGAAATAAAAATTCTATTTGTGCATAGAGGTCTGCAGAATTAAAGACTGAAGACAGCAAGGGGAAACAATTGTGTGTCTTTCCTAATAGTTGAAAATCATTAAATTAGATAAAACTCCTTTTTTTTTTTCTTTTTCTTTTTTCTTTCTACTGCTTCTCCACTGCAACAGCTCTGTGTAGATGAAGAATCTATTTACAGTCTGCTACCTACATCAGTGGAACCAGTGAGAGGGAAGGTAAGTGGTTCTGACCATTGCCAAGGCTGCTAAAACATGATGCTTGTTTTAGTAGTATTTTCCTTCATTACTTAGGGGAAAAAGTCTCTCCTCATAAGAAACTTTGCCAAGTCAATTAAGTTACTTGATTGTATGTTTTATATACATATTTGTTTGTATGTTTATGTATATGTGCACATACACTAAAGTATATTCAAATATGTATTTCAAAGTTTACTATTGCTTCTGAACAGTGCTGTTACAAAGTACAGGCACTTGGTAAGGTGCCTTTTGAGAAGGATCAGAGACTGAAGATGGAGCTGCATTTCTCAATTTGTCTTCTATTAATCACATTATACAACATTTGATAAAATGCAGCTGTGTTAATATTTCAGATGTTTCTTTTAGCCATCTGGAGATAACCCCTCTTCAGCACTATATGGCAAATAAATGGTGTGTGTCTGTAGGGTATGTGGGCAGTGCCTTCTCTCCATGCAACAGGGCTTAAGCTGGAGCTGTCCAGCGACCCCAGCTGAAGGAAACTCGTTCTGCTTAGTAGGTGCCAGGCATTGGGCAAGTGCTCCCTGTCTTGGTCTGCCTCGTTGGTCTTACTCTGGCTTTATTGGAAACAGAGAAGGGGGAAAGAATGGGGTGGCTTTGGTTTGGTTTCTTTCCTCTCCTGTCCTTCACACCCTGCATTTATGCCTTCCATCTTTTTTTCGTGTTATCTACTCCCAAACGTAGCTGAAACCAATATTACCTGCTTCAACTGTGAAGTTGGATCTTGAATTATTCTACTTCTTGTATCAGTTCTGCCCATGAAGGATTTAAGTTTTTTCTAGAAAAAGTGTGGGTGGAGGGAAATGGCATAACTTAGTATTATATAATGCAAAAACAATTCTGCATGTGTGTGGCGCTGATGGCACCAGTACATTTATCATGGTTGAACTTAAGTACTTTTTTTTAGGGCAGCAGAGCTGCTAATAGAAAAACACTGTGGAGTGAGAGACCTACCCTGTGCACTGACTTTCCCAGGACCTTGCCCTCTGATATTTCATACTGGAGTCTTACTCCTCTGCTAGGTAAGACCTAGTGATGTCTGCCAATTTTCTGCCTCTTCCTGAAGTACAGAGGAGTTAATAAGTTGTATAGAGCAGTCTTGCTGCAGCCAAATGTGCTTCTAGATTGTGGAAAGCCTGCTGTTGGCTTTAGCCTATTTTGCATATGATCTGAGGTTGAACCATGCTTTTAATGCTTTCAAATAAAGGTTTCAAAAGGTGGCTGTCTGTTAGTCTACCAATGGTCCTCAAAAGCATAGGGAGCCTATTGAACAAGTCACACATGCAAGTATACTCCTGGCAAGGTACTTGAATTGATGGGACTTATGTTCTTCCTATTTATCCTGTTGAACACGCTTAAGGCAGTGAGTGGCATCCTGCTACTGAGATGGGGACAGTCCTGATTTAAAAATTCAAATGGGTAGCATAGTTTTTGAGAATCAAATAGTAGTATTTCTGACTTCTTTCTTTATATGTGGTTTGTGCTTTCCTGCAACTCTCAAGCCTTACTCCACTGCACAGCAGAGTGCACTTGGGACAGTATTTCCTCCATGAGTAAAGCTGGTAGAACACAGTGACTGTTCTAGTACAAGCTGTGAAATACCCAAATGTAATCTAGCCCCATACTGGGGGGAAATAGAGGATAAACTTGTTTGATTGTATGTGCTTTCTAAAATGCACTAACGCAGTGTAGCTGCAACTTGCTGTATTATTGTGATCCTGCCATAAAGAAGGCAGGTTTTTGTGTCTTGCATCAGTCAAATATTGTTTTAAGAAGTCCTCAGTCAAAGATCTATTTTTCCACTGCCCTCTACCACAAAACAACACTTCACTAGACCAATACTCTGCCATACAGAAGTTTCTGTGACCTGACTGATGGACAAATCCCTTTCCTTGGGTGCTACAGGGAAGTAACACCCTGTACATACTTCCATATACAAAAATAGGCAAAGCCTGGGTAATCCAACCCTTCATACAAGACAAAAACTTTCTTAATCTTTATTAGATTGGTCTGTTTCTTTATTATCTCAGACCTAAGAAATGAAAATTGATGTGACTGTGACAACTTTGCTTGTGGCTGTGCCTCTTCATGCTGCTTTCACTTTCTACAGATGCTCTAAACCTGGAAACCTCCTGCCCAATTAACTTTCCTGTGCACAGCTGGAATCCCCCTTGCAGATGGAGATCTGTCACCAGCCTCTTTGAAAGCTGTGGTCTGTGGCATGCATCCATTTCAGATGTGACATCAGTAGGGTACAAGTAAGATGGCAGGATAACCTCTTTGGGGTAAAGGGTGGAAGACTGCTTGGGATACAGCAGGTCCTGGAAGAAGCTCAGCGCACTAGGTTCAAAAGATGAGCATCTCTTAATATATTGGGCACTCAGTGGCCAGCTAATGGTGTTTTGGGGGAAACGCTTTGCTCCTCTTTTCAAGAGCATTATTAAAACTTTACTGAACCACTGGTACGGCCATCAGGCAGATATGGTGGCAGTGAACAGCATTTCATGCTGAGGCAGAAGGTAGGTGTTCTTGTGTCTATTTCAGTATTTAACTCATGATGACACTTGCATTTTGGAGCCAAATTCTTATCCATTTTAAGGAGAACTTCTTTTGGCAGAATTTAGTGCAAGAATTCTAAAATCTTGCCTATCAAACTGTCTCCTTAGATCTCTTAAACAGATTGAACTATTTAAGACTCTGTAAGCAAGCTAACTAAAGTCAGTGAATATTTAAAAAGCAAGCTAAGGATGTTCCTGGAGATGTAGAAGCAGGCAGTCTGCAGCTTCTGAGGAAACTCAGCAGCTTTTGAAGCTTTTGCCATAGGTTTTCTCTAGAGCAGTGCAGTGTGGAGGAGGTTGGGAAGGACAGGTGGTGGTTCTTGCTGTTTGGGGGAGGAGGGATTGATGTTTGTCATGAATTTCTCTTGGAGACCAGCTGTCTGACTGTACAGATAGCAGTGACTTTGGTTGTTATGTGCTTAAGGCAATGTATCTCACTGTTGTTCAGGCAATATGCAAATAAAATGTGTATTGCCAGGTGGAAAATATACTCTGCTGGTGGCTATACTGATTCAGACCTTCCTGTTTCCATTACAATGATGGACTCTTCACTTACTGAGGTGAGTGCTGTCTCTGATACCCCAAATGTAGTTCTGAATGGGTTCGTGCACTTTGTGCCTTACAAACAGGCAGATGAAGATTTATCAGCACTGCAATGGAGCTGGCACTAGCCAGCAGGGTGCAGAGATGTTGTTTTTCTGGGATATTTCCTTCTGCTTGGGCTCTATCCTGGAATACTGTTACTGACCTAAAAGTATTGATGTTCATGTGCCACTAGGTTATGGTTTTAGCTGGGAGATGACTTTTAAATGGTTTATAGGCTTCAGCCAGTGCTCTTTGAACAGAAATGCTCTGTTTTGCCGGGGAAGTGTCAGTGACCTCACCACATTTATACACCTGTAAGTGATGACAGGATTCTTTAGTTGTGAATGCTGCCTTTCTCTGCACTTTGTCCTATGTCTGTAACAGCTGAAAAATGATGTATTTGCTGTAAGACCTTCCTTCAGTCATGTGCTCGGATATGCTTTCCCTGCTGTAGTGAATCCTGCATCTATCAAACTGCTTCCTCCTACTGTTTGAACTGTCAGTCAGCTTTCTCATGGTGATAGCCACATGAACCATGTCTCAGCACTGTGCTCAGTGCTGCAGCACTCACTGCTGAAATCCAGACCTCAGCCCTGCTACACAGCATGGCTTTCTAATTAGCTTTACAAGCTATAGCATGGGCAGCAGTAAAAATTGGTCGGTGGTTTCTGTGAACCTGGAAACAAGTTGTGCAGCACCAGTGAGCATGCAGCCTCAGAGCTGCCCTGGTCTCAGTGCAGTGCAGAGTGAGGCAGAAAGTGCAATGAAGGTAGAAAGTGGGAGATAGATACTGCCTGTGGTCTCAGCACACTGCTCAGCTGGGAAAGAGAAGGTGGGGTATTCCCTCCCTGGTGCTGCTGCTGCTTATGTTGTCTTAGAGGGGTAATTGCAGTGATTTTAATCCTCCTGGGAAGCGGCAGCTTTGCAAAGTTGTTCAAAATGTCTGTCCTTCATTGTTCTGGAGTTTTCTGTAATTCCAACTGGACTTGCAAGTGGCATTTTCCTTTTCCTAAAGGAAAACAAGGAAAAAAAGGAAAAATGTAAGTATTAAAGCTTGCCCTAAGGAGGAGGTAAGCAGACTGTGTCCAGTACCTGTTCTGAAACCTGTGATGTGTGGAGACATTTGAATACCCCAGATCAATAGGAAAGGTATCTCTAGTGCTTTTTATTTTGCACTGTGGTTGCAGATGTGCTTGACCAGGCTGAGACCTTCTGCATGTAAGTAACTCCAGGGCTTTGTCAGTGCTGTCATTTGTAAGAGATAGATCAGGGGATACTAAATAAAGGAGTGCTTGTGAAGCTAGATCAGAATTGGGCATTTTATGCTTGTTTTGATGGTATGAAAGTAAAATGTATAAAGTGTTTTAGTTGTGGTTGTTCTAAGTGTAGACTTTGCAATCCCAGTACAAGCAGCCAGTATGAGGCCTTCAAAAATGGAGTTGAGGATTTTCCTTAATTGCAAAACAGGAAACTACTGAGGTTACCCAGAGAGGTCATGCAGGATGCTGTGTTGTGCTAGTCAGCTCCAGGTGCCATCTGCTTTGTGTTGGCAGTGCATGTTTGTGCTTCAGGAATCCTTCAGAATTCTCTTGCTTCATTCCAGTGCACCATTCATCTCTTTTCTTCTCCTCAACTACTCCTTTAGTCCTACTGGCCTGAACACAATGCTGAACTTCCTTAAGCTTAATAGAGAATTCAAATAGGAATAAAAATAGCCTGCATTTGCATTAGAGGAAACATCGGCTGGCTGAGGCACAGACTCTGCGAGGGCAGTCAAGCTCTAGTGGAGGGGAAAGAAGGATATTTCCCATTCAGTGTCTCTCTTTGCATATTGAAAGGCTAAAGATGTTCTTCTCAGCTGTGATGCAATAAGACTTGGGACCAGAACCACACTGCAGTGGCTAAAGGCACATGAGCAAAACTAGTTGTTTTTTATGTCTGTGCAGTCAAGTTGTTAAAAGTAATGCACTTATCTATGTAAATGAGTTGAATATTTATAGCTGAATGGAGTTCTGTGCACTTATGACCTTGAAAAATGGGTGCACCCTTAAGCATAGCATTGGGATAGCCAAGTGGTATAGTAATACATGCTTTGGTCATGTGAAAATGTGTTAGAAGCTAAATGTGTTGTCAGGAACAAAATTACCTCACTAAATTTCTGCTGAAAGTTATCACTCCTAACAGTAGTATCACAGTAAGCTGTATGATATGAGTAGAGGTGGCTATAGACTTTGTGCTCATGTACCATCTGGTTTTCTGCTGCTGAGGTAATTCAGGTACAGCTGGAGTAATTAAGATTTTGAGATGACACGATCAGAGGGCTGGAGCATATCTGTTATGAAGAAAGGCTGAGGAAGCTGGGCTTGTTCAGCCTGGAGAAAAGAACGGTCCAAAAAGACCTCATTGTGGCCTTCTGGTATTTAAAGGAAGCTTATGAACAGGAAACTGACTGGTTTGGTAGTGATAGGACAAGGGGGAATGGCTTTGAACTAAAAGAGGGGGAATTTAGGTTAGATGTCAGGAGGAAATTCTTTACTCAGAGGGCAGTGAGGTGCTGGCACAGCTGCCCAGAGAAGGTGCAGGTGCCCCATCCCTGGAGGTGCTCAAGGCCAGGTTGGATGTGACCCTGGGCAGCTGGGCTGGTGAGGGGGCAGCCCTGTCCATGGCAGGGGTTCGGCTGGGTGGGCTTTAAGGTCTCTTCCACACAAGACATTTGATGGCATAAAATATTTTCTACTTGCAAGGCAACCTGATACTAACTCTTCTCTCTTCCTGTTAAGATGGACTGTGCAGAGCCGTCAGTACCACTTGGTCTGATCCCATCCAGGTCAGGTTTTGTGTGAGGCTTTAAAAGTATTAAGATTGTATAATATGGATGAGCATCTAAAAAGTAACTTTGTTTTGACAGTGATGGCTTAACTTCTCCCCAAGAAGTTCTTACATCCTCTTCAGAAAGCACTGCGCCGGTAACAGGTAGGGCCCTTAAACCAGAGTGCAGGTGTGTAAATGTCTTGTGCTGAAACTCTCAAAATAGATATGGTGAAGTCTCTGCATTTACTGACTGATAAGTGCTCTGTCTTCTGTGGCCTGATACCTAGGCGGCCTTGTGATGGAGGAAAAGCCACCCAAGAACTCATGCGCAGAGGAGGAAGTTGTGCCAGCTTCTGTGACAATGGAGAGAAACAACAATCAGGATGCAGCTGGTTCTGTGTCAGGTACAGTAACTGCTGCAGCCACACTGGTGTTCGTGCAGTGAGGAAACAGTTTGCTTTCAGAATGCCTTTAAAATGAAGAAGCTGAGTAAGAAACTAACTTCAACTTCTGAATTTTTGCTGCTGCAAACACTCACACCTGCAAGTGCTCTCAAAGCTAAGTAGGAGTAAGGCTGTGCCCAGGAGGGTGCCTTATAGTGTTGAACGTGAGCATGAAATAACTTGGTGAAATCAGCTGGTGTAACACTGTGTGGGTGCTAAACCCCAGGGCATTCGGGGAGGAAAAAATCTTTTCATTGTTTCATGAGGTTTGGTAACTGTACTAAATGGCATTTTCCTTTGAAGTTGATGTTTAGAGTGTAAAAGGATGGGGTGGGCCTGGAGGAGAGATGAGATGGAGACCTTTGTGTATGGTCCTGTCTTTCCCTATAGTAACATGTATCCATAATTATCACTTTTACCAGATTTGCTGGGGATTCTCTCACTTAAAAACTAAAAGCAAAACAAAACTAGAGTGTGTGCGTGGCTGATCTGAATAAGCACCACAGAACTCGTGGTTGTTTGTAACTATCTTTAACCTTTACCCAAATATAGGGCTCTTTTCTTGTCATCTTGTTTCTTGTTTTGTTTTGTTTCTTGGGTGCTATCTTCCTGAAATCTAATTCAGTCTCCTTTCTTAATATATTTTCTTTCTACTAATTTGCCTTTGCAGTTAATTTTCATAGTTGATGAAAGTACCTTTAGCAAGGAGGAAACAGACATGCAAAGCAGATCAGGAAGAGTCCAAATAGCTTTAAAGTCTGAGATCCTGCTGCTAGCTTTACATCTCCCAGCAGAAAGCATTTCTAGCATTAGGATGGGAGTGTTGTTGAATCTGCATTTGTGATCTTTAATACTACTACACAACGTCTTCTAAAGGTGCTTGGGAGCCAGGTTGGATACTTAGGGCTGTGTAAAAAATAGCAGGGGCAAAGGGAGCACTGAGCAGGGGATGTTGGTTATGTGAAGGATGAAGAGAGAGAGCACTTCAGACCTGAAACTTTTCTTTTCTTGTGCTATTTCTTTCCGTGCATCTGTGTATGTGGGTGTGTGTGACTATATAAACAGCAAAAAAAAAAAAAAAGAATTCTAGATGTTCTAAGAGCTATAAATAGCTGCCAGAGTTACTTGCACACAAGAAATCAGTTTAACTCTCCAAGACTTCCTTCAGTTTCTTAAATATTTTCCCTTTAATAGCTGTGTTTTTGGAGGTTATTTTTGACTGCTTCAAATGCTTTCTACACTATGGCACTTGAAAGAATCCTAATTGGCATCATCAGTTCCTGAACTGAGCAATTTGTTGCCACCAGCCTTTTGGCAAGGAGAGCTCTTCTGTTGGCTCTGCCAGCACCCTACTGGTTGGTGGTTTTTCTGAGTAGGAAGGGCAGCCCAGGTGTCAGGCGTTGGAAGCTTATAGGCTCCTGATATACCACGACTCTGTGCTTTTTTTTTGACCTAGTTACGCTCGAGATGCTCTGTAATGGTAGCTGAATTAAGTTCTGTATCTGATGTGTTGTCTGATGTTTCATAGCATGAAGTTGAAGAATTGCAAACACTCGCTGCTTCTTCTCTAGCTTGTGCATGGGAATTTATCTCCTATATTCCTGTGCTAATTGAAGTTGAAATAAAAACTCATTATAAACTCTTTCTCTAAATAACAAAGAAAACAGCTGGGCGGGGGGGGAAGGACAGAAAATCCAAGAGACTATTACTTGAACTTCTGTGTTCTGTGACTTCACCTGGAGCAACTCCGGTCAGAAGTAAGTCTTGCTCATAAACATGTAGTGCATGTTACTACACTTTTTTTTTGAGGTCTGTTGGTCAGTGGCTGGTACTCTGGGTCTTGGTGTGTTGGAGGCTTGTTTTGATTGTATTACATTTCTTTTCTGGATTGTTTTTTTTTTTTTCCAGAACCTGACCTCATCAAGAAGGAGTCCACCTCCATGATGGAAGAACACAAAGCAGATCCCATGAAGAAAGACCTGGTGAGTGTCCTGGTGATGTGGAAATGTTGAATTGTTTGGCTGAGTGGTAGCGATGCTAAGCAGCAGAGGATGGGCCCCTTCAGGGCTTCTACAGCTTTTGCCTTGGTCTGTGGTTTTTTGTGTTCTAGGAGATGGAAAATGAAGCTACTAAAGAACAGATTGAGGTAACACCAGCCATGGTTCCCAGCAGGAAAGGTAAGAGATTTGTTGAGTTCATTTGCTTAACTTACCAGGTGTGTGCCTTGGTCACCTGTGCCAAGAGCTGTGCGAGTGGGTGTAGAAAACTGCCTGGGCTGTGCCAGTAGTTGTATGAGGCTTCTGTTTTTAGGGATGGATGTTGCAGTTGAACACCAGAATTGGGTTAGCAGTAGAGAAAGGAAAGATGTTAGCATACAAAAACTTGCTTCTCTGATTTCTGCAGATACTGATCTAACCAGCTCCAGCTTCCTCTAGGCAGGAGGAAGAACTTAAGAGCTGCAGAGGAGCTGGGGTGTCTGAAACTGACATGCCTCCTCCTGAGATTTGTAAAGCAGCATCCTTTATGCTAACTAAAATTTAGGGTACTGTGTTCCAGATTAACTGGAAAATGCTTCTGCTGAACTGTGCTTAGTGATCCCCACTCTGTCACCTCACCTTTTGCCTTTGGAGAACAGCAGCGAGTGATGGTGTAACATTCTGAACCTAAGGGTTGAAAGCTTAATCCAAAGTTTATATTAAGCTTTCCCATGCACGCAAGATGTGAGTTGAAATCACATGAACTAACTTCTGTGGTTCCATGCAAGTGTCAGTGCTTTGTTGTTGCTGTTCTACTGAGGTACACAAGAAAAAAAAGAGTTTAACACAGAGGAATTACAGCTGTGGCTTCTGCTGGAGCTCCAAAGACTGACACAAACCATTTTGGTGGGCTGTTGGTTTTTGTTTTGTTTGTTTTTTTTTTTTTCATTTTGGTTGAGAAAGCTTCTTTTTTTTTTTTTTTTTTTCCTTTTCAGGGAGTTCACCCACTACAGGTGGCCTTAAAGGAGATAAAGCAAAGCAAAATGAGCCGTAAGTGTTCTGATTTTCAGTGATACCTGCATATGGGAATTCAGAGTGGCAGTTTGTTACATGATTGCTTCTTCTTATCTCTCAGTGACTCTCCGAGTGAGAAGGAGGTGGAGGTAAGTCTCTACTGCCTGTATCCTTACATATCGTGGACAACAGAAGGGCCTTGTACATAAGCCATTCATTGTGGTTTGCTATCTTTTCCCATATAAAAGAATGGTGCTGAGTAACTTAAACCCAGTCTACTTTTGTGAATTGGCTTTTGAAGTGTTGTTCCCAAGTATGTTGACATAAACAATGTTTCTGTATGTCACAAATATGGAAGGGCTGCGATATGAGAAGGTGGAAATCTGTAAGACTGACTAAAATACTGTTGCAACTGAAACACTCATTTGCAAGGGTGAAGGAGAGCAGAGCTGTGACCTCCTCCTGGCAGAGTGTATTGGTTTAGCCCCATTTTTTCAAAGGACGCTGCATGCTGTCAGGATCTCATCTGTCCTGGCTACGGATTATTTTCTCCATCACTATAGATGGAAGGACTGGCTCTGGGGAAGCAAGCCATGTTTGTTTTATCTTCTGTATCTCTTCTGTAACTTCATTATGGAGTATATTCCAAAATGTCATTTCAGCATTCATATCTACTTAAAAAAAAAAAAAACTGCACTGCTTGGATTGTTCTGAAATCATTTTGTTTCCACAATAGGCAGAATTTCTAAGGCTGTCTTTAGGTTTTAAGTGTGACTTGTTCACTTTGGACAAGAGGGTGAGGCTTGAAGAAAGATCCCGAGAGTTGGCTGAAGAGAACTTGAAAAAGGAGATTACAAATGCTTTGAAGATGCTGGAGGTGAGTGTGAGTGAGGTGCACAGGAGCAGTGGTTATCAGTGTCTTCCAGTATGGCGCTCTTTCTCCAGAATTTGTAGTACATCATGAACTAATCTGAACAAAATTAGGTGATGAATGAGGGAGGGTTAACCTGCATCTGAGTGCTCAGGCAGTAGGGAATTTCTCTATTGCACAGGTGTCCAGAAAGAACCCTGTACTTGATTGATTTTATGCTAGTTAAGCTGAAGTCTCTGCCCACTGGAGCTTGCTATCAGGGTGCACTGAGTGAGGCTGTTGAGTGCTAGTGTGGTGACTCTGAGCCTGAACACTGCCCTTCAGCATCATCAGTTGAGTTTGCCCGTTGTTCTCTAAAGACAGCTCACGTTTTTCTTTTCCGTGTGTTTGTTAGGCTTTAGTTCCTTTGTGTGAAGAAGATAACCAAGCACAGGAAATTATTAAGAAGCTGCAGAAAAGCTTGCAGTTTCTCAGCCAGTATGCAGCCAGAGTTGCCAGCAGAGCAGAGATGCTGGGAGCTATTAACCAGGTAATGCTTCCCACATACACATTTTGTATAAAAGTTGTTGAGGGTTAGCAGTACCTGTTGGCTGGGCTTCTGGTTTCAGGACTAGATGTGGGAACTCATGTAAGCAGAGGAAACTGACCAGTAGGGTCTAGTCCTGGCTCTGCCTTCTCAGACTGCTGCATGTGTTGCTATTGGGAATCACAGGCATTGTGAGAGTGACTGCATTATGGAGGAACACAGCACCAATGTGGTCCTGATTTAAAATAAAAAATGAAACAAAACAAAAGGAAACTGGTAGCCTAGGGCTGCTTACAATAGAGAGCACAAAGATATAATGTGGCAACAGCAGTCTTGTTGCTCTAATGGTAATTGCCTGCCTTCTGGGAAGGGTCCTAACAGGGCTTTGGAGGAAGTGTAAGTGAAATATATGGAAACTTTTAAAAAATCTAGTCAAATGTTGTGTGTAAGCATGTGGAAGAACAGCATGAAGGTAAGTCTTGACAATACAGTGAATGTGTAGTGGGTGTTCAGACTGTTGCTCAAAGGAGGTGAGTTATAAGGACTCAGAACATTAAAGTGTGAGCCACGTTAGAATAAGAAAAGTCACTGAAGAAGTGAGATTTGCGTAACTTTGGTGTGAAGTGAGAGATGGCTTGCAGTGAAACTTTGTAGATGTGATGCAACATCCTCTCACTTCTGTCCACTATGGTACAAGATGGGAGTGGATAGATGATGATGGAGAAAATAGAATCTTAAAATCTAAGCACAGTGTAGCTCCTCAGAGGGCCACTTCATTGACTTACGGCCGTTTCACTCTGTCAGGAGAGCCGTATCAGCAAGGCTGTGGAAGTAATGATTCAGCACGTGGAAAACCTGAAGCGCATGTACGCAAAAGAGCATGCAGAACTTGAGGAGCTGAAGCAGGTCCTGCTCCAGAATGAGAGGTCATTCAGTTCTCTTGGAGATCGAGGTAACTCAGACCAGCCAGTTGGGCCCTCCTCTTGTTGTGGTTTGCCAGGCAGGCCTGCCTAGTTGAGGCTCAACATCTGAGGTAGAGAGATTTGTATGACTGATGTATCTCCTTTTCTAGAACTAGAGGAAAAATACTATGTTACAAGCAAAGTTGTATATAAAGTGTGAGGAATTGTGGGATAGTGGGAAGAAACACTGCCAGGATGTGGCAGTGTTCTGGCTTTTCCACAAGTGCACTGGGGGTATGGTGATGGTAATCTTACTGCTTCTGAACAGTACATTTAGGTGCTTGCTCACTCTGCAGTGTTCCCAGCCTGTTATTTCTATGTAGTTTAGTTTTGACTTTGTAGGTGCTTGCAGCTCTTTTCTAAATTTGAATTTCAGCTGTTGAACTGCAGGTGCTCTGAGTTTCCCCCATTCGGCAAATGGTAGAGTGGTTGGGTTCTCAGACGGTGTCATGAACTTGTGGCTTTTCCAGGAGGAGTGTGAATTTCTTCTGAAATGAAGCGTGCATTTTAAGAGCAGATAAGGTGGTCTTAGTTGTGCACTGCTAAAAATCAGGAGCCTAAACCACAGGTTAATCTTAAATTTTGTCTACGAACCATAAATTACTGTAGAGATTGGCCTAAAACAGGGTGTTTGACTTGATAATGGTAGAAACGCTGATAGCAACAGGAATTGATCCTTGCAGAGGATGTGTAATATATGCATATATTCAGAACTTATCTAGAAATAGAGAGCTTTTTTTCCCCCTGAAATCTCATTTCTGCTTTCTGGGAGCATTTTGATGTACTCTCTGCTTAGGCAGATACTGCAGAAAGTCAGACCTCTAGTTGCAACTAAAACACACTGCATTTGTGTAAACCTTCCTGGTGTCTAATCTGTTCACAGATGAATCTACAAACAAGAAGCTCCCCAATTCCTTTAACTTCAAGGTATGGCCCTTTTAGTTTAATGTGGTGTGTGTGTGTGTGTGTGTGGTTTCCTTTGCCAAGTCGTACACTGGCACTGTGGTGCATGCTTGACATGATGGTTTTCTCTCAAATATGGGCTGGTGTCATCAAACACAGACATATTTTCTCATTTGCCTTGATTCCCCCTTTTCCTCCAGACCCGAGGGAGTTGTGTGTGGCCTCTCTTAGGGCAAATGAGGGGTTCCCAAAAGCTGAAATGACTGTGCTCTCATGTAGCAGCTAAGAAATATTGTTCACATGTGGTTCTCCCATTGGCGTTACAAGAGAAGGGTTTAGCACAGATGAAAAATTAAATTCAATTCCTGTTGACTGGAGGAATTCCTGTGAGGGAATGCATTCACTTCTGGTGTTTTGCTGGAAGCTGTGTGCCCAGCCTCTACTTAGGTGGGGAGGAGCAGTTAATCTGGGAAGATGCTACTTTAAAAAAAAAAATAAATAAATACATGTATTTGGGGCTGTGTGCATCATTTAATTGCTTGTTGTGTGTCACTTCAAGCTAAGTATCAGTGTTGAGTTTTTACAGTTTGTGCCAAAACAGATGGTGTCTTGTGCACTCAGTGAGTAATCCAGTCATTCTTTGAGCCAGTAATGCCTTTTATTCCTGCAGCCATCACCATCCTTACGAAGAGTTAGCATTGCAACATTGCCTAGGAGCTCTGGAAATGCAGGTGTTGGGGTGCCACTGGTGAGTAAGGGCTCTTGTGTGGTGAGGCACGTGTCCCTTCTCAGAAGTGGCTGAGTTTCACTGGGAAAAGGCAGCTGCACTAAGTGGCTTGTGCTTCTTCTCTAGGCCCAACTGCAAGAACCTGTTGGAGATGAATGGAGTGATAAATTCAACAGGAGATCAAGCAGTTGGTAAAGTTGCTCGGCTTCTTCTTTGTCTAGGGTTAAATAATTTTCAGCTCAAGCTGTGCCTATATAAAGCAACCTATGGAGCATCCTGAGGTATAATAACATTAGGCTGCATCTTTCACGTTAGCTCTATGTGCTTCATTAGGTAAATGAGCTTTTGTGACTAAATGCTGCAGCTTTTCTTTTCTAAATCTCTCAACCCTTAATTGAAAAATTATGTTCTCATGCATTAGAACTAAAATACGAAAACCAGGTAGCTAATGTTAATGGATTTGGATTTAATTTTTAAAAATCCCTAATTTTAGGTGACTAATTTTGAAACTTATTTGTCTAAGTCCCAACCAAATGAGTAGGCTGCTGCTAAACTTGTAATTTCATGATATGTTTCTGGTGGGGAAACTCAGGCAAGTACATTTAAAATATGACAGGGGACGACTAGGAGCAAGGCAAAATGAGAAGCGTCCTTCCCTACAGCGATTCATTAGCACCTATTCCTGGACAGAGTATGAGGATGAACATTTGGAAACTAAGTAAGTTCCATGGCAATGCCCTCCGTGTTATGAGCTGTCAAATCACATGCTTGATGGAAAAGCTTTGGAACTGTTGCTTGCTTGCTTTTAGAAATGAGCAGCTGGAATTGCCTGCTGAAATGCAAGAACAACTATCAAGAAAGGAAAGTACCTCTGAAAAAGGAAAGTGTCCATCAAAATGGAACCTGAAGTCAGCGTAAGTTTCTTTTGTTTTTTCCCCTCACATGGTTGTGAGGTAAAGCAGTGGATGGCTGTGGGAAGTGGAACCAAAGCTGTCGCTTTGGGTTTTGTTCTCAACACTGACTGCTGAAAAAAAACAAACCAGGAATGAATAACATCTGATGCCAGACTCTCCTCACGAGGGATCCATTAGGAACCTTAAGGGGGAAGGTAATGAGGAGATAAATGGGAGCTTCATGCTGCAATCCTACTTTTACTACTCTGTGCCTGTATTTATAGCTGAGCTCTGAGCTACTGGGGCATGTGACATCTACTCTCATTTTAAAAACACACAAAAAAACACCATGGATTTTTTTTTTTTTGAGGCCTGTGCAGCACCTAGTAGCAGGTACAAACAGAGACAAGCAGTTATCACCACCAAGTCTAGATTATTGCAGCTAATTTCTCTGGGTCTTCTCTGGGTCAAAGAAGGCTGTCCTCAAGAAGAATCCTTTCAAAGCCCCTAAATTTAAACTCCTGCCCTACAGGAAAGAAATCATGTGTTCTGTACAGGAAAAACTGCATGAATATCCTAAGCTAAACCTATAGTTCAAGCATTCCTGGGCAAGGAGACAATTGCACGCTAGCATGTAAAACTGAAAAGACAGCAGAAAGAACAATGCAATACATTTACTTTCTTTCTATTGTTGGACAAAGAATACATGTTCCCAATTTCATGACAGCTTTAAGAGAGGAAAAGTAGGAAAGAAAAGTCACCGAAAAGTAGGTGAGAAAAGACTATTCCCTAATTTCATGGGAGGCACCAAAGTCCTAGAAACAGTGAAACACAGAATTTTTCACAATCTGCAAGGCAGCACTTGTGAATCCTCTTCAGAAATAGTGTAGAATGGAGCAGGTGGCTGCCTGAACTGGGCTTTAGGTGTGTCACCTAAATCCTGTATCAAAAACTTACTGATCTGCAAAATGTCAGCTAGCACTGTGCAAAGCTCCTAGTGCAACAGAATCCTTGTCTGTCACCTGTGATAGTTAATGATGTATGTGCTTTTTCAAATCTTGGCTTACTGTCTTGATGAGTTATTGTGTTAATTTTTGGTTTGTGGGAGTTTTCGGTTGGTGGGGCTTTTTTTGTTTGTTTGTTTGAGGGTTGGGAGTTCCAAGTTCTGAAGAAGAATGGAAGGAGCATTACATGACTTACTGTATTCTGCAGGTGCAATTTAGTGTCATCGTGGGCATCCCATTTCAAGACTTCCTTTTCCAACGCTAACAAAACTCTCTGGGTTTCCGTGTCCATCCTGGTACTGCTTGCTGCTTTTACAAGCTTCCTCACTGGGCTGTCCCTTCAGCGACCAGCGGATGCAGCACCTGTAGGAACAGGGGACTCCTGGACTTCACTACAGCAACTGTTGTGGCCATATACAGGACTTCAACACAATGGGCCGCCCCCAGTATAACCAAGGTTTGGACCTGTGTGAGTGACACGTCTGAGTTCTAGTTGACAGTATGAGAAGCTACACTGAGATAGGTAATATATTTAAGGTCATGGTTTGGGTTGTGGGCCTTTTGAGGGTTTTTTGTGCTTTTGTTTTTTCATGACTTGAAAAATACTTTTTTCTTCTCATTCTGGCAAAAGTTAACTTTTCAAGTTAATGGGGGGAGCGGGGAGTCTTAGTTCTATTCAGGTTTAGAATAAAACAGGTAGTGATTTTTGAATGTGGCTCACAATAAATATGACTAAATGGTCCAGCCACAAGAGAATAAGTAACTTATTTTAACAAAGATGCAATGGTTACATTTTAGTCATTAAAGCTGTTCCAATAGTTTGAATAGAAAAAGACTGAAGACTTGAAATGTGACTTTATTGGAAGTTTTTGATAATAAAGTTTTAAATGAAAGCATGAAGTATTTAAGAGTATGTTAAAACTCTCGTAGCAAGGAGCAGCTGATAGACAACATCAACAAACAGAAAGTTAGCTGTATTCACTTTATCAATTGCTGCTTTGCTGGCAAAATCTTTCAGCATGTGGTAGAGAGAGGAGTGAAATTCAGAATCTTCTTCTAGTTCCATTGAAAAAGCTTCACTGACTTCAGTGATCTTCAGCTTCTGTGCTCTCTGACCATTAAACATGTAAAGAGACCAGTCTTCATCTTTGACAAAATCTGCTTTAAGATGCTCACTTACCTGATGCGGAAAGAAAATGGGCTGTAAGATAAAGCTGACAGAACTAATTCTAGTATGTGTTTGAGTTTACTACAGAAAATCAGTTTGTTTGGTTTTTTTGAACTCTTAATGTAACATTAGGTCTTCACCTAAATGACTGTGTAGAATTACATCAACACCAGCTTATTCCATGGTTTGCCTCTGTAAACTGCAGGTATCATCACTGCCTTTCTTGCTGTTCTGACTTACACATAAAGAAGAGCTAGCTGCAATGGGCATCATGTATTTCTGTTCTGCTTAGATTAAGTAGTGGGCTTAAAGGCACATGACATTCAGACAAATATTAACCCGGGGAGGAGAACTCAGTATTTCAACAGTATGTTCTGTACCTACAGCCACAAATGGAGGTATTTCTCTGTCTGGGAGAAGTTTTGACCATGTGCCACTCAGTGAGGAAACAAATCAAGTTGTGTGTTCCCTTCTTTACAGTACAGAACAAATGAAAACACCTATGAAGCTAAGAAGTAGCTTCCAGGTGGTAACTGGATGGTAATTCAGAGGACCTTCTTATAGGTTACTTTGAGAAATGAGCATCTACCAGTGTCTCCTAGCCCCAGTAGTTGACCTGTATCAGCTGTACATCTTAGCACATTAGTAAGTGCCTTTGTTATTGAGAATTGTACCATTACAGCTCTCAGCCTTGTTCCTCACAAATGCAGGAGTTGCGAAGCAGGAGAGAAGCAGGCTCTGCTCAACACAGATGTGCTCTTGTTTGTGTGTTGGTTTTGTTTTTTTTTTTTTTTTTAACCCTAAATAGCTAACCTGAAATCTCAGAACTGATGTCCTACGTATATAGATCAGGACAGGGCTTGAAGACAGAGACAGAAACACCTTCCATCATCTGTGCTTTTGTGTGGTATGTTTCTATACTGGTTTGTCCCTGGAAATTTGGTCTAAAGCTACGAACCTTGAACACTACTTGATCTTGACCTGATTCCAGATTCCACTTGCTCCAGCCAAAAGCAAAAGCAGATGCAACCAGGGCCATTTGTTGATATGCCCTAAATTCTGTTAGAGGAGCCTGTAATACAAAGTTAGAAAACATGCATCATTTTCTGCCTAATAAAGCTTAAAAAAAAAAAAAAAAAAAAAAAAAAAAACAACTTCCTTTAAGCAGACACTTGTCTAAGCTGCCACTCACAACTCTGCCTGCTGCCTCTATACAGCTTGCTATATGAAAATGCCTACAAGAAGAGGTGGAAGGAAAAAAAAAAGGGAAAAAGGCAAAGCTACTTGCTTGCACGCACCTTTTTGTTCACACAGATGTATTTGTATGAGTACTCTTCTGGGAAAATATTCAGACCACACTTCTTCAAAACTCTTCTGAAGGTGACAGGGCACATCCATTTTCCTATCAACTGGGAAAGCGCGTTCTTCTCTCCCACCACTACTGCAGCCAGCATGCATTGATTACCCTGTTGCATAAACCAATGAAAGCATCTTGCTGGTGAACAAAGGTTTTTTTTCTGCTTCAGGCATCAACTATTTATTGCCTCATGGCTATTCCGGATACTGCCTACATCAGGTATCACCCTGATCTTCAGATCTTAATTCACAGATCTTGCAGAAAGCCACTTTACTGCCCCATACTTACAGTCACGCTGACTTTTCAGTAACAGACATGATTTTAACCAATTTATATGTCAACAGGAATACGAATAGTTGTGCATAGTTTGAACCTTTGGAAGGAATGAGTAGCATAAAATATAGGTTGTTTGAAATGTTTTTATTTCTTTTGGCACAGTTCGGAGGGGAAAGAAGCAGTTTTTCAGTGCTGGTGGAGCAGTTTTGACTTTGCTAAAGTAGTATCAATATCAAAGAACTTTATTGGAATGTTGCACAACAGATGCTTTGTTCTGACCAGTCCACTGAAAATAATTTAAGTCACCTGTAATTTTGGTTGGATTAATGCTTGGAAATGAGGAGAATCCTTCCTTATTTTCAACAGAGAAGGACTGAAATTCAAGTTCTTCTTGTAGAAGCACATATAGTTCTTAACAAGGGACAGCATGGTAGTTCTATATTTATTTTCAAAAAAAAGCCTACAAGTCTTTTATATTAAATAACTAAATTACAGTACCTTAATTTGTATCTGAACCTCTGCAAAGACTGTGGTAATTACAAATACTGCTTCATCTGTACTGGTGGGTCGCAATTCCCATGCTTGATAGGGCATGTTGAGATGAATGTCCTGGAGAAATGCTATTGTATAAAAGGCATCTATCTCAAAAGTGATGTTTTCCTCCTCTGTTTCATATGTTATGTTGCTGATGCCATCTGTTCTCCACTGCTGGCCTTTATGAAAGAGAGGCAAAAAGAAAAAGCTGTACATGTGAAACTCCTTACAGTCAGAATGAGTTGAAATAAATTAATTCTCTTTACTTTGTGCCTAGTATTTTGGGGCAAAAGCTTCCCTTAGTTTAATAAACACAAAGTTGGACTAATCCTGACGTTAAAGGTTCTCCTTCAACTCAAAAGAACAACATGGACTAATGTAACTGTTGCTTTTTATGTAGTAACAGGAGTCTGCAATCTTATCTTCAACAGTAACTTCAGCCATCAAACTATCTTAAACTGCCTATTTTTGTGAAGTCAGATTTTAATAACTGAATATCACATTTGTTTTTAACTTCAGAATTTTGAAGTAATGTGACTGTATGGTAGGGACTAATTTGGCTCAGAGCAGGCTTCATCCTAGCAAAACTTGATTTGTGCTACAGCGGTGTTCTGCTGCCCCATTAAATAGTGCAGGGTTTTTCTATTAATATCAAAAGCCTCAAAGCAGCCCTTGACTACACACAGTGCAGGAGCAAAACAGAACCAAGAGGAAAAAAAATGACTCCACAAACTGAAATCTTTAAAGTATTTCTTAGCTGTGAGCTGGCTTTTACATTTAGGTAGTTTTCTAGAAGATTCAAACTCAGCTAGAAATTCTCTTAGCCAAACAAAATGAATTTATTTTAACTTGGTACCTGCAGGATCCCAGCGGGCTATCACAGGCTCCTTCCAGAAGATGACACTGTCAGGAAGTCCGAGTGTTATCTGAATTGGTGGATGTGTGGTGTCTTCAGACTCTTCTGGGGGATATGGGTATTCCTCCAAGCCACTGTCAAGTAACTGACAAAGTAGGAAGAGAACAGACAAAATGTTTTATCAGAAAAAGAAATAGCCTGAACTGACTGAAGTCCATCTAACCACCTGTAGATCTTTATGACGTACAACTTAAAATTTACTAGTATAAATGGTGTGCTAATATTGCATATCTCCAACAAATATTTTTCCTTATTACATCCTCCTGCTAAAGTATTTTGCTAGACTTTTACCAAGCACTAATGTGAAACATAAATGTAAAATGTAAATGAAACATAATGCTTGGCTGAACATGAGCCGACAGTGTGCCCAGGTGGCCAAGAAGGCCAATGGCATCCTGGCTTGCATCAGAAACAGCGCTGCAAGCAGGAGCAGAGAGGTGATTATTCCCCTATATTCAGCACTAGTGAGGCCGCGCCTCGAGTACTGTGTCCAGTTTTGGGCCCCTCACTGCAAGAAAGATGTTGAGGCCCTGGAACGTGTTCAAAGAAGGGCAACAAAGCTGGTGAGGGGTCTGGAACACAGGCCATATGAGGAGAGGCTGAAGGAGCTGGGAATGTTCAGCCTGGAGAAGAGGAGGCTCAGGGGAGACCTTATTGCTCTCTATAACTTCCTGAAGGGAGGTTGTAGTGAGCTGGGGGTCGGCCTCTTCTCTCGTGTCATTAGTGATAGGACCAGGGGGAATGGTTTCAAGCTACGGCAGAGGAGATTCAGGCTGGACATGAGGAAGTCTTACTTTTCAGAAAGGGTGGTCAGGCACTGGAATGGACTGCCCAGAGAGGTGGTGGAATCACCGACCCTGGGGGTGTTCAAGGAAAGACTGGATGTTGCGTTGAGGGACATGGTTTAGTAGGAGCTATTGGGAATAGGTGAACGGTTGGACTGGGTGATCTTTTAGGTCTTTTCCAACCTTGGTGATTCTATGATTCTATGATTCTAAGTTCTGCCGCAGTGCATGTTTCCCTTCATTGGAACTACAGTGGTGCAAGCAGTAGGAGGGTTCAAAGGTCTCACTGGTAGTCACCCTTCATGTGCTCCATTGGCCCTTTCAGGCAGCTATGTGGTAAGTGAAGGTATTTAATAGAGCTGGAGTCTACAAGACAAACAAGGGCTCCTAGCCGGTAAAAGCCAAGACAACTTCCGTATGTCTGCACAGTGTCAGAAGGAATGAAAGAGGTCAAATGTGAGTGAGAGACATGAGAGCTTTGCCAGTCTGCCCCCAGTCCTGCTTTGTTTAGCCTGTACATTCATTCCACTTATTGTTTTCATCTTCACAATAAAAACTGAGACTACATGTGGGAGAAAAAAGATATGTTCACCATTTGTGCCCATTTGATCACAAACATCTTGTGGAGTCTGAAAGTGGATTTGCTAAATACTCTTACCATCTTTCCTTATACATTTCCTTTTCACATATGAAAAAGTAAGTTTTTCTTTTACTTCCCAAGAGCATTTTCCCGCACAACAATCTAAGTTATCTGTGTTAGCTGTGCTAGTGAGCAGGGTCCAAGTGCACACCTTACTGTATGCACATTTGTTTACCTCAGCTGCTGCAAAATTGACCAAGTCTAATTGAAAACATGATTTGTCAACTTTGGAGCTTCAATTAATTAACTGTTCAAGAGATCAACACGTGTATAAACTGTGTGTATGCCCTGGTGCCAGCTCTAGGAATGGCTCTCTGAGGATGGCAGGGAAAAAGGCTGCACGAGATGCAGTATTTCTTCACTTACCTCCACCACACTCCAGCTGTTGATTTGCTGGACCTGAGGTGGAAGTTGTAGCCCATCGATGTGGTACACACCACCCACAGGGACAAATCGTTGCAAATCAACAGTGTTTTCATCAGTTATCATCTCCTCTTCTTCACTGGTCTTTTCCTGCATCTGTAGAATTTGAACTACATAATAACCAAGCAAGGTGAGTTATCGTGGTGCTTAAACTAAGCCACTGACATTTCACGCTTCTATTATTTTTTACATTTGCACCAGAAATCGTGTGCTTGAAGTGCTTCCCCTTCTGTGGCATTTCAGCTCCACCTACTGGTGTGCCATGTATCCATTAGCAGCTGATTGACACAGAAAGAGGATGCTGGACCATGAAAAGCATTTCTTGTGTTTTAGTACTGAGCGCTCTGAAGATTAATCCCTATTCACACTTTGTGGTCAACTCAAAGTACTTCATACTGAAACACAGTTCCAGTGACAGAAACTGGTTGCATCACTAATCACAGAAGAATTTCACAGGTGAACAAGACAGTAAATTGTGGCCAAGTTCAGTAAGATTGTATTGGTGAGATGACAAATAAGGGAAATAAAAAAGATATAGTGCAACTACAGGCCACGTGCTGAAGGTGAAAGGTAGATGGTATTTGAGGACAAAAGGCACTTAAGTGAAACAAAATTTTTAGAAAAAGTAATTTGTAGTATTTTTCTATGTATAACAGATGTATAAATTCAAGTTTTTCCTCAATTAACTAAAAAAATAAAAATAAAAAAAAATTAGATGGCGTTGATACCGTGGATAAAAATGCCCAGAAAAATGTATTTAAAAAACAACAAACACAAACCATTGTACCAGATGTTGCAGAAGAAGAAAGAATGTTACCATACAGTAATGTTTAAATGTCTTCTAAACAAAGCTATTAATTTTTCCAAGCTAAATTAACTTCTTAACACTGGTACAACTAAATTAAATCCAGATAATAACCTGCAAAAGTTCTTGCTGTTCTCACTGCTGCCCTCTCCTATTTTCCTCTCTCGTCCCTTGGCTGCCTGTTGTCAGTGGATTTGTGGTAACTTAGTAGTGTCCTTTCAGACTCCTCCCAAAAGTGGCTGTGTGAGTTTGCCCATTTGCCATTTGCCTCTTTGTCCAGTTTTCTCCTGTCTTTAGCAATCATTAACAGAAATGTCAACAAGACTGCCATTAGCTAGACAGCAGTATAGTTACCAGCTTTGTTCTATTCCAGTGGAGATCTGTATCACCATCCTTCCATACTGTCAACAAGACATTTAGAATAAGCAGTGTCATAGTGTTGCAAATAAGAACACAGTACCTTCTGGTGCTATATCAAAGCTTTCTGATTTCTTCTCAGTTTCCTCTTCTGTCACCTCATTTATATCAGTTATACCATTTGTATTTCCTTTAAATGAAATGGCACTCTATAAAAAAGGAAAAGATTTTTAATTAGGTAGAGAGACTCAATAAAAAAAGAGAGTATCACTTTGTTAAAGACAGTGGCTCAAAGAGAAAGAGTACAGCTTCACTCCTGCAGCAGTATTTGCACTGATCTTGCCACAGGATTAAGGTTTTAGGAGAAATGCTTTTTACCTACCTGAGAAAAATAAATTGTATTGAAGATACCCCTCAATTTTAGAATTTAACATGTAAATAGAGATAAACATAATTGTTTCAATTGCAAATTCCACCTCCAGCATTTAATCCACCGTCAGCATTTAGTCAAGCATCCAATCTTTTTACTAGCAGTGTGTGTACTCAAAACTAACATTTATGCTGACTTTAGAGCTAAAGAGTGCCACAACGAAAACTGAACTGTTCAATCCAAAGCCACACTGATAACTCTGCCAGAACCTCAGTTTACAGTCTTAGTCTGTGCCTTGCCTGTGATACTTACTCCCTCTCATACTGTTCTCTATTTCTAAAACATCACCATAGATTTCCAGCCAAATTTCCAGTCCAGATATGATTTCATCCCTGGCATAGCTGACTCTTCTGGAAGCACAGCAATAAGCAAACAATAGTTCAGCACACACACCATGCATGTGGAGGCACAGGCACTCCCTGTGTGCCTGCCTGGGAGCAGGAGGAGCACGCACCTCCTGACCTGGGTTGGGAGGGGAGAAGGTGTTACCCACAGAAACATGGGGGAGCTGAAGGCTGAGCCAGACAGGAGGAGTGACTGCAGTGGCTGAGAGAAGCGGAGGCTTCAGAGAGAACGTGGTAATGCACAAAAAAGAGAGAAAGAGAGTAAAACCTGGAAAAAAAATAGAAGCAATGAAAGTGTACGTAGGACTGAAAAACATAGGTGAAAACTGTCAATGGACAAGTCTTGTCATACAAAAAAACAAGAAAAATGGTATTTCAGGCAGTGGTCAAGTCACTTATCTGGAGGTCACTGATGATACCAAAAGTGGAAAACCCAATAACAAAAACAACAACAACAAAAAAAAAACACCCAAGAAACCCCACAACCAAATGCCCAAATGCCATTACACTTCATTGAAGACTGCAAAGAAAGAGAATCCAGCAGTCAGAAACAGATTTTGAAAGCCCTCTAGTGGCAAAAACATCAACATACAGGAACTGAGCAGGTAAACTGCTCAACCAAGCCCCAGTGAGCTCTGAATCCTATTTTTTGCATTCTTTTGATTTTCCTAAGATTACATTCTTGCAGTTATTTTATGGGGCTGCCAATGTATGGGGTGCAGAATATAATCATCTTGATATACATCACGGACTGCAGCAAATGCCCTACAACAGTGCCTAACAATCATCACTGCTTGATCCTGCTCACAAAATGCTGACCAAATGCCATCTCATGCGTGCCAACAGACAACAACTGCTATGTCCTGTCAAAACTTCCCCCTCCACCATTTTTAGGTAGTCTGTGGTCATGCACTTTTCCATCCCCTCAGAAGATTCATGGCACAGTGTTAACACAAGTTGTCTTTACCCTTAGAAGTTTCAGAAAGTTGTACAGGGCACATTAAGAAGCAATCACACAGCAGCTGGTCTCCAGTGGGAGCAGTGCTGTAGAACATCCTTTCATGAGCTGATTTACCTACATTTCTCTCAGCAGGAAGCATTTCTTGTCCAGTAGTCACTTTGGGCTCCTCTCTGGCTTCCTTTTCCTCTTGTGGTTCTCCTGCATTGTCTTGTGAATGCTGAGTCAACTCTTCACTGTCTAAGACTTCCAGTCTTGGCACTCTTTGGCACTGCAGCCAAAGTGGAGATATGTGGTCGTAGTGGGTGTGCAATATGCGAACAGCAATGCTGCTCACAGCCAGTGACTTTGGAAGATCAAATCCATGATGTGTGTCACAAAAGACATGATTCTTGAATCTGTACATAAGTTAAAGAAAAAGAAGTTCCCTAGTAAGATCGTCAGCACTCAGTTTTACATTTTCTCATGACTATTCTTGTTGCTGTTCTGCACTAAAAGTCACCTAAATTCTCTATTGCCACATGGCACAGTATTAGAAATGGGTGTCACACTGCACCTCCTGTCCTGTACTGACAACTGTCAGTATGCTTCTCCAGAAAACCTGTAGAGGCATTAAGGGGATCAGGAGTTGCCAAAAAGTAATGGTCCCAATAGGAAGACAATGCAGCAGAATCAGGTGACAGCTGTTCTACACAGGACATTTCTGCTAAAACAGACTAATTTAATGGGCAAAGTCCCATACAGGTGGAATCACCGCTGTCTGAATTACATCAGCCTCAGCATCTTCCATATGAAATCCAAAGACAATTCTGATCAGCAGCAGCACTACACACCCACCAATCCTTGGGACAGCCCAGGAGTCAGGCTGAGAGCAGCACAAGAGGCCAGCCATGGCAGACACAAACTCCCGTGGGCACTTGCTGCCAGTCAGTCTGACTTTGCTCAAGACCCAGCCTTGCAGCTATCTTAGCAATGCTTATAGCAGTGGGTCCTCAGTCAAGGCAAAGACCATTTACCAAATCTCCTATTTTCAGGCTGGGAGTGGGAAGTCTCAAAGAAAAAAATGGTGTTTCGGAACTTGTTTTGAAAAATGTATCAGTTAAATGGCAATCTAATAAAAAATCTTAAATTCAGAACCGACTGTGGAGAATATTCCCAGCGCAGGTTCTGTCTTCTTTTATCATTACTGAGAACTGAGTGTAAAGCATCATGCACCACTTCGTAAGAAACTGAGACAGCTTAGGAAGGTGGAAGGCTGTAGAATAAATCCTATTCAACACAAAAACAATTACAAGAAACTGGTTCTTGGAGTACTTGGACAAAGCCAAGTCTCAAAGTAAATGAAGAATTTCAACATGCTGTACCTTGCTTTCTTCTTCAGATTGGCCCAAATACAGAAAGTAACATTTTTATCCTTTATGACTGTCTGCATATTTCCAGTGTCAGAATCTTCATACATAATAGCTGACTACAAAGAAGAAAGCAGATGGAATCACATTCTCTTCTTATATTGCTTGGACTTACTTAAATCTACACTGGAGTAAATTAAAAAAAGAGAACACATAGGAGCAAAAAATGACAGCAGACCAATCTCAGCTAAGTTTTATTTATGTACTAGAACATGCCAGGTTATAAATTCAGATCTCTTTGCTAAAATCTTTTCTTCCTCAGACATCATCAATTCTGTCAATCAAAATACCACCAAATATGAGTCTTACATCATCCCCTTCCATGGGACTGCCTGTCTTCATTAGTAGTTTGTTTTGTATTTCTCAGTGGAAGTTTCTTATAAAAACAGTGTTTACTGAGTAATACAACAGTCCTATGCTTTACTGCACAGATACTTTTTTACAGTCCTTACTGCACAGATGATATTTTTTGTCAAAACTTATGACCCACTTTTCACACTTGCAAATTTCTGTGCGGTCAGCCAACTTCTAATTCAACTCATGGAGACAAAAGGAAACAAATTTCAGAGGGAGCCACTTGCTTCCAACATCTCCTAAGATCACAGTAATGGAATATTAAATGCCTTAATTTAAATAGCAATTTCCAAAGGAAAGCTAAGATTCTCAGAAGATTTGAGGTCTGGTAGCTGTTCCATACGTGGTTTGTGTCACAATATAAGAAACAAAACAAAACAACACACCAAGAACAACCATCACAGCAAAAAACTTGAAGCAAAATTTCCATGCACTGCACGTGTTGCAACTTGGAAGCAGTAAAACTTACTTTAAGCAGCTGTTCTGTCGCTTCATTGTACTTCTGATGAAGAAGATTCTCCAATTCCAGAATCGTTTCCTGGTACTGAGCTGTTTCTTTTTCTGTTATCTCACTTGGTGGTGTGTCCAACAAAAGAAACTGCAACTTCTCAATTAACTAGAAGACAATGAGAAAAATATCTCTGTTTTGCCACCAATCCTGCCATACAGGCTGTTCCATCATAAAAACAGAGGCAGATTTGCTTCTTTTGTGCCTAGGCGTATCTTTGTTACAGAGATAATTCATCATATGCACTGAGATTGTACTAAACCAGCATAGACAGGCAACCATGCAAAATGCTGGAAAATCCAGGTCAAGTCTGCCTTCCTTCATTCCTGCAGCCCAATTCCTCCATTCCTCAACATGGAGATGTGAAATTTTAGCTTATAAAACAGACCACATGTTGAACCAGTTTGTCATGTCTTCGAAGACACTTGTTGGCCAAAAATTTTTTAATGAAAATCTTACGGACCTGTTTTTGAAACATATTTTCTGCATCAATTATCTCAGCTCTGAAATCAAATGAATATATAGTACTGAGACATACAGCAATTATGCTTTAATTCCGAGAATAATCCTTAGTGTGAAGTTTGGGACTCCACGGTAACACTGTTGTCTTCCAATACATGCCAATATCTGAACTTCTAAATGAGCGTGGAAGACTAAAAAATTCCTATTTGGCTGAAGTTTTAAAGACACTGAAAGTGCACAGGATGCACTTATTAACACACTCTCCAGTAAAACTAAATTTCAAAACTCTTGATGGAATTTTTATTACTATTCACTCCCCATCCACAGATTACACCCATTCATGTTAACAGATGCTGCACAGAGAGAAGAATAACTTGCTTTACTTTATCTATGTGACCTTTTCTTGCTCAACAGCTGTCACAGTGAAATACTAACTCTAACTGGAAATATTAACTGATCTGTTCTGCTTAATGACAATCATCAGGAGCTGCTGTCAGCTATGAATGACATGGGAAGCAGATCACACGTGCTACTGTTATTGTGTTAACTGATGCTATGAAACCCTTCAAAACACACACCCAAAATGCTGTATGGTAACTAACATAGCAAAGCAAAGGAGAGCTATCACTACAAAGGCATCTTACATACCACTTTTCTTCACCCAGATCTGCAGCACTGAGAAAGACAACCAGATTATATTTCATGCATCCCTTCCAGATTTGCCAGACTGTTTTCCCTCTTAACCTGAGGCGCTGCAGTGCTGCCACTCACTGAACAGCAGGATAATAACTAGCACTGCCACTGTCTTTAGATTTTACCTTTCACTCGGTCCTTATCAGGAGGTCCCTACCAGTTAGGAGCTGCTGATCTACAGCTTCTCACAGCCCTGAGTGTTCAGAATTTTTCTCCAGAAACAAGTACAGAGCAGGAAAGAAATGCTCAAATCGTGTTGGGAGCCCCCAACACAAAAAGGACATGGAGCTACTGGAGCACATCCAGAGGAGGGCAACAAGGATGATCAGCTGGGTCTCTTCAGCCTGGAGAAGAGAATGCTGCCAGGAGCCCTTATAATGGCCTTCCATTACAGGAGAGCTGGGTAAGGACTTTTTATAAGGGCATGTAGTGACAGGATGAGGGGAAATGGCTTTAAACTGTAAGGGTAGATTTAGTCTAGAGATCAGGAAGAAATTCTTTACTGTGAGGGTGGTGAGACAGTGGAACAGACTGCCCAGTGAGGTTCTGAATGCTCCCTCCCTGGAATCATTCAAGGCCAGGCTGGATGGGGCTTTGAGCAACCTGGTCTAGAGGGAGGTGTCTCAGCCTAAGCAGGGGGTTGGAACTTGATGATTTTAGAGGTCCCTTCCAACCCAAACCATCCTATGATTCTATGAAACGTTTTGCACCATGAGAAAATAGCCACTCTTTTAACACTCTCTGACATCACCTTGACTTCCAGTGGGGGCAAAGTGAAAATGCCTGTCTTTCAGTATCACATAAAACTCTACTGATCTTATCGTGTAGGGTAAGGATACTTTCGTAGGATGTGAAAGACCTGTAACTCTTCAGTGTTGAACGGGAAACACAGAGGAGTAAGGAAGAAGTACATCAGGGGAAAGACATAGCAGCAGGAGAGAAGGAATGGAAGTGAGCAACTGCTATACATTCTGTTTGGGTTGCAGTGTAAGAGAGAAATTCATGGCGTTCACAGAACCATAGAATCATAGAATCACAGAATGGCTTGGGTTGGCAGGGGCATTAAAGCCCACCCAGTTCCAAGCTCCCAGCTGTGGTCAAGATTGCTGTCCGCAAGGTCAGGCTGCCCCAGGTCCCATCCAGCCTGGCCTTGAATACCTGCAGGGATCCTGTTAGCTGTTGGTGTTCTTGGAAAGGCCTACCATATTCCTTGCTGGCTCAGAAGAGGACAATATGTGACAGATGAAAATCTTAGCATCCAGCAAGCATTGCAGGAAGGGAAGTTTAACATGCAGAACAAAAGCAGCCCAGCAGAAGTTGTAATACACAACCAACTTTCACCCCTTTTCTAGCTGGCTCAAGACTTTTTAAGATGTAGATAGCATGGAAGAGCTCAGTGTAGAAATGTTACACAGAAGTCCCTTAAATACACAGCATGTTTAAAGTCTATAGTCTCCTTCTTTATACTTTACAATAAATTTGTAATTAATAAAAAAAAAATAGGTGAAGAAAGAAAAGGAATCTGAAGATTATAACTGATTTCAGTCTTTGGAAAAAAAGAAAAGGGGAAGAGTACTGATGAGCATTATTAAGGATATGGTTAGTGATTTTATACTGAAGAATACCACTTATACATAACACTTACATTTAGCACCTGTTCTCCCCTCTCCATCACAAATGGAATGTCCTTATTTTGATCTTCGCGCCATAAGTTCATGAAAGTATTTATTTCCTGCAGTACAGTTGGGTCAGGACTTCCATCACAAGCAATATAATGTTCCCACTACAGAAAAAGCATAAAAGAAAAGTAGATATGGGCACATGGTGCAAATGACTTCCATAGTTATGACAAGAAGGATTCTGAAAGACAAATGTAGTGATTTATTTAGTGATATTTAGTGATACATTCACACCTGTGTCTAAACAGGACTGTAATGCTATCTGTACTCCCATCATCATCATTATGCCAGAAAGAAATGGCTTATTTTCACAATAATGTGTTAAGATACTTCTGCTCCACTAACATCGTTCTTACTGCTGGCATAAACTGTGGCGCCCTACTCACCCACACAGCCTCCTCACTGTCACATTTCTTTTCCATGTACAACGAGGTATAAAAAGGAGAGTGAGCAGGGCAAATTCCTACCTTGAGATGGATGAATTCAAGAAACTGAAGTATTCCTAGGTCCTATAAACAGACATAGCCTAAAGCCTCTGTGTTGTCTAAACTCTATGGCAGTGGGCAGATCTCGAAAGCTTACCTTTGTATAAGCTCTGAATTCTGTTTTCCACCTTTGTGCACACACAAACTTCTCTTCCAGTGAATTAAGTTCGGCTAGTTCAACTTCCCTCCGTTCTTGATCCTGATAAAATATTTGTATATCAAGCAGAGGAATTAAACTTTTTTCTTTCCCCTTCTTACAAGCATTTTCTATCAAAGAAAATAATCAGGAATATTTGAGTGAGCTACTATTTAAACAAATCCAAACGTTGCTTTTTAAAGAAGCATTCAATTTGTAAGCTGCAATAGTTAGCAATATGTTATTGTCATCACACTAGTTACTGAGCCATATGACAAACACGTGTCATATGACTGTTATCCTTACACATCAACAGTTTTCACATCATCATCACCATCCTACAACTACCTCTAACAAGAGCTGATATAAAATGTAAGCACATGTTGAAAAAAGAATGCAAGAGGTTTTGTGTTTGGTTTTTTTTTCCTTACAATTTCTATGATTTAAATTTTCTTTTTTTGGGGTGTAAGGGAAAAAACTCTGTGTGAAGGACAAAGGTGCACAGGCAAAGTGGCTTTTACTGAAGAGAAAAAACAATAAAAACCTCAAAACAGATGCAACACAAAATTTTGGGGAACATGAAAAAATTATCCAATTTAAGCTAGAGGGGAATTTTGATAAAAATAATTATTTATTCAAACTGGAGTATGACATGTCCCCAAAGTTAACATCTTTAACCACAGTACCTTTGTGTAACAAAACTACCTTGCCTTAGGGAATTTTTCTGAACCAAGCAACACTAAGCCAAACATTGCCTTAGAGAAGGAATACAACACACTACCACTACAGCACCATTTATCTTGATTGCACTTGTACTGTGCTTTATTTAAGCACTACTGCTTCGTTTGCACCTTCCCAATTTTTCTTTTTGCTTTTGTGATTTTGATCTAGTGATGCTAGAAAATTTCCTTCCTTTCCAACACTAATGAAAAGGAAATTCCATTTCATTCTCACATTAAATTGCTAATGTTTTACGGACCTTGTCATAAGTTTGGAAATGGAATTAGCATTTTGCAGTCACTATTGCCTATGAACTAACTTTTGCCTGAAGCTTTTCCATATGCTCCCGTTCAATCCTCTCCCTTTCAAGTCTAGCTGCTTCTTCTTGTTCAGCTTGCAGTCGGGCTTCCTCTGAAGTTTGGGAAATACATCAAGAGCACAATTACATTTTCTTATTTGAACCAGACACATTATTTTCTTATTAGCTGTAATGACAAAACAAGTATAATATGAAGCAACATATCTGATATTACCCAGAATCTTCCAAATGGGATTAGATAAACTCATCTGAATCACAGTACTAAAACCCACTACTACAGCACTGCCCTAATCAGCCCAAGACAAAGAAAGTGCAGAAAGGGATCAGCAGGCTGCCTTTTTCCCCTCAGAAACAACAACAGATGTTCCCTCTTCCCATCCCTACAGCTTGAGTAGGCCCACAGTTTTAATCCGATGTCTGCTGTGAAATCACCTGAGTGGTTCAGTTCCCAGCTACTCTTCTGCTTTCCTACATCCTTTGATGGAAACTCCATCTTACAGATGTTTATTCAATGAAATAGATGAGTTTTTAGGCCTGTCTCAATGGCTGTCAGTTCTCCTTAGGATCAGCAACTTTGATCACAGCTTTAACTGCCACAAGGACAGCAAAGGGATAGCGGACACCCAGCTAGCTCTTGACAATAGGTGTACCCTATCAACCTTCTCTGAAAAAGGCCTTTTCAGAGAATTTCTCTTACCTTCTGCTAATGAGGATTGAGAGAAGAAAAACACAGCACACTGCATTTCCATCCCACTGAGAATATTTCAAAATGGAATGGTAAGAGAGAGGAAAAAAATCTAATTCTTCCTGACACTCTCATCCCCAGGCTCCTAATCATGGCAGAAGTAATTAGAGGAAAAAGTATGGCTCTCGCAGGAAAGTGAGATGTGGAGGCAGTAAGAGGTAACACAGAATTTGACCCACACAAAAGAAGAGAAATGCATTTTTTGAAATACAGTGTTAACATCAGTGTACTGCAGCTCGGCAGGTAACTTCTTTCTGTTTAATTAAAATAAATGACTGTGTCATCACATTCCTTGTAAATGAAGTGCACGGTACCTTCCTCTTTCAGCTTCCTTTCCTCCTCTTCTTTCTGTAATCTCAGTTTTTCAGCTTTGCCAACTTTTTTTTTTCCACTGGACTTAATGTTCACCATAAATTAAAAGAAACCAAATGTCAGAATTATTTAAATGCATTTGGGGAGGTATTGACTCTCTATAACTCTGCCCATCTAATGTGAGCCCTGAATAAAGATTTTTGACTTCCTACACAGTCATTGAAGCCTCCAGAATTGCAATGTACACCCAAATCCATTTTTGTTCTTGTTTCATGGTGTGATGCATGCTCTTACAGCTATTATACGTAGGTTGCTCTGAAAGCATTGCCTCCCATTTAATTCCATGGGAACTACAACAGATACACAGACCACAGTAACATTGTTTGATAGAGCGAATTTTCAGCTACAAAACACCTCTTCAACACAAGTCACCACCTTTCGCTATGCATTTTCACCAGCGATGAACAAGAGCCTGCATGCTATGCTCGTAAAAAATCTGCACCAGCAGAGGTGACCCACTGTTTCACAGCTGCTGTGATGGAGTTGCTGTTAGGAAAATGTCGCCCATACAATCCATCTTTCATTGGCCTGAATAGATGAAGTCAGAAGGAACCAAAACCAGACTATATGGTGGGTATGTTAGGACATTCCAGCCAAAATAGGCAACGTGCTCCACAGCCTTCCAACTGCCTGGCATTATCACACTGCAAAAGAAAGGCTGTCTTCTTCTCTGGCCTGGCTCTGGAAGTTCAAGCCTTCAGCTTAGTCAATGCTGTGATTGATGTAGCGGTCAGAGTCAATGGTTCGTCCACATTCCATGAAATTCAGAAGGATCACCTCGTTCCTATCCCAAAAGACAATGTATCACTTTACCTGCTGAGGGCTGCATCTTGAACTTTTTCTTCAACGGGCAATTCACGCGTCACCACTTCATTAACTGTAATTTTGATTCTGGCTTGTAGCGGTGACACCACATGTCATCACCAATAATGATGTGATCCAGGAAACTGTAATCTTTGGCCTTGTATTAGTTCAGTAGGTCCTGACAAACTTGCATTCAATGTTTCTTCTGTTACTGTGTGAGGATTTGTGGGACCCACCCAGCAGGAACTTTGTGATCCAACACTGCCACCATTATTTTCAACACACTGAAGCAGATACTTAGCTCTGCACACAGTTCCTTGGTCGTATACTCTGTCAATTTGTGCAGATGAGCATGTAAGCTCATTGTTTTGTGGTGTGCCACCTGTGTACGGCCATCCCAAATGTAGCTTGGCTTTCACATCATAGTTGCCACTGCTGAAACGCAACACACAGTGCCTCTCTGTGCTCATATCCACTGCTGGTCTCCATAAACATTCACCAAGTGCTGATGAGTGTCAATGGATGCCATTTTTTTCTGCATGGATAAATTCAGTGGCATCCCTTTGCTTCATATGCACTTCCATGTCAGGCATCATTTTGTCAGACTGTCCCTCTGCTGCCATCTGTCACATGGCAACAAAATGTAATGAATATTGGCAGGAAGGTTTGATTTCTCCTGCCATACAACCAATATCTGCCTGACATCACTGGCCAACATAATAAAATAGGAGGCATTACTTTCTGAGCAGCCCTCATATAATTTTGTGCTAGGTTTCCTGAATACAGAACAATAATTTTTAATCTGGAAACTGAATAATAAGCAAGTAGATCTGGTAAGAAAGTAGCTGTTACAACTTCAAGTATTATTTTTTAGCATTTAGTGGTGCAGTAGCACTGGATGGGCAATGTGCAGCCTGATTCTACATGAGTGGGTGACATGCTACTGGGGAGGAGTACCAATCCTGAAGGCAGGTGCTGCGAAGACAAGGCCCCAGTACAACAGCAATCAGTGACCACAAAGAAAAGCACACACAAATCAGTAAGAGACTACTACAGTGAGAGATGTCGGAACAAGATGATCCTTAAGATCCTCTCCAACCCAAGTCATTCTATGAAAAGGAAGGATGGGCCGAGAAGTAAATCAAGTTTATGGAACTTGTGAAAACAAGGCAGCTGGTTTTGTACTGCAAAATGAATTCACAGCCTACAGTGTTGGCTGAGTGTGGTTGGGATTGCTATTATTATTTTTTTTTTTTTATAGGTGAGGAACAAAAAATTATATTCTGCACAGGCTCCAGGGTCTGGAGATAACAAGGAATGACAGAAGACTGAGCTATAGCTGAAAGCAAAGCTGCAGATGACAAAAGACATGAAGGAAAAGGAATGACTTACATCAGGTGGGGTATGTGTGCACTGGCTGAACAACAGCATTCTGCTGCTGACAAGCAAGGAAAAGAAATTCAAAGAACGTGTGTTTGATTTTTAAAAACAGAGAAAATAGGGAGTGTACATGAGTTCAGCAGACACGACAACGTGAGGGGAAGATGCATCACCATTTCAGGCAGCTACCCTGGGTGTTTCATTTTGGAGAACTGAAATTAGGACTGCGCATCCCCACAGGTGAGAGACAAGTGCTTACAAGGGTTCAGTCTGGAAAGGCAACACGCATAACTATTTGGAAAGCTATTCACATCACTTTGCACAGTGATAAATAAATGCATGAATGTGACTCGGGATACCAAGGCTACCAGAAAGCTCACACCGCTGGTGGGAGTTCAGTGCCCACAACATGCGCCCAGCAGGGTTAGCCTGAATCTTTTTGTTTTTAAACATATTTGCATACAATAACGTCGTCACAACAGCTTTACTGTGACCAAAAAAAAAAAAAAAAAAAAAAAAAAAAGTCCTTACAATACTGTAATACTGTTTTTGGATGCGCTGAATCAAGAAGTGACAGACGCTTTCTTCAGCTTCAGCATGAGGACTGTGTCTGTACTGACAGAACTGCCCTGGTGCATCGCAATGAGCACCGCGGGGCGCGGGGCGATCACCGCAGCACGCTTCCACCTACCTTTTTTTGCTTTTTTGGACCCTAGAAGTTTGGGGACAAAAACAAAAGAAAGGAAGAGTCAGAGAATGGGGCACAGAGCACAAAAATCATCACAAAAGCCGCCCACCCCGTCGCTAAATAACGCTACTACTCCGGAGCTAAACCACCCCCCCCCCCCCCCCCCCCACCAGGGCCCCGCCGTGTTGCCATGGCGACGGCCCGCGAGCTTCTGGTCGCCTATGGCGCGGAACACGGTGCGTCGCGTGACGGCCGCGTCGTAAAGCAGCGCGCTTTACGGCGGGGCGCGGAGCGGGTGAGGCGACGACCTTCCTTTCGCCCTTCTCTCCTTTTGGTGGGGCGGGGGGCGGCCTGAGAGGGAGGGACCGGCCGAACCGACGGGCAGCGAGCTGGGGCTGGCTCCGATTTATAGAAATAAAAAAGCATCGCGCTTAACGACTAACGCTTCTTTATTGATATGTCGTTACTAACAGCGCTTTGGCAGCAAGCGTTTCTGTAGCAGGCCACGGAAACGTAAGCGGGCAGGGCGGCCGTGCCGGTGTGGCAGGCAGGGAGGCGCGGGGCAGAGCTGCGGGCGGGAGGAAACGGGCGCTGAGAGGGGTGGGGGCGGTTAGGGCAAGGGGGCTGCGCTGAGGCGAGGCTGGAGAGAAGCTGCAGTCGGTGTGGGAAGTGAGGCTGGGGTGTGCTGGCTTCCGTAACAGGCTAACGTCGCGTTGGTTATCCTGCAGGTAAATTAAGCGTTGCCACGCGTAAGAACTAAGAGTTGAGTGACATGTGCAATGGCCGGCTCTTTAAGAGGTGAAGTACTGAACCTTTATAAAAATGTAAGTGTCTGAAGTGCCACAAGAACTTCCTTTGGCTAAACAAAATCCTTGTATTTTGAAGCCTATCTAAAAGCCTATCATTCTTTTCCCCTTCAAGCTGCTGTACCTTGGAAGGGAGTATCCCAAAGGAGCAGACTACTTTAGAAGCCGGTTGAAAGCAGCTTTTCTAAAAAACAAAGATGTGAAAGATCCTGAAAAAATTAAGCAGCTAATTGCACGAGGAGAGTTTGTTATAAAAGAATTGGAGGCTCTGTACTTCCTCAGGAAATACAGAGCTATGAAAAAGCGCTACTACAGTGATGACAAAGAATAACTGCTGCGACCCTAACGATACAAAGCCATAAACAGCCAATAAAAGAAGTGAAACTTCACAAGAAATGAACAGTAAATCCTTCCACCTCATTTAGAATACAAACTGGGACTTCATTTACCCTTAAGGAGGTGTTGGAAAGATTTGGGGTCTGTGTTACTCAGGTAATTTTTTTCTCAACTTCTTTTGGCCTTCTTGAACTCTAACTGAGAATAATTCTGCAGGCAGAAGTGGTGATAAGGTTGTGTTTCCCTATACGTGCTGAGCAGATCACTGCTTCTATATTGGTTCAGCTGTGCGTTGCAATGCTGATTTGAGGTGCTGCACATCTTTTGTCAGTTAGAAGAGGAATCTGAATTTGAAAGTCTTCCACATTTAATGAATATTTTTCACCACAATTGAGCACCTTCTCAAAAGGATGTTAAGATTTTGGCTATATCTGCATAGCATGCAATACATCAACAGACTGACGTCTTACTGTGATACAAAGAACACCAGTGGGTCAGGAAGGGAATGGACAGGAATATAAATGGTTTGAGTACTCAGACCCCAAAGACAATTCCTGCAGCTACTGATTTCTGATGCTGCGTAACTGTTTAACTAGTTAAACTAGCAAGAGTTTAGAACTCGATCCTCTCCCCTGCAGGAGAAGATTGACCCTGGCTGTTTGCTCCATGGATAACTTTGTGAACTTTGGCACAACAGGCAGACTTTCACCTTAACTATTCCTCTCTACATGCTCTGCTGATTTGCTGCTTTAGGTTTTTCTCACATAGAATTAAATGACGCTGGAGATGATAGAACAGAAAAGATCTTTGAAATGTAGGTAAATAATCACTGCAGCAGAACTGTTGGCAACAGCCACAGTGTTAAGATGCCTAGGTTCCAGAAAAGCAGAAAAGTTTTTTTTAAGCAAAAGGCCAATAGGAGACTTGAGATGTGTGCTTCGCTTCATACTGCACTGATCTGACAAAGCCCTTCTGTATCAGTTGGATTAACTCCCCTACAATATGTTGCAGTGAAACCTACTCTGCAGAAATACCTTTACATAAAAAATGTAACTAACCCTGCCCAATAACTGGTAAAAGATTGTCTAGATGTCATTATAGATACAAAGGGCCAACTTGCGGGAACAGTAACAATTCTACAGGTTGTTTTGTTTCTTTTTTTCCCTAGGACACAATCAGTACTAAGGAAATGCTTTTATTTTCCTTAAGTTCACAAAAGGCATTTGATAGAGGTGTTGTGCACAGCTGGTAATGAGTACAGAATGACTCTTCTGACCATTTCAGGCTTGCAGACAGATACAAATTCCTTCTGCTATTATAGTAAGAAAAACCTGGTCTCTGTTCCTGGCTGGGAGCGACGGCCCTTCGATTCAGGGAAGAGATGTCTACACGCACCTGCAACTGAGATGCACCTGAGGCCGGGCCCTGCTCAGAGTGCAGAGCCAGCATGGCCCACCAGAGGGCTCAGCGTTGTCATGCGCTGTGCTGTGTCAGTGCCGCTTATGGCAGGCAATGAGGAGAAATAAGCTGCAAACAACTGCCAAACACGTGTGTACTTCATAGAATCATAGAATCGCTCAGGTTGGAAAAGACCTTAAATATCATCAAGTCCAACCACAGCCTAGCCATACGACCCTAACTCTAACAACCCTCCACTAAATCATGTTCCTGAGCACCACATCCAAAAGGTTTTTAAATACATTCAGGGATGGTGACTCAAACACCTCCCCGGGGAGCCTATTCCACTGCTTCACAACCCTTTCTGTAAAGAAATGTTTCCTGATATCCAGCCAAAACTTACCCTGGCACTTGAAGCCATTTCCCCTCATCCTGTCACCTGTCACCAGTGAGAAGAGACCAACCCCGCTCTCGCTGTAAGCACCTCTCAGGTATTGGAAGAGAGCAGTAAGGTCTCCCTCAGTCTCCTCTTCCCCAGACTGAACAGCCCCAGTTCCTCCAGTCTCTCCTCATGGGGCATATTCTCACAAACCTTGTTGCCCTTCTTTGGACATGCTTCAGCACCTCAATGTCCTTTCTGTACTGAGGTGCCCAAAACTGAACACAGTACTCAAGGTGATGCGTCACTGGAGCCGAGTACAGTGGCACAGGACTACTCCACTGCAGAGATGAAACGCTGAAATTCTTGGAGAGAAAAGCAAAGAGGGACAGAAGTTCACAATAACTATTTTTTTATTACATTACAATAAATAGGAGCAGTACAGTTTGACAAAAAAAAAAAAAAAAAAAAAAAAGACAAATTCCAGATCACCTCACAGCACATACTCCTAAAAACATTAAAAATTTTAAAACAAACAGAGGTTTTTTGTGTTTTTTTTTTTCTTTTTTTTTTAAATGTAGTATCTGGTATTACCAACATTCCTAGGTCACGCAACCAATGATGGAAAAACTGGATCACACTGCATATGTTCCACATCAAATAAAGCACGATGTACAAAATGTGCATGTTTCAGTTTACACTATACAAAAATAGTTAAAATACATTCCAGGTAAACATATTACATTAAGAAGTCATTCTAGTAAGAAGTTGGCACTCAAGAGGAAAAAGCAGAAGTATTTTCAACATGAAAACACAAGACAGTGGAATAAAGAAATGTTAGGAAAGGTTTACCATCTATGTAGCTTTATGTAAACTTCAGACAAAATGATTGGTATACAGTTTGATGGTCTTTGAAGGTAATAATTGTATTGCTTCACAGAAGGAAGTGTAGAAGATTGTGTGTCTGTATTTACCTATTGCAGAGATCCTATGTGACATAACTTCTTTTTTTCCTAAGTTAGGGCAACGAGACTGGTTAAATAATGTTCAGTTCTGAGAAAACCAGTAATAATGTTTACCAGGGTTACATAAAGCTACTGTAAGAAGGTGTTACTCCCTGACATATGGCAATGTAATGTATTAACGCAGCAAGTGATTCACATGTTCAGTTAGCAGTTACTGCCAGAAAAGAAAGCATCCAGGTGTGTCCTTTGAAAACATTTCAAATAGGGAAAGACAGAATAATTGAGATCAACTTGTGCAAGCTGCAATCCAACATGCTTCACCAAATCTCTACAAATATTAAGACAAAACTGCACAACAGTGGCAAGGATGAGTATTTTTCTTTTCTTTTTTTTTTTTTTTCCTTTAAGTCAATAAGGGCTATTATAGGGCAATTTTATAATAATTTGATTAGATTGGTAGCTACAGATCAGACCTACTGAAAAACTTATTTTATCCATATATACCTTGATAGCAGAGCTGTATAATCCACGCTTGATTATTAAGATATTTCTGCTACATTTATTTCCCCTAACAGTTTTTAGTTAATTAATATGAGAATTTCAGAGTTTTACATGCAGTGTGACTCGGTTACCAAAAATCTTTAAAGTCACCTTAAGATTGCTGTTGTTAGCTCAGGGTATACTATCCAGCTTTGCTATCTTCTTCATATCTAATCATATATTAACTACCATGTGCAAATAACCACCTCCAAATTGTTTTTAGCCTTGGAAGCTGTAAAATGTTGTAGGACATTAAAAATACATCTCACATTGATGCTGAAAAGATGGGGGCTGATGGTGGGCTGAGAGAGCAGTCAGTGCAGGCAGGCAAAGGCACTCATTTGTTAACTTCTGAGGCGCATGAAAGAACGTGCAGCAACCCAGACAGCACACTTCCCCTGCCAGCTTTGCAGCTCTCCACCTAACAGTCACTGCTGATTTTTGCTGTAGGAAGCAAAATGTGTGCCTGCAGTCGCACCTTTGACATCATATAAATGGTCTAAGTTACACTGGTAGATTCAAGTGATACTGTGTAAATTTTCCACGCAATGGTTTAGTTATAGGTTAAGTTTGGGCAATGCTGCTATTCCCTTTTCCAAACTTTCAGAACTTACCAGTGCACTGTCCTACACTATCCTCCTTCAGTGACTTCTGTTTTACTTTTGGTACACGAAGTCATGCTTCCAATTCTGTTCTGCAGCTGACTGGGTACCAGTGTGCCTTATGGCACTGAGGCAACTAACACAGCCGAGCGCTGTAACTTTTGCAGGAAGAAAACAGGAACTGGCAGCACTGCAAACACTAGCTCTTACTTCGGTGCAGAATAGTTAGACTACAGTACCAAAAAGGAAACCTGAATTCTGCATTAATTCTGATCAGAAAGGAAAAAAAAAAAAAAAGAATCACAAGAGACTTAATCACGGAGAAAGACAACATTAAAACCTTGGTCTAGTTTCATGACAGTCTAGACATTGGAATGCCACTCACCAACCATTTAATCTGTGCAACAAAACTAGCACTTCACAGACATCACATAAACAACACTGAATCTGGAAACCATGTTCTATGCTGAAGATTAGTGCAAATTCCACACCATTTTTATGGCATAGTGGATTTCCAAATTATTTGCATGAAGCAGCTAAGTTCAAGCTCATTCATTCACTGATTTGAGGTTACTAGAATTTAAAATTCTGCTCCTATTTTTACATAAAATGGGCATGTGGAAACATTTCATGCCACCCTTGGGGAAAAAAAATCAAATGGTTTTGATTTACTATATAATTTAGGATTCATTCTGATTTAATTCTTATGATAAATTCTGGATCCATGTATGAAGTAACCTAAGAAATTGAATCAACTTATCTATTAAGGCTTTCTAGTATTTCCTGGAGACACTAAGGGTGAAATCTCGTCCTACTGAACTACTTGAAGATTCACCACTGGGAGCTCAGGAGAGCTAAGATTGCACCTTGGTGTCTTCAGACAGAAAAAGTTAAGTGAAAGTTTTAAAGCAATACATCAACAACAGGAAATCAATCTAATCAGAACTTTTACTTTTTCCATTGCCAGATGTGCATTAGTGTCTTTTTTTTAATTTTTCTTTTTTTTTTTTTTTTTAATAGAAAAAATATAGTATTTAAGGAGTGACTGAGACAAATTGCAGTGAAAAAATTTTTTTGTGAAAGTTTTATCTTTACATTCAATAAAGTTGATCTGAAATGCTACAAGACTAGATGCCTAGAAGCAAAATCTACAGGAAGACTATAAAGGCTTCTGGTCTCTCTATATTGCAGTCAGTCTAAACTAAAAGAAAATCTGAAAATAAATTCTTTTTTTGCTAACTAGTCTGTTTTCCCAACCAGATTTAAAAAATAAAAAATAGTAAAAATTAAGGGGGATGTTAGAACATGTAGAGCATCATTTCATTGTTTTGTTTACACACAGAACAGAAGTTCACAATCAGTAAGAAAAGTAGTAAGTTAGCAACTGTGCATGCACCAAAGAGTCCTAAGACAGTTCTCAGGTTTTTGTGTGTTTTTTTTCTGTTTTTATTTTTCTTCACAGGCATTGCTAGTTCAAGAACCAACACTCAAAGAATACTGGCACTTTAAGAGGAATGAAGTTTCCACTGTCATTTAAAACAAGCATTCAGGTAAAGCTAACAGGATCATGAAGCAGAAAGTAAAGTAATGCTAAAAACAAATGCTAATAATTTAGTGTAATGTACAAAAATTACTTCAGTACGTCTTAAGAATAAGGATACACTGTATTTACATAATTATACACTTTGTCTTTGTCTTCTTTTTCTTCTTTTTACCGTCTTTGCTCATCTTCTCTTTGTGTTTTCTGATTTCTCGAACTAATGTATAGAAGGCATCGTCAACACCCTAAAAAGATACACAGATACACACATTATGATCACCTTAACAGACTCGGCTGCCTGCTCATGTACAGCCTCATTTCACCTAAGCTGATCAGGTGAAGTGTTTTCAATCGGCAGCCTGCCCTGCAGGAAGCTGTGTCAGGAGAGCTGACAGCATCCCCTCCTCGCTGAGGCCCTTACAACACCCCAAGAGCAGGCTGTGGGTTGTAGGAGTTGTCGGGACACCAACACCTTTTTGAGCATTCCCTTGTCTTTGGGAATGGGCATGTTGGGAAAAACTGAGATGGTGGGAGACTGCAGCTGTCTCCTGTTTGCACGAGAAGTTACATGAGAATGCATACATCTGATGGCATCCCTGTGTGCAGCTCTGCAGGAGAGCAGCTCTAGGGAGCAGGTGGCCACTGTGTGAGCAAATCCTCCTGGCTGCAGGCTGAGGATCAGCCACCTGAATGAGCCACATTTAGATTATGAGGATGTATAGTACTACTGCTGGATTTCAGAATAAAGCTCTGAAGCATTTGTTAGCTTTGCTTATGCTTAAAAATCTATACATAGCTTTAAAATACAAACACGAGAGCAGGAATTCAGTACCAAAGAGATAGATATGACTCATCCACGTACTCAGCTCCTTTTATCACACCACAGGTTTCTTAAAAACTCTACATAAACAAATCATTCGAATCAATCATGTTGCAATGATCAGTCAACATTTGATAAATCTTTCCATTCAACTTATGCGAAGACACATGGAACAAACTGTCTGTAGTCTATCATATATCATGTACAGCCACTTAAAACCTTCAGAGCTCCAACAGTTACGCTACAGACACAAAAGCTAATGTTTCTTCACATTGAATAGTTTGTCTACTTTTGGGGGATAACTGTAACTGACAAAATTTATTACTTTTGACCAGACACCCATAAACCTGATGTGACTCATAATCAAGTGCAATTTTACAGGCTTTACTTTGTAATGACCTATTTATGTGCAGTAGCTGCATAACGTTATCATATCACAGCAGCCAGCAGCACCAGCACAGAACTGGGCTGAGAAATCCAGCCCTGCAGCCAGCAGACCTCCTGTCAGCTACCATGCCCTCAAGCTGCCAATAGAAATGAGCACTCTTGGTTTGCTCCTGTGTATATTAACACTTACAAATAAGCAATATTAGATCAAAGCCCTTCATTGCCTATCCTCTGAAACTGGTAATAGAGTTTTGCAAGGTCTTATAACATATGAAATACGTGTGCAATTAAGTTGCTCTATATTTGAACATATTATTTGCTAAAATAAAATTGATGTAGTGTACCTTGTTAGAAGTACGCATGGCTCTGTAAAAGGTGACGTTCTTTTGAGAATCAGAAAAGGTTGGTGTTACTTTATAGAGGGAGAATATTTTACTTATAATTTCAGCCTTAATGCACAAAGTGAACATTTAGCAAAGTTCATGCAGGGAATGATCTACAAATAGCAACAGATCACAGTGTATCTTTTGCAGTTCTTATCCCAGCCAACCAGGAGGGAAGTATTAAGAACCAGTCATACAAGGGCTTAGGTTGGAAGGGACCTCAAGGATCATCAAGTTCCAAATCTCCTGCCACATGCAGGGCCACCAACCTCCACATTTAATACTAGACCAGGCTGCCCAGGGCCCCATCCAACCTGGCCTTGAATACCTCCCTGGGCAGCCTGTTCCACCACCTCACCAACAGAGTTTGTCACAACGGTCAACAACAGAGTTTCATTCTTACAACATAAGAATGGTGTAAGAACGATCTTTGCACAATATTCTTCTATGAGACTGTTCACATTTTGTTATAAAACTACCCTTCAGCACTTCAGGCTCATCACTAATGTGTTACACATTACAACATTCATTACAAGGATAGTTGATGGCTTTCAGCAGTGTCTTCAAGCAAGATGCGCTTAACAGTAATTGTAACTCAAGTCTTCAAATGAGCAACCTTCTCTCCTCAAACTAGTTTTTATACAAGGTATTTTATCTGTGTTTTAAGTAATACTGTGGCCCTTTAAGCATGTGACTTCACAGTTAAGGCTGAAATCTTCCATTGCATCTCCTAAGGTAGTAATCTCAAAGACAGCACACGTTGCAAAATACTTGGGAATAACTTGCTTTTGTCCTTGCATTTATACCTTTGCAGAGCAAGCCTTTACAGTTGTTAACTAGGTAGTTTTGGTTCTGTCACAATTCATTTTAAGCATAAACTGTAAATACAACATAGAAAATATTTAGAGTATTTGTGTGTTAGAACTGGAGATTCTAGAAAAACGGAGGTCCTTCACTTTTCAGTCTGTGAATTAAATCTTAAAAACGCAATTAGAATACAAGCAGTGGACACTCCACAATTACAGAAGATCTCTGAAGGCATTAATACTACAAACAAGATCAGGAGTGGTCAATTTCCCAGTTACCTCTTTCAGTAGCAAGGGACCACATGCAGCAGACCTTTCTCCCTCTAACACTGGAGTCATTGTGTACAAACTTTTCAGAAAGCAGGAGATGTACCGAATGAGCGCTTTCAATCCAGGCTCAGGATTAGAAACTCGGAATTCAGAGAGCATGCTCAGAGCTGTAGCACACTGCTCTGGAAAACACTGGTTTAGAGCAACTTGCTGCATATAGGACAGCTTGCTCGTGGCATTTGTTTTTCCAAAGGGCAACTAAGTGAAGGGAACAGAAAAATCAGAATGTTCAGAAAGCAGTCCAATCCTGCCTACAGCTTCTCTTTGGAGCACTACAATTGCGTTATCTAGTGGCTGTACAGAAGTCTGGATGTCTGGTTATGTGCTTACAGACATGCAAGAGACTTGGCAAGTAGCCTGAATCTGTCACCCTACACACCCTAATTTCTCAAGGAACTCAGATTCCTAAGGACTACAACCTCAAATAGAGTCCTTGAAAGTGTATCTCATACACACACAGAGTCATGAGAAAAAGAAATTACGCATACACTTCCACAGTGCTACTGAAAAATCATGAAATTAGTTTTAATTAAGAACTGGTAAGTTAATGAGCTTTCATAAACTGGATATTCCAAGAGGTACAAAAACACCCTGAACAAATTTGATAACCCATAGGCAAGAAAGGAAGATATACACTGTGCATCACTCCAACACTTGTTACAACGAGCAAGCCTCAAATACACCATTAGGTGCTGCTCACCTTAGCTCATCTAACATACAGCAGGCTGAAATAGAATGCATTTAGTCTTATTAAGTGGGCAGTAATACAAGCCGGAGTGTTTTAAATGCTGGATTTCTCATGCCACTATCATCACTACTGTGCTGCAGCTGTAGTGCAAGAATTTTGGCATATATCATCCCTAGCTTAATCTCCAAATATGAAGTTGCTGCAAAGACTATCAGTAACTTGAAGCTATTTATGTAGAATTCATTTGAAAATGAAAACAAGTGTTTCCTCTGCTGAGCAGATACTGAAAGCACTACAGCCTTCTGTTTTTCAAGTAAGGTATGCAACAGAAAAAAAGGAAAAAAAAGTTATTGATTGCTGACAAAAGATCTTCTTCAGAGGTGAAAAAAATAAAAACTCATTTCTCTTTGAAGGAGACAGAAAAAGTTGGAAGCAGATGGAAAGGAAATACAAGGGCTGCTCTGAAAGTAATGCCTCCGACTTTATGATGCTGGCCCATGACTTTAGATGGATGTTGTTGATATGGCAGCAGAGGTTGAACTTCCCTACCAATATTCCATTACATTTTGTTGTTGTGGGACAGATGGCAGCAGAGCAGGCAGTCTGACAGAATGGTGTCTGACACAAAAGTACATATGAAGGTTGTGTCACTGAATTTGTCCATGTTGAAAAATGGCACCCACTGACATTCCTCAACACTTTCTGAATGTTTACAGAGACCAAACAGTGAGGTGGTGCTCTTCAGCAGCGATGACAGCGGTGGCACCTTTGCTAGTGCACATTTTCAGGAATGAGTCGTGCAGCTCTTGTCCATTTCTGGTGAAAAAGCATTGCTAATAGTGGTGACTATGTTGAAAAAGAGCATTTTGTAGCTGAGAATGTGCTCTATCAAATAGTGTTATTGTGCTCTTTGTATCTGTTGCAGTTTCCACGGAAATAAATAGGAGGCATGGCTTAACAAAAAACCTATACTCCTCCTATGCTCCTCACAGGAAAGTCCACAAAAAGGAAAATCAAACAGCATTAAAGTACGAATATACAAAAGAAATTTTAGTTTGGGTTTTACAAATAAATGCTTCCATCACTCCCCATTATCAGAATTAGTCCAATAAGTTTCTGTAAATAAGTAAAAAGAAATAAACTTTCCCATAGGAAGAGGGGCTCAGAAACAAGGTCAATCCATTAACAAGGTGTAGGGCAGGGGCTTAGTAGTAACACTTAAAAGCCCTTCCAAGGAAATAAAAGACATTTCACATTGAGACTATACAAAGAGCAAGAAATGGAAAAGCTGGCCTTAAGAATGCTACTTTAAGGATGCTTAAGCAATTTTAATTCATATTACTCTCATCAAAAGCAGCCTTGCCAAGCTGCTTTTAGTTATTTTTTAAATAACTACCAAAAAAAAAAAAAAAGGTTTTTTATTGGCACTAATTTTATTGGTACTTGGATGCAAAACTTGGGTAGCGTCATTACTAGAGTTTCCAGTTTCATGAAAAGGAAGCCTTTGATACAAACAGTATCACAAAGCATCTTTTTTCTTTTTTTTTTCTTTTTTTTTTTAGAAAACATCTAATGATGCAGCTCAAAGCAGTCATTCATCACTAAAAAGCTAAGAATATAATAAGTTTTTACTAGATGTGCTCATGCTTATAAAAGAAGATTCTCCCCTTCCACCCCCACTCCTTATTAAAGGAAATCTTCCTTCAGTTACAACAGTCTTCTAAAAGACAGAAGTCAAATTCCTCTTACTTTCTGCAAGCTGTTTTACAGTGTGAAAAAAACTTTTTCAATGGGTTTTTAAGCAATAGGAAACTCCACATCATCCTCCATTAGAGGAGTAACAGACCACACTCTCACAGTAAGAGGCAAAGAATCAACTCAAGGGGCTATTGCGATGGTTTACCCAAACATCACTGGAAATGATTTAGACTAGCACCTCTCACACACTGCCAATTCTTCCCTCTCCCCTTTCTTTTGCTTGCAGTGCACTGATTTAAAAAAATGATTATTTGTGAGAATCCTGCAACTGTTCTTTCCAGTTGTACTTCACCATTGCCTTTTCCTCCCCTGTATAAAGGCTCCAAAAAAAAGATAAATAAAATAATCAAGAAACCTCCTTCTACATCTCAGAAGGACTGTAAGTTTTATGATCCTCTCCCCTCAGTTCATCAGCCTGAAGATGCACTCAACATACAGCTTCTGTAGTATCTGCAATTAATCCGTGTTAAAACATTTTCCTCCCAAATTCCTGAGGCACAAAACAAAATCTCTATTTTTACAGACGGAGAACTTGATATGTAGTAAAGATCTTCTTTTAACCTATTTATCAAAAAAAGAAACAGGAAAAACAAAGTAAATCTATAGGTGTTTGCTAGGTATATTATTCAGGACTGCCATACTGAAATCTGAATGATATTATATAATGTAATCAGTTAATCATACAATATCTGATTTGCAAAATACTGTTGATCAGTGTTATTCAGCAAATGACTTTAAAACTTACCCTATGACATTACAAAACTTACCCTGTTACATTACAAGGCATTTTTTAATTTTCATGCACCCTGGAGTCTTTTCTTCTTTGCTGATTTTTTTCACTCTGTACTGTCGAATCTCTCGCACCAATGTATAAAAAGCATCCTCCACTCTCTGCATTGTAAAACACAACTCCTTAAAAACTGCTTTATTGACAATCTTGACATATTGGAACACCATGGCAGGGGAAAAAAAAATACCAAAATTATGAGCTTTACTTGAGAGAAGTCTATGGATATCCAGATGGCCCACAGAAAGTCTGCACTCATAGTGGGTCCAGAGATGATAATCAAAGATCCCATCCATCAGAATACATGGAGAATTTTCTCCCATTTCTTCCAGTGTTGAAAACAGAGCTTCAATTTCTGAATATTTTTGCATAATTTTGTGGGTGTGAATGTATTTTGCAGACAAAAAGCCCTGTGAGACTGGTAACTAGGGGGCACTTACATACAGCTAGCCAACTATTTTCACTTCTTAGCCAAAGCCAGAACCTGTCACTGTTTGGGCTGGCAAAGAAAAGTAATCTTGTTTATCTTCTGTACTTTAAATAACTACTTGCTTTGCAAAATTTGTGCAGCAAGCTACTAAAGTGTAGAAAAAGTTCATAGGAGTTGATAAAGAAATAAATTCCCTTAAGAATATAAAATTCCAGAGAAAACTGTTTTTAAAGCTTTTTTAGAGAGCAAGGATTATGCTAGCAGGTTTAGAAGAATGGGTTTCTGAGTCACGGCAAAGTGCTTTCTAAGAAGTACCTCAATGGTATTTCAGAATAACTTTCCAATGTAAATACTGTAATAAGAGAAGTTATTCTTCCACGCTGACAAGGCAACAAGTTCATTACTGATGATGTGTAAAAGCTTGGTTCAGATCCACGTGTAAGGCACACGTGAGTTCTCTCTGGGCCAGAGTCAGGCCCTATGGCAGCACTACATCCATACAGACTCTGACCTGCTGCTGCTCTCGTCTTCGTTCGGCTACAGACAGCTGCTCAAGCACACCAGGGCCAACAGAGCAGCATTTCACCCTCTAGTCTCACATACTACCTCTCCACAGCTATGCCTTTACACCACTTAGAGATAAGGATACCATAAGCATTTAAAGAAAAAATAATGAGGATTGGTTCGTTTCAGCAAATGGGGAAGTACAGCGCTATCGTTAAGTTGGTGGCAATGTTTAGCTACAGCTTTTAAAGGAGAAGCAAATCTCTCCTCAGTCGATCTCATGACTTGTCTCTTCAGTCAGATCAACACTGTTGTTAACTTAACACAAGCTCATTATTTGGAAATAAAAATGAAAGAGACTGAACATCAAGAATACAGATTAATTTAAACCCCAGAACTTTATTATTACTCAAAATCTGAGCTTCTGTATGACAGATTTTCTTTAAGTTACTCTCCTGCTCATCTTCATATTGTGCACCCAATAATGACAATAGCTAACATTCGCTGCTACAGTTAGTGGGTTACTTTGCATGAACCACACTATGGGCTATCTTATTTAAGACTGCTGCTTATTTGTGAGTTCTTCCAAACTACAGTCATTTGAATTTAAAGACTAAATTAATTTATTTCTTGGGTGATATCTGTTACGCAAGATGTGTCCAGTAAGCATGTAGTGAACTACTGACAAGTTGAGCCTTGTTAGGTTCCAGGTCTTGAAAAATTTAAAGGAGCTATTACAAACATCAAAACTCAAGTAAAGCTCATGCTTTCATGTTTTCCTAGAAGGCATGGAAACTTATTCCTGAGGAGGAAAGATTCAATATTGATCAGCTGCTACGTGCCAAAGCACAGGCTGTACGAGAATCAACGCTTTGCAAATCTACTGTTTTGCAGTAGAAATACATAATTTGATTATGGAGATTTCACATAAATAATCAGGCAACAGTTCGTCACTCTATGTTTATTGCCATCTTTCCCATCACCAACAGGAGCCACGATTTGCTTTAGCAATGCAGAGAGAGGCAGAGAGACAGACAGAGTGAAAAAAGAAATTGCTACTACTGCCACCATCAAGAACAGTCTTATGAATGCTGTTGAGGAAAATTATTCTGAAAACAAATGCATACAAAGAAACATTTGTGCTAATTTCAATAGCACAAGGTGACATTTTTAGAGAGCCAGGTGCCAAGCTCTTATAAACACGAGTCATTTTAATACCAATTTCCTTTAAGAGTTTTCAATATTACTTTCTTAAACAAGCCTGGTTTACACATCTAAAATACAATTAACCAGCCAACAGAAATGGAAGCAAAAAATACCCTCTGTCAGAGTTTAGAATTTGAGCAACGTGAAGAACCCATGATCTCAATGGCAATGTTTTCAACATGCTTCTGACTTAGAAGGTTGTCAAACATTCAACTGAAAGTCGTGTAACTGAGGTAAACGGCACAGTAACAAACACCAGATCTAGTAGCCCTTAGTCAGGATAATCCTGCCCCTCCTCTCTCACTCCCATGATGGGGGACTATGCACTACATGCACAGGGAAGAATTTAAAATTAAAGGTTGTGTCAGACAGGGAGCAGTAAGAACAGCTATAAAAATAAACCCTGACAATTCATACTCTTCTGCATAAGGACTATGAAAGGATAACTGATGCAACATGCACTATAAAACCACCAGTACACGCACTGGCTTACATATACAAAATAGCGATAGTGCTATTTATAAAAGTTACATAATACTCACTTTAGTCAGTGGTTCAGCTAACAAGAGAAGAAAGAACACCCCATTAACCACAACCAATAATCTACAGCCCTATACCCAACCTGTAAGATCCACCAAGTTGATACTTTACTGCTCAACAATTTGTATGAAAAAAGAAAAGAAAAATCACACAAGGATTTGTGTAACAACATGACTTTTATGCTAGTCAGAATGGAATGAAAACCAATTACATTAGCTTTTAAAACACTTCCATTTCAGTGTTATTTCCTTTCCTACTTCTGGCCCCACCTATCAATTATATAAAATCTTAAAATCGGGATTAGTTGAAAGAGATACAAGGTAATGCCTGTGCACACTGCACTGTCTTTTAAAAGACAAATCTCGGCAATCAAAACAGAATAGACAGGTAACTCCACTGCAGTTTCACCTCCCTCACTTCCTCACCCTGAAGCCCTTTTGCTTCTTGTTGGTCTCCAGCAAAGCCAGGGCAAAAGGAATGGCAAAAGCAAGTGGGCAGCGGGGAGCCCTCCAGCAGGGCATTAGTGCCAGCAGCTGCATAAACGGAAGAGTAAGAATGTTCCTGCTGCTGAATAATCTTCTTGGGCCTTATATAGACTCTCAAAGTTATTAGGCCATCAGCTACACTTGCCCAATGGCACAAGTTCTTCATATAGCCACAGAAAGGATCAGATGTAAAGATATCTCCTTCTCTCTCTCTCATTTCTTTTTACACCAAGGACTGAATTCTGCCTACTAGAAATACATTCTATGGGCCACATCCAGCTCATAAAATGGTTTGACTCCTCCACACCCCCACTTCAGAGAATTACTTTGGAAGAAGGTAAATGTGCATATATGTATTTTATATCAGTTAATGTGACTTTCAAGTCACAATATACACACACACATATATACAAACGCAAATATTTAGATGAGCTTGCTGTACTTAAAGATCAGCTCCTTCTTTCAATTCCATTCAATCTTACCATTTTAATACACTGCATCATTAGGAGGTTTAATGCCACACTGTGAAATAAGCATATCTAATGGTTCACCTTTTGAGAATGTTACCTTCCAGAATAGACCAGTAGGTATCCCCACCATAAAATCTGAGACTTTTGAGTGATTACTCATCTGCAGAGGGTGTAAAGATCAGCACTGAAAAACTAAAGGCCATCCCCTTTCTATAATATTTCAGTTGACACCTCTAGAAATATGAATTAAAAAGCACCAAGAAATAAGTTGCAGCAGTTCATACATGAGTCATGATTGTGCAGTGAAAAGTACAAAGCTCCATCAGACCCCTTAGAGGCATACCTGGGTTAAAGAGAAACAAAGCTGATACTACTTTGCATAACTGAAGACCAGAAAACTGAACAGGAATGGCAATCTGTGAGTGTGAAGACTGGGACTTCTTTGAATATTACATCATTTTCAATCCACTTTCATTAGAGGATTTGAGAAGAGTATTCCTTAAACAAGACGTGACACTATATAGCAGGCTGAACAAAGTTACATCTAGATGTTAATACAGACTTTGTATTTCAAACCTCAAATGCAATATCAGAGTTCTTCCTTTTTAATCTTAACATCTCAATGACAGCCACTAACACAGGAGCTTCTAACCACCATAATTATCCAGACCATTTATATGCCACACTCTTTCTTGTGCCTCATTGATCATCAGCCATTGAAGTTCTGTAGCTCTATTTTACTTACCCTACCTGACAAGGGTTTACTGGCTCTTCCTTATTGCCTGAAGTTAGAATTCCATTGAATCCTCAGCAAAGTTTCAGTAATTGGTCCAGGCCTCAACTTGTCAGAAACTTGGGTGGGTGCAGCATATTTGCACTAATAAAATTGTCATTCCTTTTAATATAGAAATAATTTATGTACTGTTTACAAAGAAGTTCCGTCAAGTGATGCAGCTCCATCTATTCAGCAGATGCATGACATTACTCAAACTGCAGCACTCTGCCCTTATTTGCATTTTTCTGCTACACGTATGTACCGATTTACATGCAATACTTCTGAAGAGGCAGAGAATAAAAGTTATTTGACCACTCAGATCTGCTGTAATTCCATACTGAGTATAAGTCCCTGTTCTCCTGTGAAAAATATCAAACCCCAATGCAAACCAACTGGTTTTTGTTGGTTTTGTTTGTTTGTTTGTTTGTTTTTAAAGGAATGGTTTCTTGAGTACATAACCAGTTTCATTTATACTGTATACTTATCTTCTTTTGAGTGCAGATATACCACCTCCTTCACCTTTCTCCCAGAGTTACAGAAATACTGAAAGAGCTCTAATACTGTCTCTTCCATCTACAGCAGCTGAGTACAACAAACAAATGTGTGCTCTAAAGATTTGGAAAGTTATCGCTTGACACAATCAGTTCACCCTGCAGAAATCATAGAATGACTTACGGACCTTAAAGCCTACCTAATTCCACTCCCTGCCATGGGCAGGACTGCACCCAACAGCTCAGGCTGCCCAGAGCCGCATCCAACCTGATCCTGAACACCTCCAGGGATGGGGCATCCACAGCTTCCCTGGGCAGCCTGTGCTCCAGCATCTCACCACCCTCTGAGTAAAGAATAGTAAAGAATTTCCTCCTAGTATCTAACATCCAAACCACCTGTAGCTTCAAAAAAAAAGACTTACGGTCAATCGTTTACTTATAAAAAGGTATTTGAAGCACGTTCCACTCATGTTAAATTAACACCTTAAAAGATTCTTTCTTTTGTCATTGAGGCTTAGAATAAACTAATGTACTGTCTGCTTAATCCTCTTGCAGAGGAGAGAAAACAAACATTTCACCTCTGAACAGGTGTACTTTTTACATATAAAGCCTAGCATAATAAGAATTCTGCAACTGACAGTGGAGAGTACCAGCAGCCCAGGTCTCATTCTTTCAGTTTGCGCAACAGAAGCAAATCACAAATTAATAAACAATTATCAGCAGTCAGAGAGCTGACAGAAAGAAAAGACACCACAAGAATTTCTACTCTGAAGAAATAAATCCATTGCTGTAATGATTGGTAATGCTCAGAATGATTAACTTGATGAAAACTGAGCTGAGTGCTACATTTTGATTTGTAAGTCGTGAGCTTTACCTGTCTTGTCTTTGCTGATGTTTCAATAAAAGGAATTCCATAACTTCTTGCTAAATCCTGAGCTTGTTTTGTATCTACTGTTCTGGAAGGCAAATCACATTTGTTTCCTACTAGCACCATTGGGACATCTTCAGAGTCTTTAACTCTTTTTATTTGTTCCCTAAAGAAAAAAAAAAAAAAAGAGTTTATTTAACAGATATTAATAGTTCATACAGTAGATTATAAAACACTAAAACAAATGAAATTATGGCATTTCAACATCATTCCTTATATTAATTCACTGCACATTCACTATTAGAAGCTACTAAAAAATAAATAAATTGATCAAGTCCTATCACTATCAAGCTTATTACTTTATTCTTAAAAGGCTGGCATGTTGCAGCAAGTGTTTCTATCAGCAGTGCTCAGTAAGCCGAACTGCCATAGCTTCTCATGTCACTACACAAGAATCTTCCCCAAAAACAACAGTTAATGTCAGCTCTGGTATAAATCTTACTACCCACCTCCCATACTTTGCACTCACAATACCCAGTTCATTTGCTGAGATAAAACAGTCAAAAGCCCTCTGCCTGTACTGTGTTTTTCAGGCTAGGTCAGCATCATAAACTATGCACTTAGATAAAGGGATTTTAAACTCCGAAGACCACTGGTCTGATTATCTGAAAAGAGAAATCTGGTACAGAGTCTTTTAAAAGACTAGCTAGAAAATGTTTTTACCATACCATTTAGATGTACTTGTAAAGAATCTCTAATAACAATCATTTATTTCTTCTTTTCTTTCCTTGCTTTCTTAAACAGTCTATAAGTCTTCTCCTTAATGCAGTCGTTGCTTTTAGTTATTTATTTAGAAACATTCAGCTTCAGTCAGGAAAGTCATCCACAGGTGTGGGAATGCACAGGAGGAGCTCCTGCATTCAGCTCACAGTGCTGAGTTAAAACCCAGAAGGCCTCCCCGTGCAAGTCTATAACTATTTCTTTATGAAGCTTAAAAGCAAACTTCACACTCCTTTTTGCCTTATGTCAACACCTTACCATTTCCTTCCTCCTCTACAGACAGAGGAAACTCCTTTCTAATAATCTGGTTAGACAATGGAGATGCAGGGTGTTTTTCTGAGAGCGAGATATTTTTTATCTCTACTTGAGAACTCTAATCTATTCCATTTTTATTAGGAAGCTGCAGGTACATCACATTCTTCACTTACTACATTTTAGGTATAGTGAAAGGTATACGAAGACTGGCTAGCTCAATTTCAGTTTGGAAAAGTAACAGTCCTGAAACAAAGGGCGTACAGAACTCTCCCAATCCCACAGTTGCTACAGGAAGGTAAGCTAGCAGTAAACTGATTTTGTAGCTAGAAATCTACCAGTTTAGCAACTGAAATCAACACTACACTACCAAATGAGCTGAACTGCTAGCATACAGGAGAAATAAAGCTACACAATCCAGACAGCTACAGCTCCTCACTCTGATTACCTTGAACTATCATAAGGTATCCCACTTCAAGTGAGGAATCAGTGACTTTAATTTGTTACAAAATGGGCAACTTCAGTTTAAAAGTAGATGTTGAGTTTGTGGTTATTACTTACAGCAAGTCATTCCTATGCTACACAGCAACACAAACTCAAGAGCATTTAAATATTTAACTTGGAATAGCTTAACTTATGCATTTGGGAACAACCTTAAACTGATGCTGCTAAAATCGGTGATCTTTGGTGGGATTTGCCTTCTAACACAACTCCCAAGCAGAATTCAATGTAATATGAAGCTAAAAAGCTATAACTTGCTGGTACTGATAACAGAAGTAGAGACTGCTTCTCTTCCATTTTAGCGCAGCTGCCATCAAGCAAGCACGAGTTTCAATTTTTAACTAACTCAATCAGCCATCATCCTGGATGTGAAATTTCATATGGGTATCCTTTTTATTTTTTTTTTTCTTTAAGGTGTCAGAGCCCAGGTTACCATTTAGGTACCCACTTAGATACTCTTGCATGGGTATTTTCCTCCTCTTCCCCCAGAGAAGAAAGGCTAACAATATATTATCTGTAAATTTTAAACTGTGTTTTTCATCTTGAACCCACAATTTTATTTATGGAATAGGCAGAGTTCACTTTCAGATAATTTCTTACTACATAAATAATATCTATTAAGGCAGTAACAGCCATTCATAACAGAGAGCTTTCAGATACATTGCCTGCTTAACTCCAGAATGAAACAACAGATTTTCAATTACCGAAAATTACAGACTTACAAATGGACAAGTAAATTGCAACACTGCTAATTTGCAAATTTTCCTTTAAGTGCTATTTCATGAGAGGTCAATTCATTATCCAGTGTAAAAAGCAAGCAACCCACACAGCTAATACAAGAGTTAGTCATTTATCTTTCAGCATACACACCTATAATGGTGAATATCTTCAAAAGATTTTGTATTGTTTATAGCAAATACACACAGGAAGCCTTCTCCTGTTCTCATATATTGGTCCCTCATTGCACTATATTCTTCTTGACCTGCTGTATCAAGAATATCCAAGAGACAGGTTTCCCCATCAATTACTACTTGCTTTCTGTAGGAATCCTAAAGAAGAGAGAAAAAAAAAAACAAACACGGTTAAATACAAACAAAGTTTTTAAGCACAGATAGTTCAGAAGATGTTCAAGTTGTTTTCCAGTAGTTGATCATACCTGAAAACACTTATAATCCAATTTTACAGATAGGCAAATGAAAGCATAACTGGTAGCATATCTTTCTGCTCAGACATTAATCCAGAAATGAAAATGCTACTGGAAGGACATGTTCTGATCTGCATTCCGTGTCTTCAGCAAGTAACACTGCACGCGTATGCAAGTGTGCACATACACACAGCATTCTTATTTCTCATTTTGTACACAGAGACAAAAAGTTCAAATTGAATCCAGATCAAAAACCTCTCCCTTTGTTCATATGAGAATTGAAGAAAGCTGTAATCCTGATTTTAAAAGATTTAACTATGAGCTAACTCAATTGGGGAAAAAAAAAAAAAGTGAAATGTGGCCTTCATTCTATGGATGTCAATAAAAACATCATGCCACAACATATACAAAATAATAAAATAGAAAAAGTTCACAAGCAGAACAACTACTCCAAAAATCTATGCCTCTGAAAAGGAAGTAAAGCATAAGAAGCCTTCAGAGTTTGAGATGGAAAAAGCTGTTTTATATCCCTAAGCAGCTGCTTATAACATTTGTTATCAAATTACCAAAATTTAGTAAATACATTTGAAGTTCAAGTTTTTCAGACGAGACAGAGCAACACAAAGCACAAAATCAGACATAAGCCCTGATAGGTTCCGAGAGATGCTGGAACAAATTACTTCAACACTATCAACTCAAAGTTTTCAGGTCACTGACTCAAGTAGCCGAAATCTGTACAGAGTCCCAAGCAGCTAAAAGTAATGCTTATTTACAGGCCTTTTGGTGCTAGACTTCTGTAAGCACATAGTTTTAGCAGTAATGAGAGCACGAGTCCTATTTTTTCATCCAAACCTCTATTTCCTACAAGCACTATTATAATAAGACCACGTCAGTAAACTTTAAAAATGTCACTGAGTACCACAAATTACTCTCAGTTAATGATACTCATAGCAAATAAAAGGCGTCAAGAGGAAATCATGGCATAACCTTTCAGATCCTTTAGCTAGAGATTAACATAATATTGCTTGTGCTCTTGTTATATAAGCAGGATCTTTTTAATACTCTACAAAAAAAAAAAAAACAAAAAACAACCACGAACTGAAGCTACTGTGAGGGGAACTGAAGTTGCAATTCTAGCCAACTTCAAGATGAATTCTGCACGGCCTTCCTTCCTTTGCATCAATTTTAAGCACTATACGCTGTGCACTTTATCAATTCAGTGGTTTGGTTTGTTTTTTTAACACAGAAGTTCGTTCTTTCTTGTTGCTAATCCTAAAAACAATCAGAAGACAGCTGTATAGAATCAGTATGTTCAAGTAAACAAATGCTGGGCTCTTATTTATCTCGAGCCTTGATACAATTCAACAATACCAGGTAAAACGATATTGACTTCTTACCCTTAACATACAAGTACAGCTCCAACGTGATTCTGGAAGTATTAATGTCACAGAAGTGCAAATTCAGTGTTCAAGTAAGCAGTTGGCAGTCTTTGAAATATAAAAGCTGAGAGAAATACACAATCTCTAGTGTATTTTAAAATAAGGCTAACATTCCATCTCAGCGCTTAAATGAGAAGGAAAAAAGCCTGCCCATCTTTATCCCAACTCACTTCAATCAACAGGAGATCTCCCACATCCTATCAACTTTATCACAGTTCAGCAATGTATTAACAGAACTTCTGGCATTGCATCAGTCATAAAAAAAGCCCATTTCATTTTCTTCTTACAATTTGACTGCTACTTTAAAAATATGAATTTCTGTGCAATTCATCACTCTAGAGGGAAAGCAACTCTGCAAAGCTGAGCTCTAAACAAAAGCTTTAAGTAATTTTCATCAAAGAAAACCACTTTAAAATTCTTCCTGCAAGAAATGCTAGTTTTAATATGCCACACCAGCAGCAGCAAAGCTGCATGAGCACAAAGCACAGCACAGGTAGACAAGCAAGGAATGCCTTCAGATAGTTTGTTCTGAAAGAAAACTAGAAGAGAGGATCTGAGATGGAAAAGACTAAGGATGTGGGAGGGAAAACTCAAGTTCATGATTTCCTACCAAGTTGCTGAAAAAATAAATACATGGCTTTTTCAGTTGCTGTTTTTTCCCCCCCTATCCCCTGCAAAAAAATCAAGCCTAAAAAGTCCTATTTGGCACTGTAAGAAAACCGAACCACCACATCAACAGCTCAGGTTGCTGAGACCTCCACAGCAGCACCACAGTGAATACCTGCCCACATAGACCACAGATAACATTCAAATGTTACCATACTGTAAGAAATTACCAAGTCCAAGAAAAAAAAATAGTGCAGGATGAACTGAAGAACTCAAAGCTAGTTACACTGCTACAATACCTGTCATAGAATCATCATGGAATCACAGAATGACCTTGGTGGAAAAGGACCACAATGGTCATCTAGTTTCAACCCCCTGCTACGTGCAGGGTTGTCAACCACCAGACCAGGCTGCCCAGAGCCACATCCAGCCTGGCCTTGAATGCCTCCAGGGATGGGGCATCCACAGCCTCCTTGGGCAACCTGTTCCAGTGTGTCACCTCCCTCTCTTTGTGAAAAACTTCCTCCTAATATCTAACTAAACCTCCCATGTCTCAGTTTAAAATCATTCCCCTTTGTCCTATCACTGTCCACCCTCGTAAACAGCCATTCCCCCTCCTGTTTATATGCTCACTTCATGTACTGGAAGGCCACAATGAGATCTCCCCAGAGCCTTCTCCAAGCTAACCAAACCCAGTTCCCTCAGCCTTTCCTCATCGGAGAGGTGCTCCAGCCCTCTGATCATCTGACTGGCCCTCTACTTCAAAATGGAGTATCAGAACCCAACATGGGCAGACTCCCTTTTAACAACAAAAAAAACCTTCTCATGATGTTTTTGAAATCCAGCAGCTTCACTGCACACTGGAAGATATGGCAATGGAAAAGCATCTAACGTAGGACTACTGTATATAAAACAAAATGCAAACTAGAAATTAAATGCAACACTGTACATGACTCCAAATATGAACTTGTCACTTCTCTGAGTATGCAGACACTATCTACATCAAAGAGTTTCAATTTAATTAATCACACAGCCTGCTGTTATTGACCTTTCAAGCCATAAAAAATATAAAACACACACATTATGCTAAAGGAGCAATAACAATTCCATTTGTTCACAACAATTACCGATAACTAAAGATGGCATCTCAGCTTCCTGTCACAAATTGAGTTTATCTGGAAAAAAAAAAATCCACTGACTAAAGAAACCCCATCTAGGAGAGTAACTACTTTTTTTAGGAATCCACTCTACCAATGATTAAATATTAAAATATCATAATGATTATGAAGCTACTACTACATGTTGGTGGAAGTTCCACAGGTGCACAGGTCACTGAAAAACACACAGACTTAAATATCAGTATTCCTAAATCACTCAAGGGATTTTGCTAATCCAATTGAAAAATCCTTTGACAGCCAGCAAGGAGGACAACTCCTTCTCCAAGTCACTGAAAACATGACCTAAATGCTAGTACATGTATGCTGACACTATAAAAAGAACTGATTTTAAAGTAATCACGGAAGATATTGCAAATAAAGATTTAACGAATCTCGACCAGTAGAGGGCATCAGTCCAACTGCTCTGTGCATTAAGCCAGAGCTCAAAGGGTGAGTGTACACACTTAGAAAAAAAACACTTAAAATTGCTTGGCTGTAAATGTTCTTTGACATCCATTTCAAGAAAGATACGAAATTGTGATAAACACAACAAATTTATTTCTGAATAACAGGAGTTACTCAAGCACACAGTAATTTTATTTTTTTCCCTGTCATCAACTGTAATAAATTCAGATACAAAGTACAAAATAAATACATGTTTTTTTGACTGGATCATGAGACATGAAGCTTCCCAAGCAGGTAAGTTATTTGTTCATTCACTAATTCCACTGAAAAGAATACAAACGTGAATGTTAGAGAATGCATCTGTAGTTAAGCAACCAGGTGTTTTTTTTTTTTTTTTCTCTCCTGCACTGTTTCAGCAATGCAAGAATTTAAGAAGAGATGAATTTCACAATGGTTACCATGAAAGATTTAAAACAACTGAACAACCAGGTAGGTATGGAACCCACAGTATACAAAAAACCCACAGTATACAACAAACACTCAGCTCTTTTCTATGCCTACTCCAAAATACCTCATTTTTGAGGAAAAGGCATGTTTTGGCAACAACATCAACAAAACAAAAAAAAACAGTAGAAACAGTAGTCAGTGAAAAACAATAGTTGTGACACTACTGAACCACTTATTTACTGGTCACAACCGTAGCCTTATTTCCTCATTGCACGAAAAGTGAGCCTTTCTACAGCTACTGTTCCTTGGGCAGCCGCATACCAGAACTACACCTATACACAGGAAGCACAACCAAACCCTTCTGAAGGGATTGTGCCCTAGCCAGAAGTGAAGCACTTAAACCCAACTACAAGCCCCCTAGCTGGAACCCATCTGCTTCTCCAAATAACAGAGCACCCCACAGTAACTGAAGTATGTACTCCCTACAAACCCAACCAAGTTACAGAATTATAACACCATGAGCACACAAAGTGATCTACCAGGTGGGTAGATAGAATATCCATCCATAAGGTCTCAGGATTTACAAGGCAAAAACAGCAACCAGCTCCCTACAAGTTCTTGGCTGAGTACAAGCAGACTAATACTGTTACATTCAACAAGCTGTTGATGCAGGTAAAATCCATTAGGCTATAGGTTTCTCCCAGAAAATCATATTGTTTGACTGCAGACCACACCACAGCCTTACAGACAACCTACCCTGTCCATTACTGAATAAAAGCCGCTGCTCTAGAATTCAATGTCCTTCCTACAAGAACCGCATGTTTTATTATCATTAAAATGCCTTCAGCATTCCTCAAAATACTCAACTTGCTGATTAGCAAAAATCCCTCAAGTGATTTAGAACTGACATTTAAGTTCTTGCGTTCCTGAACGGTTTACACAGGTTTGTCCTTTTCAGACAACTTCTAACGTAGAACCTCAACAGTGCTTTCTGCAAAATTAAAATGTACCTCTAATCCAAGAAACCTAGATGATGAGCAAGTAGCACAAGTGTTACCAACAACTCTGTAAGTTCCTTTTGCAACCAAAAAGTAAAATCCCATTTTGCCTGTTCCTCTCAATGAGTTGTGTTTCTTGTTTTTTAAGACTGCTCTGGGTTGACATTTTGCTTTCAGATTTCAAATCTTAATAACTGAAAGAGCTACCTTGCTAGTGCAAGGTAAACATTCTTCCTATCCATTCACAAAACCTTCAGCAAGCATAGGGTAATCTATCTGGCCACGCATCAGACAAAGTACACAGGCACATTAAAGGTAATCCCAAACACAGCCTGGTGCATCCCCCTTTGTGGAACACCAACTCAGGCCTGTACTTCACTGAAGTAAGACAGCCTCCTGCCATCTTGGGACACTGGCTTCTTTCACTCGTGCCTACCTGAGAATGACTCCAGAACCATTTCTGAGTCACCACATTAAGCCCAGATTTATACCCTTGCGATCCCTTCAAGTGGGGTTGGAAGCACCTCATTGTGTAAACATATAAGTGAAGTCATAAGCTGCAGAATGTTTCAGTGCTGGGAACATAAAAATCCCGGCTAAGTTATAATGTCATTTCTCCTTTCGTACAGTCTGAGGTTATTAAATCAAACTACCCACAGGAGATTTCAGACAACACTATTTACAAAGCCAGACCTGCCTACTCATTAAAAGCCTCTAAAATAACAGAACTGTGTAAGTTCAAACAGATTTTCAGATTCTGAAGGACTGTGCCATGTACAGAAAAGAATTCACGATAGCAGCTATCCTACATCTTTTTCTAGACACACAGAAACATACAACTGCTTGTTAAAAAAAAAAAAAAAAAATCGAGTTCCAAATTTTTGCCTCATTCAGCATAACATCCCAGAACACATTCCTCCCCATGTGACACAGATCCTGATGATAAGAGCTGAGAAAGCCTGACACATGCATTTCAGAAGTAAAATCTCTCCTTACGTGTGACTTTCCATTTTGATATTAAGAGACCAATGCGGAGCTACAGTAAGTTTTGGCACCCTTTCTCCATTAGAGTTTGGCAAGTACTTCCTTACCAAGATCCTGCAAACTCATGTTCAAAGTGTCCAACACAACACAGCAACTAACACGCGGCACATTTCCACTTCACAGAACTGCTCATTTTTCACTGTAGCTGTTGTTATACAGCCAGCTCAAGAAGTACAGCAGTTTGCTAATGCCAGTGTGATGCTATTCTTTTTATTTAATACAGTCTTGTTCCATAGTGTTTTTTTGCAGTAATGTCCAACAGCAAACAACTCCCACCAGCACTGCTAACCTCCCAGCACACGAAGCTAAGACGGAGGTGTTTACCTCTATGGTAGGGTCATACTCATCCACAAAGTGGTTCTGAATGAGCTGTATTGTCAAGGCGCTCTTGCCCACACCACCAGCTCCAACGACAACAAGCTTATACTCTGTCATTTTTTAGCAGACCTGGAGGCAAAGAAAGCAACGTTAGGCAGAAAGGGTTGGGATCAGACCAGCGAGGATGCCGTCGGTGTAGCTTCAATCACTATCGCGTTCCTTTACTACTACCGGAAAGCGGTTCCCTCCCGGAAAAAAGGACAAAAAGCTACGAAGGGAAGAGATTCCTCAGACAGGCTCTCGTTCCCCACCGCTTTCTTCTCAAGTTCCAGCGGCACGGCAGCCCGCCCCTCCGTCCATCGAGCAGGGAGCGCAGCCGCCAGCCGCAGAGGCTCGGCGGGACGGGGCCGCGGCTCTCACCTCTCCCCCCTCATCCCGCCCAGCCCCGGCACCGCAGCGCTGCGAGGGCGCTAGCACGGGCTCGGCACCTCCGCGGCCCGGCCGCCGCCCTCCCCGCCCCGGCTCCCCCAGCGCAGAGCCGCCGGGGCCGCCTAAGTTTGCGAGCCGACCTCGCGGGCAGGATGCGGGGTGATGAGAGGAAGAAAGGGGGAGCGGCGCGAAGCGCGGGATTGACTCAGCACCAGGTGCCGGGCTCCCGGAGGGCGTTGGCCACCTGTCCCGCCGCGCCGCGGGGACGGAAGGCGAGGGGCGGGCGCGGGCCGCTTGGGTGACCGCCGTCCGGCCGCTTCCCGCGATCAGCGGCACCGAGGGCGAGGGGGGGGGGGCGAAGGGGCGACCGGCTGCGGGGAGTCGCTTCTCCTGCCCCGCCTCGGCGGGGAGCGAGGGAAAAAGGGGGGCAGGGGAAAGCGCGGCCCGGGGGGGTCGGGTACCGGTACCTGCCCGGCGCTCTGCGGGCCGCGGGAGCACGCCGGCGTCTCCCTGCCCGCCGCGCGCGGCGCCCGCTCCGCGTCCCTTTCCGTCCCGGTCTGAAATGGCGGGGGACGGGGAGGGCCGGGGCTGGAGCTGCCGAGGGAGCCGAGCGCCGAGCGAGCCGTCCGATGGATGAGAGCGATCGATGCGCTCCGCGCTCCTCGGCCCCTCCCCTCGCCGCGCCGCCTCAGCCGGCCGGGGGTGAGAGAGGCGGTGTGGAGGGAGGAGGGTGGCGCTTCCCTCCGCAGCCCGTTGGTGGGGCCACCCGCTTGGAGGGCGGCGGCGGCGGCGGCGGCGGCAGGGGCGCGCGTTCTCCCGAGAAGCGGGGCGCTGGGCGAACGGGGCCTGCGCCCGCCTTCGCCTTGCGGGCGGTGCTCCCTGCCCCGAGCGGGCCGCGCCGGCTGTCGGGCTGTGGCGGCGTGGGAAGCCGACTCGGCAAGAATAAAATAAAGCGGTTTTATCTGTAGCCGGTCAGAGAAATGTCAGACGGGCCTCGCGGAGTCGTCGCGAAGCTCAGGCAGCCGATGGCCATTGGCTGATTTCAAAATAACGTGCGAGGCTCCGGCATTTAGCCGCTGAGATGTTCAGTCCAAAAGTTAACGAACATAAACGTTTTGCTTTGTTTTGTTGTTAAACGAGCTGACAATTGCATAATTAAGCCTGTTTTCTTACTAAAGCCCAAAAGCGTAATTCCTGGTAACTGAGGAGATGTGACACGGGACCCTCTGAACGCACGCACTGCACCCAAAGCCGTGGGATTTTTTCAGATGGCGAAGCTTGCTCCTAATAACAGCCTGCTCCGGGGCTGACTGCAGCCATGCTGACTGGCTTACACCAGGGATTAATTGGAGCCGTTTTGCTTTCCCTCTTGAAAATGGAAGGTCAAAAACAAACACAGCATGCCTACACATCTGGTGATCAAGAGATTTAATTTGAGAGGCCGGAGCTTTGTTCTCCACAACTGTGTGTGACCCAACTTCCAGCTTCTTTGGTTCTCAGCGTGATTCTGGGCTGTACCTATCTGAGCAGCAAAGCCATTAACCCTTTGGGACTGTGCCATCTAATTTAGAAAGTGTATTCCTGTGACTAATTCACTGAAATAAGCTGGAGCCCCCTTGCCGCTTTTTAACACTGTTCCCTGATGCTAAGGTGTTAAGATTTGTTGAGATAGCAAATGCATCTTGGAGCTGTTGTGTGAAAAATGCTGTCTTTTCAGGCAGAGCCTAGGAAAGGTCGGACAAGCTGCTCTCCTTGTGTTCTGGAAATCAGTTTTCTCTGTCATTGAACCCAGTGACAGAATGCATATATGCAATGGGAGGGTATATGTTATTATGAATATGTTATTATGAACATATTCCTGTAGAGGAAATGAAATTGGTAAGCATCTTATGATCCCTGTTTCTCCTCACTCCTTAGACGTCATTTTTGTGTTCAGTGTTCTTACTAGACTGTTTCTAATACTCATGAAAATGCATACGACAGTGAAACATACAGAATCATCTCACAAACGAGTGCTAAAACGGAGTGATTCAGATTGCTTATTAAGTAGACTATCTCACATGAGCAGATGTAAAAACCTAAAGAAAAACCTGCTTTCAAAGAACAAGTAGCCTGGTGGTAAAACCACAAGCTTGGGATGTGGGAAGCCCACATTCCCATCTGTGGTGTGAAAGAAGCAAAGAAAGGATTTGAATGCAGATGTTCGGTAACTGAAGTTAAGTGCCCTGATCAGCTCTCTTAGGATAACAGGATCTCAACTTTGGTATTTTGCTCCCCCTAGGAAAACTGTGTGAGTGTTGTGGTTCTTCCTAACACAGTGGGAAAATGCCTGTGTCACAGGAGAACTTTCCCAGTCCTGTACATAATGCTGATGTTCCACAAACAGCTTTGATGCTTGCTCTCATCTATGGAACTTTATATGGGGAGAGGCTGTTCATCTTTAAGCCCACGCAGTCACTGCTAGGATCAGAAGAGAAGAGAACCTCCTCTGTGAAAGATTCAGGTCCTGATGACAGCTTGAATCCCCGTGTCTCCATATGATCTCAGTGAAATGTGCAAACAATCATTGTGCGAATAGTTGGAAGACGAAAGGAATTGCTGGGGTTCTGGAAGAAGCAGGATGCAAGGTTTTATTTCTTTGCTGTGTACAGATTTGTTCATAAATGTCCACTACAAACTTGCTGTTTGCTCTCATTAACAATGATTTTAGAAATGCCTTCTCAGGCTTATGGGTAAAGTGGTTTGACAACAAGCTGAAATAAATGAACTGGTCAAAAATATTAAGTTACATGTTGTTGAAAAGTCGGCACAAGTGATGCAAAGCTTCCTAGATTTTACAGAAGTGTTGTTCAATGAGATACCACATTCTAGTGATTGTTTCTTCAGAGCAATTTCAGAGCACGGACAGTTATTATCTTTGCACAGGTGAAGATGTCTAAAATACCAGACACTTCCATGTGCTGAAGCTAAATGCTTTTGTAAAGTTAAAGCATATTTATGAATTCAAAGGCTTCCTCATATTTGCATTGAAATATTTCAGTCCTCCGGATCCTCCCAGGATATGGATCTTTGAGGACACGCAGGGCAAACCACCAATCCCAGTTCCCTTGTGAAATCATGTACCAGGCCCAAATGCAGGTATAACCCCTTCAACCACACATTTACCTTATTCAGATATACCCAATCCCAAACATTATACAAGGAAGCTAATATCATTTTAACAATGAGAATGCATGAGCTTTCACCACCTGACTGTCAGCGCTTGTGGGGTGGGGAGAGGAAATGTAAAAATACAGCTCCAGACTCAGGATAAATAATAAGCTTTCTCTGACAGAGATTGGACAAGCTGAGACAAGAGTTAATTTTCCTGTGGTTTTTCCTGGTGTCTAAACCTATGCAAAGCAGATGCAAAGCCAATGGAGAATGATTACAGGAAGATGGGTGGGTTTGTGCAACTTAAAAGTTTGCCTGCTGTGAATTAAAAAAAATACCAGTAAAGAGAATTTGTCACATGCAGTTAGGCCAAGGGTTCGTGGCCATTGCAACCAGCAGTGTGGCACCTCTTGTCAGATCATCACCATCAGACCTTCTGTCCTGGCCAGGCATGAGCATGTAATTTTGTCAGAGGCCACAGTGCTAGGGTTTCTGGTGGTTTTGTGCTTTTAGGCTATCATTATGGTGCCTTGTTCAAGGACAGACGCTGCCTGAAGTGGCAGGTAAGGTGTGTAGATGACAATGTTCCTGACCTGGCTGTGTGAGTTTGTATTGGCTGTGCATTTGGTTTCATGCAGGCACATTGTTTGGCTCTGATACGTGTCCATGTGTCACCCCTGAGTGGCACTGGAGACATCTCTGCTGTGTGGGGTGTACCAGCCTTTAGTTTTTATCATTTTGGCTTACCCTCCCAGGAAAATAAAGACTTTTAAGGAAATCCTGCCAACTTCATTTTACCGCCGTACTGCTAGTAAAACCACTAGATTTGAAGTCCTATCTAGAGCAGCACAAATGCCCTTACAAATTTTTCTCATCTGACACAGTAGAATACAATCATAGTCTCTAATTCTACTCAAGACAGGATCTACAATAGGTGTACAGTAAAAGACCATGAACTTAAATAGAGAAGTTTTCATATCCATAGGTAAATATCTCTATGCATGCAATTTAAAATATATGAATTAAAATTATACACACTATAGTTCTCACATGGTATTAATTTCTGTGCCCTATCAAATTTGCTCAGTAATTTTACATGTATAGACTGAAGTTTAACATGTATGAATTCAGATTGTATGTGAATGTATTTTTCCATTTATTGCAAATTCTTTTCAAATTATCTGATTGATCCCAATAAATCCACAATCCTTAAACTGAAAATTACCTTTGAAATGCTCCGCTATGTGAAGGACAAGTCTAAATTCTGCTCCTTCAGCTTCAGTGACAGCTAATTTGTCCACTGTGCAATGCTTTTCAAATTCTCCTTTTCTGTATGTAGGATCTAAGGAGTGACGGTTGATGTATTTTTCTGCAATAACATTAGATTTGGCTTGAAAGTGAGGCACTGAGATATGCCACATTTTAAATATTCATAAATGGTTTGACTTTTGGGTTAATTCAGATGTCTCTGACTTTTTGAGTATGTTCCTCTGCTAAAAATGGGGTGGGGAGAGAGGAACAGTTCAACTGTGAGCTATTCTTCAGAAAACTGGATGTTTTGCCATCCCACCAATGTCATCTGGCATTAATTAACATAGCATCTTGCTAATTACATTGTCAGCATACAGCCACTAAATTCAAATACAAAGAGAATTGTTAAAATGTCCCAATTTAACTCTGGTATTTCTTTTAAAGCATCATTCTTCAAGTTTTGTGTGTATATGGGATATCATCCAAACCCAATGAAGTTAATGGGCTTTCTTCAGATTTGGCCCAAAAAACATTTGGAAAAATCAGCGGTATGTCCAAACTGCCTCTCTAAATCAAGCAGTTAGGTACTTAGCTCCTATTGTTGGTGCAGCACAGCACCCAAGACGCCCTGATATGCAGCTCTGCAGAGCTGATGTGTCTCCCATGGGACTGAAGACTACATCTGAATGGGAAAGAGAGCATTGGATACAGTATGAGTTCACCATCGCTTTGTGCCCATGCCAAATAGAAACTGACTGGAGAAATCAAGTGGAGAAGGGAAAATGGCACGTTGAAATTAAAATACGAGTGCTAATTCACATGAGTGGCACCTGAACTGAGCCATGTATTGCTACATGAAAGCTGAAGCCAACTTTCCAAAACCTCTGTGCGTGCTGCCAGCACACTTGCATGTTGCTGTGTCTTCTGTGTTGTGTGAGGGTTGGCTGCTCGGTGATGCTCTGCTGATGAATTCTGTGATTCCTTCTTCAGCTGGGGAGATCTTGGGAGAAGGATGAGTGCCTGAGCAGATCCTGTACTTTGCCCAGAGCAAAACACAGTGTCAGCAAAATCCCTCCTGCTTAAAGCACTGTGCCAGCGGTGAGGGGATTCTACATGTGTGGC